GCAAAAAAGAAGAAAAAACAAAGCTTGGCTACATAGTTGAGCTATTCTGAGTAGGCTCACCCTTTTCTGAAAGTCTTCTGAAGAAGTCGCGCGCAAAATTATGCCCTATTCAGTGAATATCCCTTGGATTTCTTTCTCTCTTCTCAGTCGTTTTCTTCTCTTTCTAGGGAATTGGTGCCTTCTAAAAAAATTCAAAATTCAAGTAAATCAAGAAAGTTCCGAGATAAATTGATTTTGATTTTATAAAAATAATATGGCTTTTGATTTTATAAAAATAATATAGCTATGCATGAATTCCACAGCTTTGAAAATCAGATTAGTTTAGTCAGATCTGTCCATAGCAGTATTCCAGATTATTCTGCATATGTGTTCCATCCGACAACCTACACCCACCCCGCCCCTCGCAATTATGAGTCGTAAACAAAGATTCGAGCGGGACCCCGCTATTGCTGTATTCCAATTTCCTAGCTGTGCATTTCCAATTTCCTGAAAATAAACCCTTTTTGGGAAGTCAACCGAATATTTGATTTGAATATTTTTTTCTCAATCCTCGATCCTATCCAACCTTTGGGACCGGTTCTCCAACAACAATCGTCCCGTTTCCAAACAAGCCTGATTGTTAGTTTCGAGAATTGTAATTTTAGCTGCAAACTTCTTTTGCGGTAGTTTTTGTACGATCGCAATGGCTCCGCATTACCCTTGACTGGGCCAGGTGCTGCGTTTCATTTTCATTTCTTGCAGCATGTGGCCAGACGGGTGTCAAGTTTCTGGCATCTTGTCAGCACAATCACATCTATACATTTCCTCTTTCTTGTCATTTGTCTAGCTTTTCCCGAAATAGCATCGAACTTCGGAACTTTTGTACGTCCTGCAATGTCACTTCTGCGGAATTTTATGAGACACTCTAAAGGTTTTTCCTATTGTACCATTTCATAACTTTTGCTGAAAATCTGTATTACTTGGCATGCATTTTGCCGTGGTTCTGGGAGAGAGGTTTTTGTAAAGTTGACCGCTCAAAATTTGCATGCTTCAAGTCCCTGTGATTGACAAATTTCTTTTTTCGTGAGCAGTAACAATTAGAGGCAAAATTCATGTCGCATAAAATTGAACACAATTTCTTGGAGATGCGTATGCTAACGTATAAACAATCCGTTACAAAGCATAATTCCCATATTTCTCAATATCAGAATCATTCTCCAGGAGAATATCTTTAAGAGTCGAAATGATCACGAAAAATAAGCGAATATTCAATAAGGCATAACAAATTCTATTACGCTGCTGCATAAGTTCTGTTCGATTTTGATTTTCGAATTCAGATCAACATAGCTTCTTTCAAAACCAACTTTTTTCCATGATCTTAGTTCTAATGTGTTAAGCAATTCTTTGGCTCTCAGAAAAAATACTAGTACTTCCGAGAAACCCTGTTAGAGAAGAATCAAGAACTCAAGAACGTTACAGTGTCATTCTGTTGCTTCAAACATAAGGCAAGAAAAATCGGACAGAACTCATGCAGCAGCTTAGCATAACCGAATAAGTTCAACATTGTCAGCCCGAAATTTGTTGCTTTCCATGAAATAACGCAAAAAACCGGTACAACACTCGAAAAACGAAATAAATTCATAATAGCTGCACATGCGATTACAGCAACCACTGCTCAAAATTTGCATGCTTCAAGTTACTGTGCTTCAAGTTGCTGTCTTTTCACTTAACGGAGAATTCTTGTTCGGTTGGATTAGTCTAAAGTCAGGTTACCAGCGAGACTTCTTCTAGGCTTCCGAAAAGTAAAAAGCAGTAGACTCGTTAAGCAGCCTCACAATCGGTCACCTTTTTTCTAACCGGTAAAAAATGCTGTAGCGAACGATGAGCAGTCTTTGACAGGTTCCAATTGATGAGAATGTTTTCTCTGCGTGACGAGACAAACCCTTTCGGCCTCTTGAAACTCTGTGGACAACCACTTTTCCCAAGTAATTTCTTTCTAATGCGATTTCCCTTTTCTCACCTCCTTCTTTTTTCTACAGTGTATATGTAGAGATTGAAAAGTCTTGCTCTGTTGAGACTCTAGAAAAGTAATACGTCACTCTGAATTTTCTTATTAACATTCTGGACACTTCATCCCCCTCAACTGAGTATTTGCAGCATTGTCGTCATTGGATAAAATCTACAATAATTTTTGAGCAATTTTTTCGGTAAAGACAGAATTTCTGAGTTGTCAGATTTTGTTATAATTGTAAGCTCAATGTAATCAAAATTTAGTATAGCTTTTGAGTTTTATAAAGTTCTTGCGCAACTGTTCCGTTCGCAAGAAAAGCCATTTCCCTATAGAAGAGGTTCAAGGACTTTCTGGCAAAATCGCTTTTCTTCTTTCGATGTCGGATTTTCGTTCGATCCTTTGTGCTTGTCCTTCACTGCTCAATGAGGCAATCTCTACTCATAGCTCGAACGCTTAACTTTTGAACATTCGTGACCGTGGGTACTTATAGGGTGTGGCGAAAGTCTGGAAGACTAGTACCTTTTCAGAAAAATCAGAAGGAAAGTACATAGGAACAAATAGGTTTATGCACATATGATGCAAACCTTCACAAATACAGCGCAGCTTTTTAAGATTGCCTCTTTTGGCTTCAAAGCAGCCCTTTAAAATCTTGTCAAGATCTCGTCTCACACTTCACGATAAGCGCTTCTTTCACCAGGCAAATGTGCAGCATGATAGAGCAAACTTTTGGCTACATTATATTATTATACGAATATTTTTATGCCCAGGAAAAAATGTTGGCATTTTAAGTGAAGGCAAGTGTACTTGCATGCTGGAAATTTGAACGATTGAACGGAAGCGGAAAATCAATGTAAAAAGTATTGAAATTGCTCCATCGACTGAATACAATTAGATGCTATATAAAAGACTTGTGGAAAGAATATAGCCTGAAGTTCAGTGCCTGCTGCGCTTCTATAGCTTTCAAATTTGTTTCAAAGACAGATGGCCACTGGCGCGCAGGTAATGTTCGCAGATTTTTTATCTTGAGTTTTCAAAAGAGTAGTTTTTGGCAGATGCAAGACTAATAGCGATACTATGATAGCGCAAAGCCTCCTCTACACTGTATGCATCAAGATATTGCAGAATATTCACAATATCTTTAGCTATGAAATAAATTACAAAAAATTGATTTTCTTGCTCTGCGAAAGCACCTGATAAATCCAGTTACAAAAACATATGGTAGGGATTTTCAGCTAGAAGTGTGATGTCGAGGGTGATGGCAGCATTATTTGGGATAATTCGGAATCAAAATCATTACTATTAGGTTGTCCCGAAAGTAAACTCCTTTTTTGAATAACTTAAGCTGTTGTTTTTTTTAGCAAATTTTGAGTATCATTCGATAAAGCAGATCAAGCTCTACAAAATAACAGCCAAGGGTCCGCCTAAGTCGCCTTCCATGTAAAGTTTGAAGCCAAAATCGATTTTCTTTTGTTACCTGAAAATTGAATCTCTGCGACAAAGAATTCTACAGACCTCCAACTTGGCCATTATACAGTAGGCATATAGTAGCACACAAATATGCCTTTACCGAATTTTTTCCGAGCATAGAAAGCGAGAAACAAAAATTGTCTAAAAATGGCAAACTCCGCCCTCAGCCCCTCCCATATATGTCATTGTATACTACAAGCCTTTCTAAGTATAATTTCAAAACCTTACCTCTGTATGTGCTCTTATAATCGAGAAATGCCAAGTTTTACATTAAAAAAACCTGAAAAAAGTGGCATTTTGGCATTTTGGGACCTTATTTGTTTCACAATTTTGAGCCCCGGAAAAAATCCACCAAATACATTTTTGGGTACTATTATGTGTCTACTACAAAGACTAAGTTGGAAGTTCGTAGAAAAGGAAATCCGATTCTGGAAGGAAATCCGACTTTAGAGTAGCTGAAAAATTTTGATTTTTGGTTCCAAAATTTACCTAGGTTACGAATTGGGTGGAACTTTGGTAGCCTTTTTGTAGAGCTTAGAGCTTACTGCGCTCTACCGAATGGTACCCTAAATCTGTCAAAAAACAAAGACAGCTCAAGTTTTTTGAAAATGGAGTTTACTTTTGGGACAACCTAATAGTTCTGTAATTTACAACAAGAAGTCAGCTGCCAGACTTTTGCCGCACCGTATACTCGTATCGAAAGCTTCGAGAAATGTCACCTCTGGTTTTGAAATAACGGCCACCATTCATCTGTTTGGCGTAAAGGTGTCAGGGAAACTGTCAAATTAGTGAAAACAGTAGTGAATGACTTTGACTTAGTAAACCTGGAGTGTTGTACTGAGAAACTGATTCGTTTTAGCAGGTTATAACAGCATGGTTATAAAATGGATCAAAAGCATGGACAATAAAAGTTTGATCTACACGATCTTTCTATAGGCCCTTGGGTGAAAACACCACATTGGGCAAAAAGAGGAAACAGAGCTCAGCCAGAGTTGCACCTGGAACCTGTTCTCGGTCAAACTCCGTGTTCAGGTAACAGGTATCAGGTAACCTCCACTGCGACCACTGCAGCCTTTCGCATCCCCTTCCGTTTTCCTCCTCTTCATTCAATACAATCAAAGTTCAAGTGCAACAAAAATAAAACGTTTTCTGAACTTATGACCGAAAAAAGAAGCGATAGATGCAATACAGATCTGTCAAGAACTTCTTGAGATCAGGTCTCATACATAAATTTGAACAATTGACGAATTGAGCGGAAGAAAAAATGCAATGAAGAGATCTCAGCATGGAAAAGACATCGAGCTTTATCTACACTCTCGTGTGCGTTATGTATAGCCAAGTTATCGTATTCATGAAGTTCCATCCATTTTCATGCCGTTTGCATTTCGCAATCTGCCAACTAGCCAACTATGGCATTTTTTTTATGAGGGGCTTGGCAAGTCCTATTTACACCACTTGAAAATGCACTTGTTCCTCATTCATTGATATCTCGTTCGCAAGATTGTGCTCTTCTTTGTTTACCATCAAATTGAGTACTTTAGAAGATTGCTCGTCCTTTCGTGCAACATCATTTGCTGGCCGCTCAAATGGTTTACCACATACAAACGTCGACTCCATGTCGACCTGGAATTCCTGGCGTATCCGATCTCGTTTTTGTGAGTTCTTTCTGCACTGTCCTGAAAGTCAAGATGAAATCTAACGGGTGTTCAATGTACCGACTATTTGAGTTTTTCTATCATGAGTCTGCAGTTTGTTGAAGAAGCTTTAACGTATAGGCTGCTGCATGACGAAGACGCAAAATCTTCGGGCGCGAACGCGGATTTAATAGCCAGAGCGCGCGAGGCGCAGGATTTGCAATTGTGAGGGTACGCGCGCCGCGTTCGCGCCCGCTCAACTAATTCAGCTTCTGCCTTCGCCATGCAATAACCTTCAGATTAGCTGACATCGGCTGCCTGGCCTTGCCAAAACACTATGATAAAAGTCATTATCCCTATTCCTGTACAACCTTCCCCACGGCCTAGCACGGGGGTGGCAAATGTAGCGATCAAGCGACTTCGCCTTTAAAGGCAGCGTCCGGACAAAATTTTGAATGGGATTTTTTTTGCTCACCTGGGCTTATTTCTCCCGCTGATTCTGAAAATGCTGCTTGGAGTACACGAAAACGCCGAAAACGGGCTTTTTCAGAAGCTCTTGATTTGAATTTTGTCGCCTGCCGCCATGGTCAAGACGCAGAGTCTTTGTGGGACCCTACGTCTTTACTGTATGCGGTATGCGCGGGGTAGAGGAACGAACGCCTCAATTAGACATCACCTCCGCGGGCTGCTGGTCCTTTCGTCCTACTGTTGAGCATCGTGTTGGGACCAGTGGTCCGCGGAGGCGGTGCCTAATTGAGGTGTTCGTTCCTCCACCCACTTATCGAACCAACTCGTCCCGATCGCCGGAGTGTTCCGGTCGCCACTTCGAAGCGGATTTCTCGCTTCAGAAGTAAATTGGTGCATTGCTAGTTGGGCAAGAGTTTTACCAGGACGGGCGCCTCTGTACTCTACATTTTCGTATCTACACCTGCCTTTAACGCTATCGATTCGATTTTTCACCTAATCTCGCCAGCTGCGGACGTAGGTTGTTCGGTTGGAGCGGCGTTCTTCCTCAAAATCGGCGTCATTGCTAATCCTGATCCTACCTGGAGGAAAGGCGGAGTTTTGAAACCAAAATGTTATTTACTAAGCTTTACTTGTAGAACAGATTTATGCAGAAATTATGGAAAATTATGTGAAATGGAAGTTTTGCCTACCTCAGATGGGCATTAAGTGGCGATTGCCCATTAACTTGGAAAAAGTTAAGCACGCTTTTTATTCACACAAGTTTTTCGTAATTTTTCATACTTTGTTCCTCAGCCCTACTACGCATATACACATGGAATTTCGTGCCATATCGTCATCTTTGCGATACATAGCCACTGTTTGAAATTTAACATTAATTGCGTAGGGGTTCCTATGCGTCGAAACACGACATTGAAGAAGAACGAGACAAGAACGAACGAATAAGAGATTGAAACAACAAACAAACGAGGTAAATGAACATAAAACTCAGGTTGTAAAGGAGAAGATAGATAGTTTTTGAGAATGGTTTCAAACTGTGCCAATTTGACAGGAAATCTATTCTTCCTAACAAACTTATCAATATCATGAGTAACTCGGTTTACAAAGAATACGCCTCACATTTTTCCTAGGCCGCGATAGTACTATCTTGTCTGAGCCTCCTCTAGTTATGAAACTTCTTCTTTGGAAAAAGTCTGAAGCACTAAGGTTGCAACTTCCAATAAGAATCTTATAAGCCATTATCAGATCAAAAGTGCGTCATCTAATAGCAAGAGGCTCAAGACCCGAATTCTTATTTCGAAGAGTGTAGTTAGGAATACGATCGTATACAAATCCATTACTCCTTATTAGCTGTTTCCTAGTGAAACTGTTTGGTACTTTTCATTCGCATACATACTCTTAGGGCCGCATGCACTAACCTCCCCGCTGGGGAGGGGATCGCAGTTTAGAAGAAAGCTTTACATTTCGAAACTCCAGATACCATTTCACGTTGTGTACCTACCCGTAAGTATTCCTACTACCCTTCACTATGAACATGTTGAAGAGGAGCGAGAAGCTGTACGAACAGCATTTTCCAGCTTTTGTATGATCCCTGATGATCCCCGGCGCTTTTCTTTAAAGTCATGTTTCTTTCTCCGAAGTTAACGAAAACTTTCCAAAGCTGTACTAAACATCTAACACAGCTGTGCTAAGCATGTTGCTGATGAGAATGAATGAGTTTTCAAAAGTCGAATTTTTCGGTAAACCTCAAATTTCGACCTGTGGATCATCGAAAATTTCATGACTTCAAAACATCATTTGTTCTTATCACGAACATGCTTAGCACTGTCGGGTTGGATAATCTGCACAACTTTGGAGGTTTTTCGTTAACTTCGGAGAAAGAAAAATGACTTCAAAGAAAAGCGCCGGGGGTCAGTAAGGATCATACAAAAGCTGGAAATTGTTCGTACAGCTTCTAGCTCCTCTTCAACATGTTCATAATGAAGGGTAGTAGAAATACTTACGGATAGGTACACAACGTGAAATTCAAGTATTGGAGTTTCGAAATATAAAGCTTTCTTTTAAGCTGCGATCCCCTCCCCGCGGGGATGTTAGTGCATGCGGCCCTTATTCTTCCGTATTCAACTAAAGGTCTGACATAGACTTCATAAACTCTTATGAGAAGATCGATCGTCATATCGTAATAGTGATAAATTTTCAGAAAAAGTTTGCCACTCTCAGCGATATCACTATGCATGCGCTGTAACCGAGACATTTGATTACAAATCAGTGAAAAAAATTTGGACTTTTGTAGATGACGCGCATGCAGGATCGTATTTTGCATGTCATCGTGTAGCAACTTGTCAGAAAGTATATATTAGGTTGTCCGGAAATTAATGTCCGTTTTGAATTTCAACCGCAATAAGTCATATATTTTTCATTCCTGGATAGGCTTCAAGATACCATCCGATAGAGCAAAGCAAGCTCTACAAGATGGCAGTCTTGCTTTAGCAACAGCTCTAATCCACCTCGAGTTTCGAGCCAAAAACTAAAAAGATCCAACTACCTGAAAAATCGAGAAAAATCATAACTCAGTTCAGAAGAATCGTACAAAAATTCTAACTTGCTCACGTAAACACTGTCCACATAAGACACATATGTACGCCATTGCCGTATTTTTTCCTCTGTTAGAAATCAAGAAAACGAAAATTTCCATGCTTTTGTTAAATGATGCTGTGTCGTCCCTACATAAGTAGATGTGTACTACAAATTTGTAGAAGTGCAATCGTAAATTTCTAGCTCTCTACAAGCTTTAGTTCTCGAGAATTTGAATTTTAGCTTAAACCACCTGACTAATGAAAGCTATATCCGATATTTCTCAAGAACTAAAGCTTGTGGAGAGCTGAAAATTTACGTTTGCACTTCTACAGATATGTAGTACACATCTACTTATGTGGGGACGACACAGCATCACTTTGGCAAAAGCATGGAAATTTTCTTTTTCTTGATTTCCAACAGAGGAAAAAATACGGCAATGGCGTACATATGTGTCTTATGTGGACAGTGTTTACGTGAGCAAGTTAGAAATTTGTACGATTCTTCTGAACTGAGTTATGATTTTTCTCGATTTTTCAGGCAGTTGGATCTTTTTAGTTTTTGGCTCGAAACTCGAGGTGGATTAGAGCTGTTGCTAAAGCAAGACTGCCGTCTTGTAGAGCTTGCTTTGCTCTAGCGAATGGTATCTTGAAGCCTATTCAGGAATGAAAAATATTTAAATAAAAAATATATTATAAATATTTAAATATTAAATAAATATCTAAATAAAAATACCTATTTACAAGTGAGAAGTGTATGACTTATTGCGGTTGAAATTCAAAACGGACATTAATTTCCGGACAACCTAATACATGTTTTACGCTTATCTACGAAAACCCTTTTGCTTTACATTCAAAAGGGTTTACAGCTTGACATTTGTCTACCTCGTGCCGGGCCCTGACCTTCCTCGGCCACTCTACATGTCAATTTGCTATCTCCTTTTGTTTTCGTGATCAGCATGCCCTCTTTTCGCCCCGTACAGTCAGACACACACATACACACGAACAGATTCAGCTGTGTGTATGAAATTCGCAAATATCGTCGAGTCATTTGTAACTTGATTTGTGAGCCTGCACACTACGCGCGGCAACCGACGACACCTTACTAGTATAGGCTGTGCGCGTTTTGCGTGGAATGCAACGCTGTTGCGTCCATCTGAGACAATTAATGATTACAAGAGAGGGATACAACCTTAGTTTGGAGAACCTTGCTTATAAGACCTAAACAGTTCGTTTCTTTCTGAGCGATATTTTTTTCCATCTCCAAAGATGGGTATATTCTTTTACATCGTTCTGAAAGGCTAATGTGTTTTTGGAGACATGTAGTATGCCATCCAGGTAACTTTATGGAAAATTATATAGTGTACTAGATGGCAAACCCGGCTCCGCCCGGGGCCAAACTTTGCACACATACACTTCGGGGCAGGGAGCGTGTCATAGTCCACTTTTCGTTATCGATCGATGTCGATTTCACCGATTTTTTGCAAAATTTGAGCTACGGGGCTGGGATTTTGCACAGGGGGGTAATCGAACATGCTGATCACCCCCACGGGGGTGATCAGCATGTTCGATTACCCCCCTGTGCAAAATCCCAGCCCCCTAGCTCAAATTTTGCAAAAAATCGGTGAAATCGACATCGATCGATAACGAAAAGTGGACTATGACACGCTCCCTGCCCCGAAGTGTATGTGTGCAAAGTTTGGCCCCGGGCGGAGCCGGGTTTGCCATCTAGTTCTTCATAAAAGAAAACATTTGCATACGAAGATCAACAAAGTAGGCTCCAATAACTGCAAAAATTGGGTGCAGTAAATGACAAATAATTAATGTTGTTTAATAATAAATGTTTAGCCTGTCACGCCGACTTACCGATTGCCTCATTCAATTCTGAAGAAGCAGCAGTTCTCCGCCTGCAGCAATGACATGATCTCCAGTCAAACTTCGGACGCTAACACCATCACCAGTGGAAGCTGTTCAAACTCTGATGCGGCCAGAGTAGGTTCAGTCCTTGAAGAAAATCTGCGAATAGATTTTAAACCACACTTCCAGCTAAGGATCGCTCAACGACTGCTGACCACCATGGCAGTTGCGACAGGTGTATCATCGGTGATGAGTCTGCAATTCTTCTTGCAAGTTGACTGGAATATGATGGTCTCGAAATTCCTCGTTCTCAAGGAGTTCTACGTAAGTCATAATACGTCATTTTCTTTGTATAATTCATTAGTACCTTCGCGCAGAGAAGTTACTATACAATCTTCTGAAGCATTTTCCCACAGCTAACAATTATATAACTCTGGGTTTTCATAGAACATATCCATCCATATTAAGACCATCTTATAGAGTAAGAAACCTTTCTTATGATATGAGCAGCAGAATTAAGTAAAAACACAAGATTCAAAGAACCAGACTATTGCATTTTTGCTCGGATGTCTTGCAAAAATTTCCTCATTTAATTTGATAAGTGGAATTAAATGATGTTTCATGAGCATAAGGCATCATCACGCTTGAGCGAAAAATCTTGATTCATAACCGGTATTTTAGAAAATATTCGTTCCAATGCGCTAAGTTCTGATGATGTTTAAGATTTAAAAAAAAAACAACTTTAAAAATTCGCTGCCCACTTTTCCGCACTTTGCTCGTATGCAGTGCATTCCTGTGGGGAGGAGAGGGGAGCTATGGAGAAACGTCCTTTATCTTGGTGTTCGATGGTTCTGTACCCCACTTTTTCTACTCATCTGCCAAAGATGCTGCCCTATACCTTAGCGTAAGGCTAAGGCATCCTCGCGCGACTGGGCCAAATCGCGACTTTCTCGCGACTCGGCTGTTTGTCAGATGTCTTCAAATTTATCGTGCGTGGCCTTTCAATACATAGGCGCGTAGCTTCTGTGATTTGTTGCAAACCGTTCAAATATTACCTCAAAAGAATATTCTGACGACCAATTATAAACAGTCGTTCCGGTCCTAAATAGCGCAGCGACTGGAATCGCGTGAGGTATGCCTTAAGCTTAAGGATGACAACTCAATGCCATAATGTGCTTTTCCTTGTTTTGTTCTAATTGGGGACCCAGAGGGCATCGCAACTTTTCCCAAAGTTGCGATGCCCTCTGGGTTTCTTTTTTATATTATGGGAGCGTAAAGCACTTTTTCGATGGAATAGATGGCATACGGAAATCTTGTATTCTTCGGTAAATTCTGACTCGGAAACTGCGTTTCATTGAGGGTTTCATCGTCCTGAGAGTTCTGTTGTTACAAATACATGCGCAACACCGTCATATCAAATTCCCAGCGAACTCTACGACGTTTCCATTGAGTTTGCAGAAAAAAAGATACCCTGTTTCAATAGTGCCGCCAGATGGTTCGACTCTTGTCATGCGCTTCTGCCTCGCTTGGACCTTGCGCCGCGTCTGCACGATCGTCTGGCTATCTCCATGTGTGAGCGGCGATTGAAGGGTGGCAGGCGTGCTCAAATGCCCAGAGGATAATTTGCAGACACGGAGCAGGGTCCAAGTGAAGCAGCCGCGCAAAACCTCAGGCGCACGATCCAGCGACACTGTCATTGAGACAGAGGGTATATGACTTTGGAAAAAGCGTTGATCCTCTGGGAATCTCGCAGGAATTCATATAAAGTAATAAAGATTCAGCGTCGATGTGCTGTCATTCGTTATGCTAAGGTATATAGCGTAGTAGAGCCTGCGAATGATGGGCACAAAACGAGGGATTCACATCTGAACAGGAGATAATGGAGTTCCCTCACAGCTTCAATCCCTCCCCAACGGAAGTTAGTGCATGCGGCCCTTAGTGTGTCAATCGAAAGTTATCCATCATTGCTTAACATGCAATTTTTAGCAAATAGCCAGTGAAGTCGGCGAAACGTTGGATATTGCCGTTGTTATATGCTCTGTATCGGCTTTCTTCATCACTTTGCTGCAGTTGTTCTTCGTGCTCAAACTACAGAAAAGCAGTAATAGTCCAACCATGTGAGTTTATCTATTTCTTTATCTAGAAAACAATTAGTTATACTTAGCAAATATTGTATCCCATCTCGATGGAGGAATTTGGATAAGTTACAAATCAGAAAGACGTTGACTAATAATGATGTGGTGAATGTAATCGAAATACTCTTTAGAATACATTTTTAAGTTGGCAGGAAAGTTCTGTCGTCTGTCGAAAAATCTAAAACTCTTGTCTTTGCAGCCAATTTGCTTGCTTTTTCTTGTTTGAAAGAGTAACACATGCCCATCGTAATAGTTTGTTATGGCTTTCTGCACATTGCATAGACAGAAGCGGTAGAAGAAAATACTCACATTTTGATTTTTCTGTTAGTCTAGAAAATCTGGAACTTGCGTAAAAATTGGAACCAGTGTTACAAGTTTTCTATCTGCTTTTTTCTGACCGAGCAAAGTTTGTGCTAATTGAAGATCTCTGTGAAAAGTTATGATTTCTGAGCAAGCAGTACAAAACGCGAATTTGATTTTTTTGGCATTTTCTTGAAGATCATAACTAATCATAGGAAACGTTCAATCACCCTAAACTTTGCTCAACTAGCAGGTGATAAGACCTATAATACCGACTGCTCCTTTTTATTGCAAGTTCCAGTTTTTTACGACCAAACACAGAAAAATCAAAATTTAATTAAATTCTTTTTACCGCGCTCAGTATATAGCCGCTAAAATATGTTGAAGAGCATGATTTACTTTTCAAAAAAGCAAGTAAGTTGAATGAGCAAACAAAAAGTTATGAATTTTTGAAAATAGTGCGACAGAACTCGTGTCAACCTAATTGTACAATCAAGATGATGTTTCTACTTTTGTCGTTCAAGGTTGTGAAGCTTTCTAAACTTTGCAACCACATTTTCTAACAACATCAAAAAAAACGACTGTTATTGCTTATTCTGCATAACTTTTCAAAAAAGCATTATAATAAGATGCAAACTTCATATTCAAAATCAGCAACTCTGATTAGCCTAGTGTGAGAGTTTCAGGGTTTTTTGTTTCCTTTCTGAGCAAAAATATACCCTCCATCGCTCAAAAAAATCTTTGAAGTTCCTACCGTAATCCTACAGTAAGGAAAAGAGATCGGTGTATATAATAGATCTAAATCGAGGCCGCTTTACAAAATATAAATACTTCATGACAAGAAATTGCCAATAACTAAACAGTTTACATTTTTTGGGACACCTGGATAACGATGTACAATATTCTTTTTCTTTTCTTTTAGCGCACTTGAGTATCTTGAAAGGACCAGCTTTATGAGACTGATTATCTATTCATTTTGGTTCTTTTCGGTGATTCTGATAATAGCAGGTGAGTCATGCACGTGATTCATGCTCCAACAGGTGTTACTTTCAGCTGTATTACTCTACTGTGCGTTGAATCCTTCCCGCGGTACAATTTCCAAAGGAGTCGGTCTCTCGCTCGGCATTTCAGCGATGTTATTCTGTATTGTGGTAACATTAAGAACAGTATTGTTCTGGACGCAATCACCAATGTCAACGCCCAGCATCGACAACTACAAGAACTTCTCCACTTTAGTATAGCGATCTAGAGTTTTTATAATGATTTTTACAATATTATGTATGTTTTAATTTGTGCCTTGTTCATATTGCCATGATCTCGCTCATTCGTTCTGATATTCCAATAGATGACACGCTAAGGTATGCGTAACCCCTCATCCTTCTTCTTCACTAGCCGCAAGTCATTTTCATCCCTTGGACTGATCGTGAGTTCTGAATCAGAATAATAACACATGCATCTCTTCTGTTCGTCATTTGGAGACAGGAAAATAAATCACGAATATAATATTCTAACTAATTGATTTCTTGAAAAGTGTACTTTATAGGTGGCGCTGTTCGCTCATATTGAGCCCCAAAGAATCAAAATCGCGAGTTTGTTCTAACGATTTTCCTCTAGGGACTATGAATCGATAATGAATATAACACTCAGCTTGATAAATCCTTATCGTTGGGACAGAAAGAAATGTTTACGCTACTTCCAGGTTCGGATGTCTCTTAATCTTAATCCACGATATAATGACCCTACTTCACGAATACTTGCAATGCTCAATAATCCGATGGGCGCCAATATTACAAACTGATTGGAAGCTTGGCAATGGAGCAACGTCTCGTACCTACTTTGGCCATCATTTTCATGTCTAAGATAGAGCGCCAGTGCAGCGAAAAACCTTGCTTCACGGTCGCTGTATGGATGACTGTGCGTCATATGCCCAACTCATGCCGAAGTAGATACGTACTTCCAGATGTCGAAATCAGCAGTCACCAAACATCTTTTTCACCAGGGAGAAGCCTATTGGGGGGGGGGGGGTGGTTGGCGTTTTCAAATGTACAGATCCTCTTGCAGGCAGGAGTTACAAAAATAAGTGGTATCCCAAACCTAGCAGTAAAAACATCTTGGTACATTCTTTGTAACACAGGGAATTGCGGCTTCCGTTGGCTAGGCCACGATTGGGCACGGCCGTGGGGCACGCGGGTCTTTTCGGGGCGGAGCTCCGATATGAGCAGCGACAACGAGATTTCCTTCTGCCTGCCATTCATATTCATTTCTGATGAATTGATCAGGGCAGTGCGGCGAGGCGTACATCAGGAGGGTTTGCACGGCGTGGTAAGAGGGTCGGTTTCCTCCCGCTAATCTCAAACGCCAATTGGTTCGTAATTGAGCCTATGACCGCATATGTGCTACTCCTAACTGCATGGTTTGCCCGTATGGTAGATGTGGTACTGTATGCTAGCCGGGGTTATTTACCTTATTAGATGCTTATCATGCGGCGACCTTTATATTGGCGAAACAGAACGTCCACTTTGCTGTCGCGTTAAAGAGCATTTAGATTGTTTAAATAAGCTAAAAGCAGCTACGCCATTAGGGGAACATCGTATAACGCGCCATGGTAGGGCTCCTATACAAGTTACTGTAAGGATCTTGTCAGTCCTAGATCCTCACGCGCAAAACTTTAGAGGCGTTTTGAATTAGCAAAAATCCAAAAATTAACCGGAAGGAGGAGTGTACCGCCATAAAGAGAGAACTCGCGCCTTATCAGTCCCTATGCGGATTTGAATACGAGGCCAGGTCATCAACACTATAAAAGAGCTGAGGTTAAGTCTTGTGTATAGGTGGTCCTCGGACTTCCGTCTTGTGCTATCTAAGGTGAGTACTGTGCTTGTGAATATGATTTTGTTTAGCTTTAGCTTTGTTTTCGAATGATACTTTATCTGTTGTTGACGTCTGGGCGAGTAAAGGCTGCTGCACGACGAAGGTGCAATGGCGGTATTAGTTGAGCGTGCGCGAACGCGACGCGCGCGTAACCTCACCGTTGTAGATCCCGCACCTCATGCGCTCTGTGGCTAATAAAGCCGCGTTCGCTCCCGAAGATATCGCGCCTTCGTCACGCAGCAACCTATAAGTTCATAGACTTTCGGCTTGCAGGCTCCGAGGAAGGCGAAAGCGCCGAAACCTTAGCGAATAAAGAGGTGCTATCAATCTTGGCAATTCGCTCAGCCAAATGAACTACGATGACGTTACTCTAAATCTTCTCGTTTGTTGCGTGGATGCTGCCAAAAAAAACACGAAAATCAGAGAGATTCCTATCTACGTTTAGCCTAATCTGTTAATTTACTCTCCGACTTAATCGTACATGAGCAGTCATAGACATTTAGTTTCCCGTTTAATTCAATTCGCCCTATGCTCCAAACCTCTTCCTGTTATTCTTTTTACTAACAAGGGAGGTCCGATTAGTCGAAGTGGCCTTTTTGAACGAGTCATAAACCGTTTTGAAGAGCGTTAAAAGCTGATTCCGAATCTGATTTCATTATCTGCCGAGCTCCTTTGCGTGCCGAGTTATGAATGTTTTTGGAACGAAAAATGAACGCAGAATTCAAGCAAAATCAACTGTTACGGGTTTTTTAGCGCATAAATAGAGCAGTATGTAGTATGAATGTTTTTGACAGAAAGTTATTCTTTAAATGGAGTGCTTTGATAATCAAAATTGGACTATTTGAGCAATTTTGACGAATTTTGTTCCAATTACGCATTCACTTTTCCAACACAAAAAACGCTCATAACTCGACGCCCAGAGGCGCTCGGCAGATAACGAAGACAGATTCGGAATCAGTGTTTGAAGCTCTTCAAAATGGTTTATGGTCTATTTGGAAAGGCCACTTCGACTAATCGGACCTCCCTTGTAAGAACCTCAAGAAAAAAAGTGCAAAAGCCTTCTTTTTGAGACGACAAAAACCACACTTTTAAGTCGTTTGCGTTTTGCGCGGAATACATTCATTGTGCTTTAGAAGATTCTCTTGCGTAATTGAGGTGCGTGAAATATGTATACTTAGCCCAATTTTGCAGAAAGGTCCTTTTCAGGCACACGCCATAGGCAAGCGCCATACTTGATCCGCTTAATCCACTTGATCCGCTTGATCCGCTTCGTCATTGGTCGATTCAGTGAACCGAGCAATAGCGAAGCGGTTGTCCGCTTGATCCGCTTCACTATTGGTCAGTTCACTGAATTGACCAATGATGAAGCGGATCAAGCGGATCAAGCGGATTAAGTGGATCAAGTGTGGCGCGTGCCATAGTTGATCCACTTGATCCGCTTGATCCACTTGATCTACTTCATGGTTGGTCAAATCACTGATTTGACCAGCAACGAAGCAGTTTTCTGCTTGGTCCACTTACCACTTGAGCCACTTGATTATTGGCAATTTCATGATTTGACGAATAGAAGTGGATCAAGTGGATCATCTATGGCATGTGCCTTAGACGCTACCCTGTCACAGTGGTATTCTATATATTGTAATGCCCCCTAGGCCAAGATTTGGGAAATTTTAGTTGCTAGAGCACGGTGGCGTTAACTTCTTAGGCACTTGCCATAAAGTTTATTCTATGCTCAATAAAGATGTAAATTTTGAATGTGAATCTCAAGATGTTTGGAGGCATTTTTGGGCGAATCAGGACAATTTGTCATAACTGTCTATCATGTCAACATAACGTACATCATTTTGATAAAGCAGACAATTGGGGTACAGCCAAGTGGATTTTCTGCTTTGATATATTGTGCTTGCGGTGCCGAGAAGATGCGGTAAGGTCTTGCGCGTGAACAAATAGCTACGCCTGACGTCGGTCGTTTGCGCGCGCAAAGCAGCGGCACTGGTGGAGTGGCTACTTGTTCACGCGCAAACCTTACCGCATTTTCTGGGCATAGCGGCACTTTATATTGAGCAGAGAATCTACTCGAGTGTAGGACGATATGGGGATTTCGGTTTAGTAACCGAAAATCTAACAATTTCATGTCACCTAGGTGTATCAATGCGCGATTTTTGGGTGCTAGCCATTGACCTCAAGACAACCAGACTAGTAAACGTTAGAAACTCAATACTAATGAGCAGTAGGACATATAATCGACTCCCAGATCCGTGTGAAGGTGGAGTCTTGCCAACTCAAAGCGTGGCGATTTCTGAGGCTGCACGTCAGGAGGTACGCCGCGCGCGGCGGCCGCTCCTACGCGCAAGCCGCGTTCGAATCTTGGGGCTCACAAAACCCCCGCTGTTGAAGATTCCCCGCGGCAAAAACAGGGGGGGGGGAGTGGGGGTGGGACAGATATATGACTGGATGCCTTAAGTAACACTGCGCAAGGAGCGCTGCTGTTGTATCGGCTGAAGTATCGCCGATTCGTTGACTGTACGGACTGGACATAACCGAGAAGCACGCGCCGCGGGGTAAAACGCTTGCTCCAATACAAACTCGCCATTGTTAAAATCGGGGTGGAGGACATTAGGTCGCCGAATTTGGAATAGTCCCGCGCGGATTCCCTGCGGGAACGGATGTCCGCGTATGTACAAGGGTGCGTATTTGTCGCAAATGACCGCGGGGACCGCCTTCTTTCGGCGACCTAATGTCCTCCACCCTTAAAATCGTGGTCTCGCAACATTTTAACCACGCCGCGCGTGGTCCGTAGCGTTTGAGCAGTCCGTACGGTCAACGAATCGACGGTACATTGCGGCGTTGCTTCGTGAAAATTTCGCGCCGATCGTACTCCTGACCGTCCCCCGATTTCTGATAGCGAGAAGTACGAGCACCAATGCTATAACGTCGAGATTTAAGAAATTTATATCCTTTCAATTGGGGATAATCCGCAAACAGCCACACGAATTTGGAGGCCGATCATACAGTCTGCGTCGAAGGTATACTCCCTTTTCGTAAGAATTTTCGTAGGATAACGCATCCGCAACGCAACGGTCTTGCGTGCCGACATCCAGCCAAGGTGTAGACCGTCCGCGCAGGGCGCGGAGAGTGCGCAAGGTGTGCATTGCGCGTCACTCCTCTTTACCCGTGCACTTCCGCCGCACGTTTTCTCTGCGCCCGTACTATCTTCTTCACTGTACGCGACAGCGTTACCCTCCGAGCGCAGCGCGGACGACCTATATGGGGCATTTGAAAAATCGTGACGATGGCGCGACTGCACGCAACACGCACGCACTCCCAATTCTTGGTTTCTATCTCTACTCAAATAGTTTTTCCACACATATGATAGTATTCAGGTACTGAAGTGACTAAGCTTAGCGTTGAGGTGTTGCCTGTTTGTGTGGGTGTTCTATCCTTCTGTGAGCGAAAAGACCGCAGTCAACTCGTCGTCACGATTTTAAAAATGAACCATAGTTCAAATGCTCAGGCCATACACCCGCAAACGCTGCGCGAAACCCCATCGAGGAATTGTTGCGATGGAAACGGGAGTTTGAGATTGACACAGCCTGTATCCACATTCCCCTTGATGGTCGATCTTTTCTACTGCTAGTACTCGGATATTTCTTTTTTGTACTTCGCACTGGTTTGTGCAATCGTATTTTATTTGTACAGATCATTTTGTTGATCAGTCTGTTTCGTCTGTTTCGTCTGTCCCGTAGTTTCGTTATAGTACAAACGAAAAAAGTGTCCGCGAAATTTCTCGAAACGCTAAAAGAACTGGCAGAAGGATGAGTACGAGAAAAAGCAGAAAGGTTACCATTCGTTGGGAGGAGGGAACGGAACGTGCCTTGTTACTATTATCAAATTTGAAATAATTCCGCCTACAAATTCAGTATTCGAACGAGCTTCTGTATCCATGAGCAGCCAGATTTGTACAAAAGCGTTCCTGATTGCAGTGGCGGACCGAGGGGGGGGGGGCGGGGGGGGCGCGCGCCCCCCCCGAGAATGGGTCGCGAAATTTTTGAAACTTACCTATATGGGTTGTAAAAATGTGCAAACGACTTGTTTGCACTTGAAAATAATTAAAATAATTTTTGAAATTTTTTAAAAATTCATTTTAGCCTTATAAAAAAATTTTTTTCGGGGGCGTGGCTGACGCCACGCCCCCTTTTTTCAGATTTTAGGGGTCGGGGACCCGCAAAAATTTTGAGAAGCACCCCAAAAATTTTTTCGGAGTGCGTGGCTAACGCCACGCACCTTCTTTAGAAAAAAATTTTTTTCGCGCCCCCCCCGAAAAAAATTTCTCGGACCGCCACTGCCTGATTGGTAGGGTAAACTTGTTAAACCTCCAGTTAAAGCATTGTTTTTCGTACTCTCTCGCTATCAAGAATCCACGCTTTGAGTCACTCCGCCTCATAAAAACCTGAGCCGTTGATATCTGCTCATAAATCACAAAATATCCGGAGTCTCAAACACCTTGTCCCCTGGCATTCCCAATGCGACAAGTACAATACCCTTGATACCACTGTTGTATAGACCTCGACACGGCACCCAATTGACATCATGTGTCAAAAATGCGTACTTGATGTAAGTACAGTGTACACTACTTACCTCAACCTGTAATTGATATTTTTTTCAACTTCTACTTCCTCCCCATATCTTTGGAGTTGGGAAAATGACTGAAGAAAGTATTGGTAAAACTGATTGATTTTAAATATCACTACTCGTACTGAAATCTTATGTCATGGGGGGGGTTATTTATCATGCTGATTTCGAAAATGGTAATCATTTTGCTTGATAGTCGTTCGTCGATTCCCCATAGCTAAGTTTGGAGTTATTTGATGTGCCAAGTGGAAGTGCAGGTCAGAGGTAAGGAGGCTGTTTCCAGATTACTCACGTAATTACCGATGTTTCTAGATTGCCTATGTCATTTACTTTTATCACTTCTGACATTCATTGGGCTTTCGATGCTATCGTAGGTTCGAGGTAATGTAAGATGTTTGGTAAATTTTTTTTTCAAACTAATCTATCAAATTGAAGGTATTTTTATGACCTGAAAACTCGGAAGAGCAAGTTCTACCATTGTTTAAACAATACGCGCACAGCAGTCTCGAGTCTCCCATTCATAGAATAGATGATATGCGAAATGAGTATCATCTTTTAACTCGTGCAAAACAAACTAAACAGAATTTAAGCAATTCTGTTCAGTAACGGGCAGCTGCTGCAGCTACAATAAACGACTATCGAGCAAAATGAGTACCATTTTCGGAATCAGCATGATAAATAACCGTCATGATATAAGATTTCAGTACGAGTAGTGATATTTGAAATCAATCAGTTTTGCCAATACTTTCTTCAGTCATTTTCCCAACTCCAGAGATATGGAGAGGGGGGTGGGGAGGAAGTAGAAGTTGAAAAAACTGGAATACCGCGGACGAATTTCGCGCACGATGGCTAAAACCGGACGGGCTGCAGGAGCGATGCGTTTGCGGCGCGTGCCACTTCCAATCTGGCGCTGGTGCACTTCCGTGAATTTCCCGGCGAAGTCGCGGAGAATCCAGTAGATTCTGGAGGGGCGCCATGGTTCAGCTAGGCAGCAAAAGCCCATTTGGTCAGTCTTTTGACAATTCTGTCTTCATCATCCCGGCCATCGTCATCCTCGCTATTGTTGGTAAGTTTCTGGAGTTTGTCTTCCTACATTTCATGATCGCTACTTTTGCGCACTTACAATACTAAGAGCTTTTCGAATTCGTATTGTTTGTTTCATCGAGAAGTGATTCCTTACTCACCAGAAAAGTCCCTCATTATATGCTTTGCCCTCTTCAACCTCCAAAATCGTGCATCATATCTCTCTCTCTTGTCAATGCACTGTAGGGATCCTACAAGCTAGCGACTATATGCATGAATTGTCCTTGTAGTTGTAAACCTTCGTAGGATGCTTTGTAAAACGATCAGCGAGAATAAATATGGAGGGCGCTCGTTAGTAGCGGGTCATTTCATAAGAAATGATCGGTATCCGGGACTTTATCTGTTTTTTGGCTATTCTGCGAGAACATTTGCGATAACAACTCATCCACTTAGATAGATGTACTCAAATGACATGTCCTTATATATCATCATCCTTCCTTCGCGTAGGCATCCTTCAAAAAAGTTGCCCTTTGTGGGGGAGTTAGCGGTATTATTTACACACTTGAGGACAAGAGTGAAACATCTTTTGCCGGTCATTTTGGTCTGATCATCATTATCATAATCGCGAACGCAATCTTCATTAGCACTAAATCTGGTGTATGTCAAGAGCGTGATTTTTACTGCCAGATGAACATTAATTGCGCATAATTATTGCATTCTTAACTTTCTTGGAACATCTGGTTCATGAAGGAGATATATTAGATAGTTGTTTGAGTTGTTCAGTTTTCCGATCTCGAAATGGATTTGAGACATGAATGTTGGAGGTCAAAGACCCATAAAAATGCATTTCGCACAAAATTCGTGAATGTTTCGGTCTTTCTCAGCAAAAGCCGTACAACACAGCAGTTTTATAAAAGCACCCGATTTTTTCAAGATCGACCAGTCTGAGCACACACGAAAATTTCGCGAGCAAAATACCCTCTATCGTGTGCTCCTTGCTTGAAAGCATCGAGTGAAAGGGCGCCCATTTGGTAAGGCACACTGGGCGGCCGAGCTGCTTGAAATGGAAAAGGTGCGTCTTGTACCCGTGAATTAGGGTAGTAACTTTGAATAGCTAGTAAGCTAAGGCACTTTGTGCCCGGGTTTTTTGAAGCCGTGCTTACCGCTAAACTGGACTTCTGTTTGTGACAGCTGAAGAAGTCGCCCCTCTTGGCCGCCTACTTAATCCCCTTGCCTTCGCACTATAATCTACAAGCAGACGCGTGCCTGTGACCTTTGATGCTTTGACCTGCACAAAGCTTCAAAATTTTGTTGGATGAGGTTAATCTTCATTCTGATTTACGCACTGGTTCCTGTACTATAGGTGAAGCGCTTCTTTGAAGTGTTTTGAACAGTTGTTTGATTTCTACATAAGCATTACCTTGGCGGGCTATTTTGATGTAGAGGTGATGGCCTTGAGTTTGAAAGGAAGAAATGCTACAATTGCTAGATTTTTATATTTATTCGTTTCTAATTCCTCAAGTTGTAGTGAATTGGTCTATCTCCTTTCTTTAAGTCCACATTCCGAGTATGGACGAACTAGCTTTTTGTTATTCCATCTGTTTCCGTCTCCTTCGCATACCTTTGATAGAGAGTGAAAATTATCTGGAGAAGCACTGATTAATGCGATACTGATAAACTCCGATAATACGGTATTAATACTGATTAATTGTAGATGGTGTCATGATAAAGTGTGAAATCGGAAACATCATATAGCAATGCCCTTTCAATGCGATATTGATAGTCATCATTCCAGGCTTCTGTTCCTATAAACTGGTACGATCTTTGAAAGCCAAGGAAGAGAGACAAAATCAGCGACGAGCCAAACGTGAAGAGAAAAAGACAAAGAAAACTAAGTAAGACGACGACAGATAACATGGGGAAGTTGTACAATCCACAAAACATATCATTAGTATTATATTAGAAGAATTTATGCATTCAATGTTTTTGTTATCAATTACGTGAGGGTTTTGTTTGATAGATTTTTGTTGTGATATCGCATTCTTGTCATAGACATAAATTATCATGATTGTCGGATAGTCTCTAACAATTGTGGTCTTTTATTTTCTCGATGCATTTGTAATGGGTATGGAAAGTCATGAACTATTTACTTCTCGTACATAACAATCCGGATGGACAGATACATGGATTTTCGAATGAAAATGTAATTCTTCTACTAATTTGTCTGGTGATGAATGATTGATGAGGGTTTGCGCTACTATCGTCCGTGGTTTCAAATGAGACCATAGTCACGCATTCCAAATGTGCGCGGATCCTGGATGATGGTGTGCACGTCTCAAGCATGCACGCATGAGTATGTGGTATATAGTCGCCTTGTCTTATGTTTTCTCCATTCTGAGTTCTCTTCCAGTCAGATTGGTGAAATCGCTAAAAGAATCTTCGCAAAATCTTTAGAGTGGTATTTGTAAACTAAACAGTCAAGTAAATTTTACCGGTATCTTGCGCGCGCAAGTGGACGGCACTGAAGGCGTAGTTAGGTTCAAGCGTTTTGAAGCGACCGAATACCATTACAGTGGTAACCCATGACCTGATTATTTTTCCAACTCACTCGCTTACAAATACCGTGCATATAAGTTTGGTTCACATTAGCCCGCTATCCAAACAAACTAACAAGGGAACCGTGTCGAGTCGAAGTGGCCTTTCAAGATGAGACCCATACCGCTTTGAAAAGCATTAATCGGTGATTCCAAATCTGCTTTCCAAATCTGCCAAGCGCCTCTGGACGCCGAGTTATGCTCGTTTTTCAGGTCGAAAAATTGAACGCAAAACTGGAGCAAAATTGCCCAAATTTGCTCAAATGGTCCAGTGTCAAGTACCAGAGCTGTTTATGCAATGGATACATTTTATTTGATATGCTAATACTTAACATTGCTTTATCTTAGCGCTGGAAAGATTGTAACAATCAATTTTACCTAAATTCTGCATTCATTTTTCTTTCCGAAGAACTGTCATAACTCGGCGTCCAGAGGCGCTTGGCAGATTTGGAAGGCAGATTTGGAATCACCGCTCAATACTCTTCAAAGCAGTATGGGTCTCACATGGAAAGACCACTTCGACTCGACACGGTTCCTTTGTAAGCTTTTTGAAATGAGTGGACCTTCGAAGCCCGAACTTGTTTTTCGCGTTTGGGCCGTAAGATATCTGGATAAGTAGCCGCTCCCGGGAGTTTGCGGGCCGAGCATTACGGACATTTGAACATGTTGGAAAATATCCCAGTCTAACGCATTACATCTCATTCTGACTATTCAATACCATGGTATATAAATCTGGTGGTAAACGTAGTTCTCTTGCGGTGCCGAGATTGAGAGACGAAATTTGGATGTAAACAAATAGCTACGCCGCCTGAATTGCCAGCATTTTGCACGCACAGATTGCCCATCGCAGCTATAGCTAGTTCACGCGCAAATTTTACCGATCTATTTCGGTACCGCAAAGGCACTTTATATACGTCAGATCCAAAGTCCATTCCACAATTGCTGCTACTCTTGTTCTGCGTTTCTGACCTGCACCACGCATGATAAGACATTAGCAACGTGCAACAACATGATGGGATTAACGCTAGGCGAAGGTATCCTCGATATCATCCCATATAAATATGTCTTCCCTCAACATGACGAGGATTACGTGGCTTGATGAGGCGCCGCCTCGCTTCGGGCTCGCGCCACGTTGCGAGCGCATCATTTGGAGCGACGTGGCGCTCAGCATAAGGTGGCGCAGGCTTTTCCACGTTCTTCTTGTTGCGACATCACGCCGAAAATGCGCACGCAACGTGGCGCAAGCCCGAGGCGAAGCGGCGCCTCATCAAGCCACGTAATCCACGTTATGTTGAGGGAAGACATATGGGATGATATCGAGGGTAGGTCTACTTTCGCACGCACACGACTAAGAGCGCGAACATGGTCATATTACCCGTAGGACGCATAAGACGCTGAGACATGTTTAGGCTGCGAGACGGTCTTTTCTCAGGGACTTTCTCCAGCTCCGCCCTGATTTTGACTTGTCTTAACACGCCAAGCACACCGCAAATCTTTCCTCGCTCTGCTTTGCATAGGTCTTGGACCTACAGTCTGCTCCAGTCGGAATCAGGCCGAACCGTAGGCGCAAATTTGCGCGCTCGCAGCGCTAGCGGTCTGCGCTACATATGCGCGCTGTCGGAGAGAGTAAAAGGATTGCAGAGAGAGCGGAGAAGCAGGCCATGGCGTAACCGCGAACCCTAGCGACGCGGACTCTCGCTATGTCAATTTTGGCCTGGTTGGGATTGGGGCAGAGTGTAGCTCACGCGACGAAGTCGTCGCGATTTTCGACCAGGTCCGTCTGGAAGGTGCCAGACTTATCCCGTTCACCCGGTTCACCTCGAATTGGTCGATTGAGGGACCGTAGATTCGCCCGCAGGAACGATTACTTTTGGATTGGAGCAGGAATTGTGTTTAGAGCGCTCAATCGTCTCTCGTTCTGCTACGTGCAGTTATGAATTTGACGGAACTCCTTTTTCCAGTACCAGTTTAGTCTATGTTAGCTCTTTACATTGTGTTCTTGTGTGACCAAGAGGTTTAGGTTCATCTTGTAGGTTTGAAGTTCTAGAGTTTCTCAAGTGAGGTGTAGTGCATCAGAGTTATTGTAATCTTTATTGTCAAACTAGCTGGCTTACCCGGCTCCGCCGTATCCGGACCAAACTTGGCACACATACATTTCGGGCCCCGGCGGGTGTCACAGTCCACTTTTCGTTATCGATCGATGTCGATTTTACCGATTTTTATCGTTTTCTTTGCAGAGTTCACCTACAGGGCTAGGAATTGGCACAGGGGGGGGGGGGGAAGTGAGCATGGGGATTCCGAATACAATATTAGTTTTCAGAATTATCGATTACTTTTATTGATTTTATCGATTTTTTGTAAATTTTGACATGCGAGGCTGGGATTTTGCACAGGGGGGTAATCGAGCATGCTGATTACGAACACAATATTAGTTTTCAGGATCGTCCATTACTTTTATCCATTTTATCGATTTTTTTGTAAAGTTTGACCTGCGGGGCCGGGAGTTTGCACAGGGGGTAATCGAGCATGCAGATTACGAATACAATATTGGTTTTCGAGATCGTCCATTACTTTTATCGATTTTATCGATTTTTTGAAAATTTGAGCTAGGGGGCTGGAATTTGGCGCAGGGGTGTAATCGAGCATGCTGATCACCCCCCTTGGGGATGATCAGCATGCTCGATTACCCCCCTGTGCCAACTCCCAGCCCCGTAGCTCAAACTTTGCAAAAAAATCGATAAAATCGATAAAAGTAATCGATAATCCTGAAAACCAATATTGTATTCGGAATCCCCATGCTCGATTACCCCCCTGTGCCAACTCCCAGCCCCGTAGGTGAACTCAGCAAAAAAATCGATAAAAATCGATAAAATCGATATCGATCGATGACGGAAAAAAGCCTATGACACCCGCCGGGGCCCGTAGTGTATGTGTGCCAAGTTTGGTCCGGATCGGTTCAGAAATGGAATTTTCTATTCGGAACATACGTACATACATACAGACAGACATACAGACAAACAGACATTCAGCTTTATATATAAGAATTTACTAGAGGTGGAAAGAGCAACTGGCTAGAGGTCACTGTCAAAAGTAGTCTACAGCAAACTCAGCCTCGGTCAACATTTTGACCCAGTTGCATCTTGATGGTCCCGTCTCATTCGGTTTTCACATAACAAGGCGGTGACGAGGTTGCATCGAGGTTTTTGCGCTCGGATGTTCTACACAAACAAAGCCATCGAAATGTTTGCCACTTTACGGCTAACACTTATTTTGCAGACGCTCTTGCCGCGTCTGTCATTTTAGCGGACTTCTTCAAATGTCATGCTTGGCAACAGAAATCTATCCGAGAATATTTGAATTGGCAACAAATTTGTGCAAGTTGTGTGCATTATCAACTCTCTGCCGGATAAAAATGGAACAAAGATTATTTCATGAGGGCATCGCAATTCAATGCATAAACACTAAAGCATGAGGAATAAAAAATACATCGCAGCGCTTTACTGCTCCGAAGAGGAGGACATTTCACAGTCAAGCTCTGCCATGATTTGCTTTGTAGTATTTCAGATTTACTTGAGTCATTCAGGCATGTTGTAGAATCAACTTTTCTCCTTCTGGTGTAAAGCACATTTGATACAACAAACTTGCATTATGGCCCCAATCCTCATATTTCAAGTCACCCAATAATTTACAATGCAGATTTTCAGATTTGAGAAGAGCATTGATTCAGGAAACAATTTTGTGCCAAGTACCAAAAATTAGGTATGAATGAGTCTATTGACGTTTTATCATGTTCTTGTAAATCTGAAACACTGCAAGGGCTGACATGAAAACTGGAGTCATGGTTCAAGTTTGTTGAAGGTGACATTTGCAATTCTTATTGCAAACGGTTTCGGTTAATGGTGCGTACATTTTCGACAAACTAAGTCGTAAAACCTAAGCATCTGCATTTCAAATTCTTTTGCAAAATTATATTCTTGGCGAGCTTTGAAAAATGAAGTTCAGTGGTCGTTCGCTTACATTTCTGTGACCGTACCGTAGTAGAAACTCGCCGAGATTACCATAAGTCTGACTTTTTCTCAAGTATATTTGTATGTATATTTGTATATAAGGCAAATTCGCCTGGATGATGCAAAAAGTAAAAATTTTTCAGTGAAAAGGAGAAAGTTCTGTGCATCTGATTCTTGAATTAGCCTTTCAGGTCCAAGCAGCATGATGTATGGTGATAATCTACAGCGCATCCCAAACACTGTGCACACCGTATGATCGTTAATAACTCTCTTGCCTTCTTGTCTTCTTGAAGAGGGCTGTACAAATTTTACGGAGCTGAAAGACTTTGAAAAAAGCACAAAAGAACAAATCTTGCCAGCTCTCGAGAAGTCACAGCAAGAAGACGACGATCAACCGCTGATCAGGGCGCAGCATTCACAATCAGAGACAAACTACGATGTTAAGAAGCTAGTACAATCGTAGTTTCCTAGTGCCACCTTTTTTGCAAGAATTTCGCTTATAGGTAGACTCCCCAATAGTCAAGGCATTCAATGAAGCTGAAAGGAGACGGTTGTCCAGATCGAAAAAGTGATATCTACTAAAGAAAAAAAGCAAAAAGCAAATTGAACTTCTATGTACAAATTCAAACCGCATTAGTAAGGAATTTTGTACTTGATGCTGATAGTAATGGAGACTTAGAGCTTGAGTAACTCATCTTATGCTGTAACTCTGCGCGGTTTCCCAAAATCAGTTTCCGCTGGCGATACCCATTTGTCCAGATTTGCCTGGACGCCGGAAGAAAGTGGCTCGGCAAGCTTGATACGGAGATTAGAGTTGCAGTAGTAGAGTTGCAAGACGCAACATTGGGTTATTTGGTAAGCGCATCCTCAAAATCAGCATTGGAAGGATAAGGTGCTCTACGGAGGATTCCTGCTCCAATCCAAAAATAATCGTTCTTGCGGGCGAATCTACGGTCCCTCTTGGTCGATTTAGTGATTTGACCAACTGAATGGGTGAACCGATTGAACAAACCGGATAAATCCGTCACTTACCTCTAGCGATTGTCTCACAAGGGAAGGATACTTGGTCGAAGGGGCGTTTTCCAAAGGAAATGTACACTGTCTTGTTGAGCACGGAATGCTGATTACGAATCTGCTTTCAGTATCTCATCGCGCTTCTGGGAGGGGAGTCAAGGAAATTTTACGCAAAAATTTCGAGACGCGGCTACAATACTTTTAGAACTGTAGTCTGTGAACTTGGACGGACTCATGATTACTGTCAGGCGCTTCGTGCAGTTATTACCTTCATTCTAATAAATTTGAACTAGTTGTTACTTCATGCTGGAAAGACCTCAACATTCGTTTTTACCTTGACCAAAACCAAGGATGTTTGCCTCAAAAAACTCTCATAACTTCCAGCCCAGAAGCGCTTTGCAGATACCGAAAGCAGATTCGGATTCAGCGTTCCATGCTCTATAAGAAATATACATTTACCATGGAAAAGCAACTTCGACCAAGTATTCTTTCCTTGTCAGTGGTAGCGGGGGTACGTGAAAGCCATGGTGTATTTGCACTGATGTACTGCAAAAGACGCCAACTCCTCTGTGTCTGCTTTTTTTTCGCCGCTGTGGTGTTTGTATTATCTAGCATCTAAAAAAAAAGTTTTGGAAAATCACTGTATCCATCTTTAGGATTGCCTTTTACCTATCGAGTTTTATGCATCAATGGAGTTTCCGTTTTCTGCGTCGGGATGCCATCTTGAAAATCTTTATTGTCGGAACAAGCACAAAATGGTTGTCGCCAGTTCATCATGCATCTAGGCTAGGCGAAGGTTCTTACCGATATGTTTTTTGCAAATCACTTCAGTTGGCAGTGTGTTTACAACACGGTTTAGCTTCTGTTAACTGTGGTCATCTGCGTCTAAACCGCCACTAGGGAATGCGGTTGGTGGAAAGATACTAGTCGATACTCTTTGTGCGATACTCGCGCAAATTTCCTAACTTATCCTTCAAATTTTTTTCATGCTCTTTTGAACTAAACTCTGATTCGATTAGTCATGAAACGCGCACTGTTGTCTGCACGAAAGCAGCTCGTGCTGGCGAGGTTTGGATCTATCACGAAGACACCTGCATCGGAAGTCACTCCAGCAAACGCGGAATTTGATGAGGTTACTCACACAGGGCAGGTAAGCTTCGTTCGTACTGTAGGTGTTTTCAGTGATTTTGGGTACGATTGGCATGACTAAATTCTGCTATTTTTCTAAAACTTTCAGGCATGGGATCAAGCTGACTATCGTCTGCAGAGATTTGACATTGCAAAGAAACAGGTAAAGTCATCGCCGCATTCCATTCAAAATCGTGCATAGGTAATAGGTCCACCTTACATCAAAATTCATTCTTTATATGCATGTTTTCCATCTGTGATACGGCCAATAGTGCACAAATCTTCTTTCACTCAAATACACTTCTCCAGTGTTTTTGTATTGCGTTGCTGTTATCACCATATATTTTATTTTCTGGACTCTTTCCATGTATTACTGCTGGTAACTTGTTCCAGGTCAATCCGAACATTGCCATGCATCTTGTGCAGGAGCGTCCACCGCAAGACTGTGGCGATAAACGCGTCATCTACTGCGACGGCGGAGACGGCGAACATCCTGCATTGGGACATCCTCGCATTTTTATCAACCTCGTTAGTTTTCATTTAAAGTTAAGATCAGTTTTTGCGCACATTCTGAAACTTTGGTGTAACGCAGCAACGATCATATTCTATCAGTCTTTAACCTGCAATTTTTTTTGAATCCTCTCTCAGTAAAAAGGATACAACGTGCTCTCTGTAGATGCTCATAGGCGAAACCCAGACAAATCTGATATGACCTTAATGCTCACATTAGCGAATATCCACGTGAGGTTTCTTACAAGAGAAGGATGGTTGGTCGAAGTGGCCTTCTGAGATGATTTATATACCGTAGTGGAGAACATTAAACGTTGATTCCAAATCTGTCTTAATTATCTGCGGCGCGTTCTTGGACGAGGAGTTATAAGTGTTTGAAGGAGCAAAAAAATGAGTGTTTTTTGGGATAAAGAAGTTTTTAAAATTTTCCCAATGCTTGAATGAGACAGCTGGAGTGCGAATATATCTTACCTAAAAGTATTTATTTTATAGAGTGTTGGAGAGTTTACCGCTGTCCATTTAAGAGCTAGGAATAATGTTACTACTGTTTTTATATTATTTGCACATTCAACTTTTTTCTCCAATAAACGCTTCTAACTTCTCGTGCAGGAACGCGCTGCAGATATGGAAGACAGATTTGGAGTCTGCGTTTTATGCCCTCCAACATGGTATACAAATCATCGCAAAAAGCCACTTCGACTGACCATCCTTCCCTTGTTAGTACGATGGCCACTTAGTCACTTTGATATTTCGGCTCAACTTTTCTTCGTTTCTTTCTCTGTGGGGTATGTAGGATCCTTAGCTGATAGAAGGCCAATGCATATGGCGACTACCGCTGGTTACCGCTCGTTGCCATTCCAGATAGTCGGGGAACATAAGCGAGGGCGATTGTCGTAAAGCGCATTCTATATCTAGAAACATCGTATAGGCGATTCAGACACGCAAAGACAGCCGCCATTGCGACCCTTGTCGACGTCTATAAGATCAGACGCACTTTCATGCCTTCAATCTGTCTTTTTCACAGACAATCTAGCATCTCATTTGGACGCAGCAGCGCCCAACTCTGTGCGCGCTAAATGAAGGTTGCAGTGGCATCAGGTTATGACCGAGAGGGGGGGGGGAGTACTTTTACTATGGCGTTCAGATTACAGAACCGGGTATGTTATGGTATTTTATAAGTTTTCTTCGTTGTTTTTTTTTTGAACTTGATCACACCTGTTCCCAAAGGAGTTTATGCTCAATATTCAGGCTGATATTTGTCTTTATTAGTAGAGTATTAGTCTTGCATAATCGCACAGCTTGACATCCTATTCATTCCTGCGGGCATTTTTTTGCTCTCTCGCTTATGCATGATGGATCAATGCATCTCTTCAAAAAAAAAAAGACAATTGAATAGGTGTAAGGGCGTAATCGACTTGGCAACGTAATTGTTAGTGGTTCTATCACAGTTGAGTTTTCCTTGATCATGCTAGAATTTCCACCAGGCCAGATTGGAATTACTTGTTGTTGGTTTTTTTTCTTTTTTGGTTTTGGTAGTTTCTGAGCGTGGAATAGAGAAGCTGTCTAATTAACAGATGGATGGCATTGGTTACATAATTCATTATAAGGAATAATTGAATTTAGTTTTGCGGGTATTTGCTGCTGGGTTGCAGAAGAAGGGCAATTTAGCGCTGAGTGGTGAAAGAAGATGCTGTTGTATTCTTGAGAAGAAAGGAGAAAATAAAAGAGGCGATGGAGGGAAACTGTCGACCGTAATTTACGCCGATGGGTTGCTCTGGTTGTGATTTTTGAAAAATTCTGAAACATGTGGTAACAAATTCTGACCAGGGTCGAGCAAGGGGTGTGGCATACAATGGATACGACCCCCCCCCCCCTCCTAAGCTCTGTCTCGATACCCCCTCTCCGCCCCCCTCCCCAGCATTTCCTATTTCCTTTCCCATTTCCATAGTATGCCTACCATAAGCATGACATAAAGGTCCTAACAAGCATAAGTAGTAACATATTCGTAATTTTCTGTCAAATAACCCCCGTAGGTCGAGTGTGGGCCAAGTTTTAGCGAATTCTGGGGTTCCTAATATTGGATCACCTAAGTAAAATGGCCGTTTTCAAACATGGTCAACTATATTCTAAAAGTGAAGTAGCTACTTCTTTTTGTACTCGACACAAAGCACTACCCCGTACTCGCTATACCATGAATCCTGCTTCAAATAACCATCAAACTATGGAATTAGGAGCCAGCCAAAATCTTCTTTGCCCCATTTTCGCTACCAATGGTTGTACTTCCAGCAACTATTGCTCAAACGAATGAAGACAAATTCAGCTTTAACATGCTGATGACCGAGCCATTTTGGAGCACATGAAAATGGATTGTACATTCAAAGCTGCGGTTTAGACTCCTGTACAGCTATCGCATGCCCTTGTGTTCTATATGACAGTCAGGCCACTAGTATAATTACTGCATAGAGATTACCTCAGAACTTTTTGTTTACACATGGAAAAATGATGCACGAAGTGCTGGACGGATGTCAGGGCGTGCACATGCGCGTATGCACACGGTCGTCAACATGTTAATCACTTCCACCAAAACCACAAGATTTTGGATATCGAACTGTGTATGATTTGTTTCCTAATATTCCCTTTGAAGGTATTTTAGTGCAAAGCACAACCTTAGAAAAGCTATGGCTGCCACACCTTTTCACGGGTTGGGCCGCACTCCATCAACTTACCTTCGAAATTCAAATACATGCGTTTTTTATGTCGTTGATATTGCTCAACCTTTTTCTTTAAAAGCAAAAATTTCATTTGAAATCTTTTTTTCTAGGGAAAGATATAATCGTTTTTCCTAACCTAGGCAAATGGAAAATACTGTGGAAATACTGAGTTACGGTAACGGGCTAAGTCTGCACGAATCGCGACTACGCGAATTGCGAGTGAAGGCGACAGCTCTTAATCCCTCAGTTTGGAGGTTATTTGATAGGATTCCCAGTGTGAGCCAAGAAGTAGTTCTTTGTATCAAGTACAAAAAGAAGTAGTTAATTAACATATGAAACAAACTAACATGTTTGAAAACGCCCATCCCACTTAGGTGGTCCTGTGTTTGGAAACAGATATCGCTGAGACTTGGCCCACAGGGATTATTTGACACTCTAGTTGCGAAACCGATACTCTTATGCTTTTGTAGATGTTTTGTCATGTTCTTGTGTACGTTGATAGGCCAAAAACATCAGGATCACTTTGATAATGACCCCCCCCCCTCCGTAACCACTCAATACGATACCCCTGGTGTGCCATGCCACACTCCACGCGTGACCCTGGTTTTGACCATTTCTAGGCCAAAGGATTCGGCGTCTTCAATACCCTCTGAGGGCATGCGCCGAACGCATTCTACTTCAAAGTCGTAGAGGCTACTGAATGCGTGCAGGCCTTTTACAGTAACCCGCGGGGCAGGCTGATTGCTGGTATCAATTTACCGGCTCAGAGGGTAGAGGGCTTGGTTGGCTCAGGCGCGGGATCGAATCTAGGTCCGATCTGGTCATGGCGGCGCATTGTACTAACGCCATTCGTCCCCCTTACCCACCGTCATTAATTTATACTTGAGACGAATTTCATACGTAGAGTATGCTCGGGCACGTCAGATCCGTCGCTTCATGATGGAAATATCTTCGTTATCTCATCCTGTTTTACTATCGCTCTTTCAGGACAAACCGGGAATCCATGCATGCGGTTATTGCGGAAACAGGTTCTACAACTCTCATGTGACCAAAGGAGATGACTTGAGCATTCAGCATCTGAACTGCTGATCATGAGTCGCATCAGTAGACATAGTAGAGCGAGCCTGTATAAATAAAATATTGCCATAATCATTCGTTTATTAGATCTTAAGGGTAGTCGTCTAGATCTGCGAATTTGAGTGGACCGTTATGCTACTAGTTGATGGAAATCGTTAAACTTTCGACGATCCAGGTTCTAGAATTCAAAGATACAGTACATTGAATATAGGGTAACTCTCCAGTACTGTCCTCATTTCCTGGAATCCGAAGTAATTCATCGAGTGTCTTCATTCATATTATCGTAGGAGAAGATGCTCAAACATGCATGTTCAAGGTTTTGAAATTGACGAGTAGTTGCTTGGTTTTTGACGGACTAGTATACTCTTTCTTCATGGAAGAAGGCCACTTGGAAGACGTGTAATTGGTCCAGTCTGTTGCTTGAGGTACAGATATGTTGAAGGCACCGTCCACCCAGAGTGGGGGATGATGAGATTTCTGACGCTGTACCGTAAAGACATAATTGACACAGACAGTAACTGTGTGGCTGTTGGTTACGACGAGACCACTCATCAAAACTTGCTATAATACTGTTAGAAAGGGATTTTAGGGTGCATATATTTTGCACCTCATATCTGAAGTAAGGTTAAGAATGATAAAATTGGGTGAAATAGTGCCTTTAAGACCACGCATTGCTGTTGAAAGAATGTGTACCATCTATAAAAAAAATTACGGTAGTTGTGAATTATCTTGAGCAAACTATCCAGTTAACGAAAATAATCACCACTAAGCATACATACTGGTTCACTTCAAAAGTTGGATCTAAGATTATGAAATAAATGCTCAAGATTAGTTGAGTTTGCATGAAAAAAACATTTTAGATGTAAAAGAGCATCAGATTTGGGCTCAGCGTTGGCTTTGGTCCAATAGTATACGATTACTACGCATCATTGTGGACTACGTGTGGGAGAATTTTCTAAGGGGCAATCAGACCTATCCGTACTCTCGCTTGGAGACTGAGTTAACGAAAATAATCACAACCAAGAAGAATATCGAACCATTCTTCTAGTATGGAGTCTTGCTCTCTTTTCTTTTAACTTCGTTGATTAATGCAGCAGAGAGCAAAGATTGAAGCCATGATCGTCACTACCACCATATTTGTTCCGTGCACGGCTAGTTGCTATAGACAAAAAAGGAAAGGCAAGCCAAATGATGTAATTTTAGGGCAGTAAAAACTATTCGTGCCGGCGTACTTGCATGGAAAAATTATTTATATGTCGCCCAAATCGAATTATGTGGAAACATTGAGTGTGATCTAAGCTGTCCTTTCTCAAAAATACTTTTTGGACCCAGTGTAATGTAACAGAAATTATTATCGCGCTCTGACCCCAGAAATATCGGAGTCCGTGGAACGTAGTATGTGCGAAAGCATGCCGTGGGAAAGTCGTAGTTTTCCCTTTTCTTGAAGAAGCGCCTTTCCCTGCAAAGCTTTTGTGCCGCTATTGTCGGCACATTCTTAACAACCGTAACCTTAATCTCACCGAATTACCGCACGGGTCATGCCATAAGCATGACCTGCTGTGATAGTCTGTTTATGTTACTCTACCACGCCTATTATCGTTAGCATTCTACCACTGCACTAACACGTGCACGTCGTCTGACTCAATAAAGCTTAAATGCTCACGTGTTCTATATAACACAAATCAAGAGGCGCTATTTCGCCTCAGGCCATACTAAGGCCTACGAACCACCGAAACAGCTTCTATGGCAATGGTAGGGGAGGTCATCGAAGCCTGCAGCAATCCTGAGGCTGGGTTCATACTGATTCTCATGTTCCGGAACTGTTCCCGCACTGTGCTGGAACTGTGCTGCATGCGCTGCAGCCGCCCCGCACGCGTTCCAAACGGGAAGTTGAAGAATTTTGACCGTTTTCAACGATTTTTCTTCCAGATTTCTCTCATTTTGGCCTTATTCCTCTACCCCGCTTCTTTTTTTTTTGATAGCCAAAACTTTGGACTCGAAGCGGGGTCGAAGAATGAGCGCTTTTCTGCTCTGCGTATCCGACAAAATGTCTGTTCTTGCGCTTGTCCATTCTCGCTTCGTTTTCTTTCTGCTCAAACCTTTCCATTTGTTTCAGGGAGCCGCTGCTTAGTTTCCGCAGGCATTCTCGAACAAGGACATGCGAACATTCTGTAAATGAGGAAATGGGGACTTTGCTCTTGTTATCTGATGATCGTTTCTGGGCATTCTCAGCCCCTTTCCTTTTTTCATATCGTTGCTTCTCCGTTTTCTCTTCTACCCCGCTTCTCCTAGTGATGAGGAAAGCTACGAACTTGAAGCTGAAGAGAGAATGCTGTTCTCTTTCATGTACATGTTTCGGATAATTAAAGAAGAACAACGTTCATTGCTCAACCCCGCAAGTTCACAGCTTTTCTCATCACTAGGAGAAGCGGGCTGGAGGAGTAAGGCCAAAATGAGAGGATTCTGGAAAAAAACCGTTGAAAACTTCCAAAATTCTTTAACTCCCGCCGTACAAAACGCGTGCGGGGCGGCTGCAGCGCCAGCACGATTCCGGAACAGTTCCAGCCCAGTGCGGGAACAGTTTCGGAACATGGGAATCAGGATGAACCCAGCCTAAAGAGTCCGAATACCACCCATCAAGCAATTTCAGATTGTATACTAAATCGCGCACATGTACAGAATAACGACTTTAGAACAACTACTGCCTCTTGACCTTAGCGGGCTTCTGCCCTCACGTCAATTCGCGAGCTTCGCAAAAGCCTATTTTCAGTTCGGCGTTTTTCCGCTCTCCAAGCTGCAAATTCCGAATCAATGAGACGGTTAAGCCCAGGAAGCACAAAACTATATGGCGATTTGCAATTTATGCAGTGGAGTTCACAGTATTCTACTTAATGTATCTTACATCATGTATTGTTATATGTATCGTCTATCATCTTACATTACCCAATCTGTAGTGAATATTTACATTCCAGATATATATATATAGAAGCTGCGAGAGCGCAGAGATTCTGTAGAGAAGGAAAAGGAAGTAAGCCAAAAATTCCTTGGAAACGTGGCTCAAGAATGGCCTGCACTGTGCTTGTGCACTACGACCTGAATCGCTACAGCCTTGTCACATGCGAGAATGTGCGCGCAGCCTTCTTTGAATATATTTATCGAGTTTTGATGTCATTTCAACTAAAATATGTTTGCGATCTTGAAAATACACAAAGTTGACGGAGTAGCTCCTGAATAAATGTGGTCGTATAAAGTCCCTCGCGACGAATCCTCACGCTTGATTTCCTCCCTTCACATCATTAAACTTTTATTTTCCTGAACACAACACATAATTTAATTACAACCATAGCGCAAACGATTGCTCTGATGATCCACTGTCGCAGTCATTTCCACTATACAACACCAATAACAATTTCAATTAACTCCGAGAGCTTCACTTCATAGAGAAAAACGGATGTTTGATAGCTTCGCCACACGTTATCCGTTTGATAGGTTCCAACACTAACATCTGTTCTAAGAGTGATCGGAATGATTGAATCTGAATGGTGAATTTCTTCGCTCTAAAAACCAAATGAAGAAAAAACCTTACCTGAGACAGACCATCGCGATCAAGATCCTGTTCCCCAATAAGTTCAAACTCCAAGTTACGTGATATCCGTATGTTTGACAATACTGTCACCTAAAAAAACTGACTTTCTTCAACGCAAACAAGAGAATGCAAATTGATTACCTTGTCCCGCTGAGTGACCTTATCGACTTCATGATAAAGAAGGTTGCAGTTCGTGTCGAAATGCTGGTCTCGGAACTGTGCTCTACGTATGAGCTTATTTGGGTACTTGCCCTTGACTTCCGTAAACAACTGCAACTCATAGTTTACACATACAAAGATGACCATTTACTGCATGAAAATTGGCTACTGAAAAGTTCTGTACCAACAACGCTCTACTTTTGTATCGTACCATAAGCTGGACGGCTTAATTTATCTCATACTCTATGAGCGATATAGCACAGTGTGCCTCAGTCGCGTAGGGCTAGTAGCATCTCAGACAGTCGAAGGGATACCTCCGGCGGGCAAATGGCGCGAGTCTGCCACTTCGCGCTCTGGAGCGCTACGGAGCCCTGCCTCTCACGCATTTTGCTGCTCCGGGGCTCTCCCAAAACTGGCGCACCTCCGGAGCAGAGATTTGCGCGTCCCGGAGAGGGGTCCCATTCGCCTGCTTGTGACGTCACCGTAACGTCACAAGCAGGCGTCACCGTGACGTCCATTTGCCCGCCGGAGGTATCCCCTCGACTGTCTGAAATAGTCTACTATCCGTGGAGAGCCCTAGGCTAAGTCTGCCTTAGTCTACGAAACGAGTGAACAAGCTTTCTTTATTGTATGTTTATCAATTTATTATCCCCCAAATGGCTAGAACTCGAAGAAAGTGAGAAAGGCTTAGTGACCGTGCCTCTGCGTAATGAAGGATACATACATTAGTTGCGCTTTCAGATGCGGATTTGAGATCCAGACTCTTTATCTGAGAAAATGTTCTTGGAGTTACGATGGATACTCGAAAGTAGTGCTATACAACCATCAATGTCAGATCCTTGGTCATTCATTGTTCAAATCATAATCAACTCAACAATAATGATTTGTCTTTGAAGTCACCGAACCCGAAGCATGAGACACACGCTCTACCACTATGATTTGGTTGAACAAGACTACACATTTCATTACTAGAATACTCGAAGACTTGCATCAGAAAATTCCGCGCATGGTATGCATCTCATTCCAGTATGTGCGCAGTTACAAAGTATCTTGAATTATACTTTTAGCATTTAGGAAGGTTTGGTATGCTGACACTCACTGACATCACAGTCATCAACTCCATTACTCTCACAGTCAGAGCGATGGTTTCAAATTGCGAGATTTGCATGACAGAGTCACGATCACCCCCCCCCCCCCCCAAGTCACCTATCACTACGTAATATATAACGAATTCGTTGTTTACCCATTAAGCCGCCCGATAGTTGGATCATGGCAAACGAGGAGGCCGCAGACGTAAAGATTATGATAAAATACACTGATCTTCGGATTTGGATTGCTGCCAAGTGGCATGCGTTTTGGAACGCTGCCAAATTTCATAACGAGCGACCAAGCATATTTTCGTAAAAGGGTCACACGGGTATCGAAAGACAATCATGAGTGTCGCAATGATTTTGAGACTGTGTCGCCAGTGTCCGGGTGTGCTATTTGTACCAGCTTTTTAAAATCGAACTTGTTATCCCAAAATGTGTCTTTCAAATATGTTCTACTCCTATTGGTTGCTTTTGAAATGATGCCAAATTGCGTGAAAGCGTGACTTGAGCTAAATTTATCTATATTCTCAACTCTTCCCAAAAATGCTCTAACAACAGTCACTTTAGGATTATCTTGCTTCCGCGCGGAGACAAGAGAGTGCGTGAGTAGCTTGGCCTCGCTGGTACTTTTGAAAGCGTTTATCTAACAGCAACCTTGCTTTGCTTGTATAACTGGGTCCCGCTGGTGCTTTCAACTGGGTATCGGTGTGTAAGCGGCACGTAGGGCAATTCCATCGGGCAGGGAACAGATTTTTGTACAGATTTTTGTTTGGGGCAGTTCTCAGAATTGAAAGTCCAAAAGTGGCATGCACGGCAGTTTGAGAATCCGCTATAAATACTTGATTTCGTTGTTCTCTTTCTGTTGAGTCGTAAGATTGGCTTTTTATATATACGATCTTCAAGCGGCACATAAGGCATATCACTATCGGTCTGTAAGCGGCACGTAGGGCAACCCGATCGGGCAGGGAAACAAATTTTTGTATGTTTGGGGCAGTTTTTTGAATTCTTAAACGGCCTTCAAGCGGCAGTGGGACATAAACTTTCTTATTGAATAGTTGCCCTCGGTCTGTAAGCGGCGCGTAGGGCAACCCGCGATCGGGCAGGGAAACAGATTTTTGTATGTTTGGGGCAGTCCTTATAATTCTTAAACGGTCTTGAAGCGGCACGTAGGGATTAAACTTTCATTTTGAATAGTTACTCTCGGTCTGTAAGCGGCACGTAGGGCAACCCGATCGGGCAGGGAAACAGATTTTTGTATGTTTGGGCAGTTCTTATAATTCCTAAATTTTTCATTTTGAATAGTTACTCTCGGTCTGTAAGCGGCACGTAGGGCAACCCGATCGGGCAGGGAAACAGATTTTTGTATGTTTGGGGCAGTTCTTATAATTCCTAAGATTTTCTTTTGAATAGTTACTCTCGGTCTGTAAGCGACACGTAGGGCAACCCGATACGATATATGCATGCGTCATACTACTGATACGTCAAGAGTGTCAAAGTGTACCTTCAACATGTGATTGTTGCTCTTCCCAGGAAACATGATTTTTCCCGTGTACACCTCATACAGAGTCACAGCTATAGACCACAAATCAATTCCATAATCATGTGGTATACCCAGCACTGAAACAAACTTGTTTATGGAGATTCCATAAGCAACCCCTCAGTAATCAAAACGCAATACAAACGCACTGATTTCGGGAGCGCGATAGAAGCGAGAGACTAGATAAGGAGCGATTTCTTGATCTCGAACATAACCAGCTGATCCGAAATCGCACAACTTCAATGAAAGCTTCGATTCATTCACCTGCAAAAAGAAAAAAATCAGAAACGGTAGAGTAGTATAAAACGCAACTGTACGGAAAGAAGAGCAGGAAAGAAGAAAGGAAAGACCATTAAAAGTACTGCCAAAGGGTTGTCAGTGTCCCAGCACTCTTCTGTGATGACCATCCTGTACGATCCGACATATGATACAACTTTGAGAGCAGATGTATAATTTCCTACACCATTTCGGATCAAGACGATTCGTTCATGATCATCATTATCAAGAGGGTGTAACATGTTCAATGAATCAGGGACGCATTATAATCAACAACTCACCAGAATATTATCAGGTTTGATATCTGCATGTACAAGGCCACATTTCTTGAGTAGTCGCAGGGCCATTAGAAGCTGATGTGCATAACTTCGCACTGCCTTCATGTGTAATCCAACGTTGTTGCCATATTTTTTCAACAGCTCACGTAAATTCATGCTGCAATTTTCAAATATGAAACCAGATACTACTGCGATGACAAACACCCTGTGGATTAATGTAAAAGTCAAAAAGAGTACTCTGCCATTCTTACAGTAAAAAAATACGGCTAAAGAAGAGATCCAGAAAATTTCGCTGCGATGACAGAGCATGCTTGAAGTGGACAATTGCCAGATACAAACGAGCGCATGTTGGAATTACTTTGCGGGAAGAGACCAAATCAGACCGTGTAAACGCATTGACCGCCGAGGGACACAGCGCCTGCACACGAATTTACAATATCAGACAGCAAACTGTGAGCATACATGAGAACCTGTGTGACTTCTGAAATATTAGCTTCATCAATTGCACTTCTTGCATAAAAGTCATCAATACCGGTATGGAATGGCAGAGACTCGGCACGCAGCCCACCTCAGGTTCTCGAAGCAAAGGCACAGATGATTGTGATGATTGAATGTGCGATAAAGCTGCAGACAATGAAATCTGTCTTCGCGGTCGGCTTCATTCAACTTACGTAAGACTTCTAATTCGCGTAGACCTGTCTTTCGCCTTAAAATTCATTATTGAACATGAAACTTGGTGATGTAACATAATACCAGAGGAACATAGAACAACTGATAGAGTAGGGTTGGCTCTTGCACTCAAGATGATCACTTTGTGAAAACCACTACAGAAGGAAAAATAGAAGTACAAGCTATGTTTTTCAGATTGACTGACCTGTCACTCTTTTGCGATGATTCAAGTTACCCAATCGATTGGAAAAAATCACTCACATGATCTCGTTGTTTCGTATGATTTTTATCGCCACCACATCGTTCCTTTTTTGATCAGTACATCTGACAACATTTCCGAAAACTCCAGCACCAGTATAACCAAAAACTCGATATCGGCCATCAAGAACTTCTCCTATTCTCACTCCTGGGAACATGGATGTTGGTTGAAGATGAAGGTTGCACATCACAAAAAGAATTAAAACTTACGATAATATCCCTCCGCATCATCCCAATTATCCCTGAGCGTATCATTTACTTGTTGTCCTTGTGACTGTACAACGGCTTCGTCAGCAACAATGCCATCCTGTCAAAAAGAAGTTGAATATTCAAATTTCAGGTCTTATTTCTTCACCTGTGGAAGATCCGCATCATCAGCAAACATATCAAACTCGGCTTTTGATTTGGCATTCAATTTGGGCACCTCAGCGTCCACTTCTACTGGATCCGGCTTAAATAACATCATGATAACGTACACATACAATATATTCGGTCGTTCCGAAAGTAATGTTGCTTTTTTCAAGGGTACGCCACATCTCGTGGAACAAAGACGTGCACGAGATTCTGGTAGGATTTGATGCAGCGTTTCATTCGCTTTCTAATGGTTGTACAATCACTGCACAAAATTTAATAACCTCCCGAAAATTATCAAAATCTGCGACCCATGCTTTTTGGGAAGGCCAAGTTTCAAAGCTTTTCTAAATTTTTATAACAATCCTCAAAGGAGTCCAAGTAATGGATGGATAGAGCGAACCCTACAGGAAACAGCATGACTTTTTTCTACTTTCCAGAGCTCGTCATAATTTTTGTATAGATTTTTTAATGGAATTACCGAATTTTAGCAGGCTTGTCTTACAAGGAGAGAATACTTGGTGACCGTGGCCTTTTGAAATGAAACGTAAACGATTAAATGTATCTTGAAGCATTGATTCCAAATCTGCTTTCGGTATCTGCTGTGCGTTCTTCCGAAAGAAGTTATGAACATTTCTTCCCACCAAAATTTGCACTGTTTTTGATGCAGTATTCATCAATATCGTTAGAATTTTCGCTTACGCACTACAAAAGAGCGTTCAAATAAAATAAAGCTTTACGTTAAGCTTAGGAAAACTGTTTCCGATAAATCGGAGTCTAAAAAGCCTGGATACTGACGATTCTGACTGGCTAAATCTCGTAAAATCGATATGGAAAAAAGTCCATAATTTCGTTCAGAGAGTAGCACAGCAGATAGTGAACATAGATTTGGAATCAGCGTTTCAAGGCGCATCTAGTGGTATGCATCTCATTGCAAAAGGCCACGGTCACCAAGTATCCTTCCCTTGTTAGACACAAGTACATTAAAGACCAATAAATCTTCGTTTTAAAACTCACAAGGATGGATTATGGCTTGACACTAATTTTACAAACCAAGAGAAAATTTACCGCTTCAGATTAGCCACTTGAAAATTCCGGGTACAGCCTAGGGGGGGGGGGGCGCCTTGGAAAACCTGGATTATGATGATTTTATCGCGGAAAACTTGATGAAGGAAACAAAAAACAACTGGTAGAAAGAGAAGAAAAACTGCGTCGAATGACACCCGAGTTGCTTGCCGGTTGTCGCTCTGTGAGTTTGAGCTGATAAATATGGAATTTGATGGCATTGGAAAATTGATTCCAGAAACTCTAAGTAGCAAGCTAAGGAAAAGAAAAAATTACTCTGTGTCCTATTGAGTTTGCTCTATCTATCTGTCACTTGTACTTCTTCGGAGAATAGGTACAAAAATTCAGAAAAATAGCGAACTTGACCATGGCAAAAAGCATGAGTCACAGTTTTGGCAACTTTTCGAGAGCTCATTGAATATAATGCAATGAAATCATAACCATTAGAAAGCGGATAAAATGCTGCTTCAAATGGTCCTAAGAACTCTTGAAAATCTTGATTCCATGAATTGTGGCGTTCATTTGAAAAAAGCGACATTACTTTCGGAACGACCTAATATAGGCGAGATCTCCGCCATTCAACCCAAAGTATACGTAAAACGTAAAACTGACAGATTTCTTCTTTTCTTCTTCCTTTTCATGATATTCTCGTTCCCGCTTAGCATCGGCTTCCTCTTCCTTCTTTCCTCTCAACAAAGTCTCCTCTACTATATGCTCATCAGCACCTCTTAAAGTTTTGGTTAAAACATACGTATAATATCGGAAAGCACATACTTGACATGAACCATCTTTTCTCTAAGATCGGCAAAGAAATCGCCTGGAGTGCTTTCACCATTTTCCCTGTCAGGAGAAGATAAGGCGCTGCTGCTCATAGGACTTTCGCTACCTATCGTGGCCTGAACAAATTAATGTTTTGAAAAGAACCACGTGCTGATGAAATCACCTTCCCTACAAGACGGTATGCTTCCTTGATCAAAGCATTTTCTTCATCTGAGCTGTCCTCGGAATAAATCTTCGTCTTGGTCTGAAACGCGATTTGTGAATAGAGATATATGCAGTTAGGGACCCGTCATACTTCGCCGAAAAAAGCCTAAAGAAGCCCGAAAAAGCCCAAAAAAGCCCGAAAAAGCCCAAAAAAGCCCAAAAAAGCCCGAAAAAGCCCAAAAAAGCCAGAAAAAGCCCAAAAAAGCCCAAAAGCGCCAGAAAGAGCCGGAACACTTCTCGCACGGTTTGGCGCTGAGGCATGTGTGTTGACTTCGCAATCGAGCCTTTTTGTCATTTTCTATCGTCCGCATGATAAGATAATGTCAGAATTCTACCAAAAGTTCGTTTCTACATTCCGGCTCTTTCTGGCGCTTTCGGGCTTTTTTGGGCTTTTTCGGGCTTTTTTGAGCGCTTTTGGGCTTTTTTCGGCGAAGTATGACGGGTCCCTTAGAGAGGAACGAAATCAAAATGATATACAATCGCCATCTATGCTTACATCTTCCTGCTTGTTGCTCATCTGTTGCAGCAATTTCTGTCTTCGCTCCCGCTGTTCTCTGATTTTTCTTTCCTCTTCGTCGGAATCTTCTTCGAGATTCCACTCAACGTTTGGTATTACATCATCTTCCTGCAAGTAGATCTATCTTGTTATGATGATGCCACATATGATATCATATCTAATACACAGATATGACGGACAAAACCGTGCTTTTGATGTATCAGCAACCGCAAAACATGGGAAAAGGTGCAGAACTATAAGGGGCGTCCCAAAAGTGTATACACTGTTTAATAGATATCCCTTTTCAAGAAGTCTTTTGTCTAACTTCAGGAACCGAGTTGTACTGGCTCTAATTTTAGTTTACAGAATAAAGCATAATCGATCGCCCTTCATTAATGTAGCATTACTATAGAAACTTGGAGGGTTCTGAGCCATGGTTCGCCTCAGAAAAACCAAAAATCTGAAAACTCTTATACTAGGCTGTTTGAAGCCGCTGAATCCGAATATCAAATCTGCACTTTACTCTAAGCTTCATTTACGAGTCATGCGATGTATGGGCTGTCGTTTCAATTGGGTGGAGGAACGAACATCTCATTTAGCTGCGTTCATACTGATCCCTAAGTTCGGAAACAGTTCCAGCACAACGCTCAGTTCGAGCAATGTGCTGGAACTGTTCCCGAACTTCGGGATCAGTATAAACGCAGCCTTAGGCACCGCCTCCGCGGACCACTGGTCCCAACACGATGCACAACAGTAGGACGAAAGGACCAGCAGCCCGCGGAGGCGATGCCTAATTGAGGCGTTCGTTCCTCTACCCCTCCTCATTCTCTCCGCTCTCTGCGACAGCGCGCGGGTGCAACGCAAACCCCTAGCGCTGCGAGCGCGCAAATCCAGCCGACGGTTCTGCCTGATTCCGATTGGGCAGACTGCATTTTAGTTTGCATTTACAACTGCAGAAGACTCCCATTAGTGCAGTCTAAGGCAAGACTTTCTCTTGCAAGAAATCAGACAAAATTAGCCATCACGGACTGATTTCAATCAAAATTTAAGTGTCGTGATGAATGAAAGAAAACATTCAAATTGAGCAATGAGCAATCCCAGTCCAAAGTAAAGCATTACCGACAATTCGCAATTTTGCAGCTCTTGAGACTAGCCTAACTGTTTTTTCCTTGTGACTCACCTTCGTTGAAGATGCAGGTAATCTTTCCAAAAACAAAAATCAGATGCTCACCAGGAGCTAAGCCTCATATTTGGCATTTTCCTTGTACATGCAATGGTAGAGTATTTGAGCGCTTTGCATTATGCAGATGCGAGATTGAGACAAACGTAAACTCAAGATGTCAGAGATATGCTACCGCAAAGTTATGTACGGTTCACTCTTAAAATCGCGACGACGAGTTTGACTGCGGTCTTTGCACATGGAGCGTAGAATACAAACAGGCATCAACTCAATACCAAGCTCAATTACTTCCAGTGTCTAAATACTATCATATCTAAGCAGAAAAACCATTCGAGTAGAGGTAGCAACCAAAAAAAGAAAGTGCGTGCGTGTCGCGCCACAACTTTTCGAATGCCCCCTATAAGGTCAAAGGAGCAAAATGTAGCTGGTACAGTCTGTGTCAATGAGTGGTCTCTTTGCATCAGCTCAAGCGCAACGCTAGAGACCCGTGCCGTATTCGCGGGCACGGCTTGGCGTCAAGTTTGCCGCATGATCCGAGATCGCTGCGCAATGCCCACGCGCTGCGGACGCAGCTGCTACGGAAAAGGAATCAAATTGTTGACAAAGATTGTATCTTCCTTCAAACTCATATATGGGATGTCCAGAAACAGATGCACAGCAGTCGAACTCCTTTTACCGATTGGAAAAGGAGAGTGAAGTCAATTAGTGACAAAAATGTCGATCTCAAATGGGCAAAATGCCAGCGCTGCGCGCTGGCAAGCATTCCAGCGAATCGGACGTGCGGCTTCGTATAGAGATTCTATAGAGATCCTACATCAAGTTGCAGACTGTACAACGGTGGTAAGACGGGCGCAGTTCGCGCCCACTCAACCAATATTGTTTTTGCTCTTCGTCCGGTAAGAATCTTCGAATATGAACTTGAGCTCGAAGGAGCCACCAACGATATCATGCCGTCATTGGGATTCCAGGCAAAATGCTCTTTGCAGAGTTCAGAAAAAGCGCCGATGCACTCAGCACACGTGAGTAAATGCTAAAATTGGGGAAATGAGTGGTGTTTTTCTGCAGATAATTAAAACATTGAAGGCATTAGTGCCAAAGCAAAACTCAATTTCGAATTTTCTAGCCTGGCTTATCCGCTGCGTGAGATCCGAAGATTCCAAAGAACGTGAGAAAGGCAAACTTTCCCAAAGCGCTACATTCCAAATGCGGACAAATGGAACCGTTCCAGTCAAGGCTGCTCCAGCACTGCAGAACAGTATAATATGTAGTGATGATCTGTGCATTCCCCAGTGAAGCGTAGAGCACACGTGGGCAAGGCTAACCGAATGGGATGTCTGAGTCACCCAATTAGTGCGCGGCCGAGAGTTCCACTTTCACTACCGCTGGCAAAGGCGAAAAACCTAGGATGCGAATGCAGTTTGCTTCGTCCAGCAGTAGCCTATAGTAGTGCCAACTAGAATTCTCCAACCGCCAGGATACTGCCTTCGATAAACAGTCCGTGTCAATCAACCTTGTGCTCCCTTTTCGACCAGCCAAATCGCACCCAGAGCCGAGCGCCACGTCCGCCTGCCTATAGTCGTCCTCCCCCCACTAGACACCTAGTGGACGAGTTTGAATTTGAACTAGCGCATGCCGATCGCGGCAGAGCGCGGCACAGATACATTCATTTCAAGCTCATGGAGTATTATTTTGTGTTTTTTCGTCGTTGCATGGTGATTCTTTTTGGTTTTATTCACCCTTTCAAATCACAATCGACGAGTTCGTTGTTGATCAGATGTTTCATACTTCTATGCTCATTTCTTGAGCCCCATTTTCAGGTAAGGTTGGAGTTTTTGGACAAGAAAGTCCTATGGAGCAGCTTCAGGACACTTACCGAAAAGGATTTCACTAGCATACTTTCCAAACTTAGTCGTTTCTTCAAATTCAACCTGGAGTCAGAATTGAAACGAGCATAACATGAAATTTCGCTTACAAGCAACGAAGTTCCATTCTGATTGAAAAAAAAAAACAGTTAAAATTCAAAAAGTACAATGAATCGTCGGAAACACAAAATAATCAGTTTATGATTGAAGTAAGGGCTGTAGGTGACGCGCTCCGCCGCAACCGGTGTGCTCTGATTCGAATTCAAATTCCTCCACTAGGTGTCTAGTGGGGGGAGGACGACTATACTGCTTGCACATTCAAATTTGCCACACGATCGGGATTGCCGCGCTAGACCCTTGCGGTACGGACCGTAGCCGCTATAGAAAAGGAAGCGGTTGGTTCCTGCGGCGGCCATCGCTAAAACACTGCGCGAGAGATAACCTGTACAACTGAGATTTGCACTGGGACAAGTGATTCAAAGCGCGTCAGCTACACCGCGACGAGGCCAGTCCGTGCGGCTGATGGCTGAGGGACAACTGAAGACAATCTGGCCCGCCACTACCTTTGATAACCAAAATTTTGTGCAGCTCCCTCCTTCCCAATAAGTTACAAGAAGAAAACTCTTCTGTAATCGAAGTAAACTTAGTAACAGTAAAAGAGTAGGCGATAGTCTGCTGCTCATGCGAAAACAGTAAATTGCGCCGAAGAGGATAAACTGTAAGCTAACAATTCAAACACAGACCACTAAAATTCTGGTAATACCACTTTGCTCACGATAAAAAATCGTTTTCAAACTTTAACTGTTACCCACCTTCTTTCTATCGTCGCTTCGTCTTCTATTCGGCGATCGACTGTGGCGCCCGCGTCGGCGATCTCGATGAGAGTCCATCCTAATGGATATTATGGAATCGAAGAGGTGACTATATTGAGCGTGGTATGCAGTGATGTTTGAAAAGATACCTCTGCTCGTCTCTCCTATCTCTATGCGAGCGAGAAGAGCTTCTTCGACTTCGGTGTCTTTCGGAACTGCGTTCTCTTCTTCGTTCTATACTTCGACGCCTTTCGCGATCTCGTCTCTCTTTATTTTCCCGCTCCCACTCAAAAGAAAGAATTAGAGTAGATAAAAATCCCTAAGGAAAGTCCCTACCTACCGTTGAGTGCTTGCTCTCGCGAACTTCTCGTCTTTCTCGCGAGCGTGCACGCCATCTGCGATCACGACTTTCTTCGCGTTCTCGCCTTTCCCTATCCTGTCGCTCGTAACTATGTTCACGGGAACTGTCCTTCTTAGCTTCGGTTCTCTCGGCCGTCCTTTCCTTATAAGCTCCACTTTCACTGCGACTTACACTTTCATCTCGGCGCCGCTTCGTCGGTGTACTGTCTCGAATCTCATCAAGCTCCCTTTTTTTATCTTCACTTCTCTCCTTGTGATCGGAACTAGGAGACTCCTCATCGTTTCTGCAGAAAATTTCCGTCTCCTTACTAGAATTGTCGGATAATGCTGCTGCATCGCTTTCAGGAGATGGGTTCTCGATAAAGCGTCGCTTGGCTACAATGGGGTAGTAGACTCAGAATTAATAACAAAAATAGTCCCAAGACCTACGTTCTTCCGACTTCTTTTTCTTGTGCTTCTTATCCTTCTTATGTTTCTTATCCTTTTTATGCTTCTTTTCCTTCTTTCTTTTTTTCTTCTCGATTTTCTCTGAAACGAGACATTGAATTCTAATTTGCAATTGAAAGGGCTACCTTCTCGATCCGATGCTTCGGACGCTTCGTCCAGTTTCCTTTTTCTGTTCTCCTTCAGTTCGCTCTCGTCTGAGCTTCCCAATGGACCACAATCGGAAAGCTCACCCTCTTCTTGAGGTGACATAGAGACGTCAGCTGCCATATCGAAGACCTTAAAAATAGAAACACTCTAGTCACAGCAGATTAAAATCGTAAGCGACTCATGAACTTCATGAAAGAGTTTTTGAAGATGATGTTTTTGAAGTGCCTTAGCTAACATGACAAGCCAAAAACTCTGACAACTGACAGCTGCGAAAAACATCGAGAATGAAGCATTGTAATCAGTACCTGTGAAAGCGAAGCGGGCGCGCTGCATTCCTGCGTGGAGCGCAATTGCCGCGCGTTCACTGACAAAGGGAAACAATTGTTTTCAAACATAATACACGCAGCCTAAATTTGATACTTGATAATTGATATTTCGTATAACAGCGCTGGGCTATGAGATAAAATTTTATATGCATATGAAGGTGCAGCAAAATTAGAAGTGTAGGGACGATTGCCGCGCTTTGTCACCTTCGCGGACTTGTTATGCGATAGCATGGCCACAATGCATATGAAGGTGCAGCAAAATTAGAAGTGTAGGGACGATTGCCGCGCTTTGCCACCTTCGCACCTGTTATGCGATAGCATGGCCAAAATGCACATGAAGGTGCAGCAAAATTAGAAGTGTAGGGACGATTGCCGCGCTTTGCCACCTTCGCGGACTTGTTATGCGATAGCATGGCCAAGGGCCGCATGCACTAACATCCTCGCGGGGAGGGGATCGCAGCTTAAAAGAAAGCTTTACATTTCGAAACTCCAGATACCTGGATTTCACGTTGTGTACCTACCCGTAAGTATTCCTACTACCCTTCACTATGAACATGTTGAAGAGGAGCGAGAAGCTGTACGAACCGCATATTCCAGCTTTTGTATGATCCCTGATGATCCCCGGCGCTTTTCTTTAAAGTCATTTTTCTTTCTTTTAAGTTAATGAAAGCCTTCCAAAGTTGTACTAAACATCTAACACAATAGTGCTAAGCATGTTGCTGATAAGAACAAATGTTGTTTTGAAGTCATGAAATTTTCGATGATCCATAGGTCGGAATTTGAGGTTTACCAAAAAATTCGACTTTTCAAAAACTCATTTGTTCTCACCAGCAACATGCTTAGCACTGTTGTGTTAGATGTTCAGTACAACTTTGGAAGGTTTTCATTGACTTAAAAGAAAGGAAAGTGACTTTAAAGAAAAGCGCCGGGGATCATTAGGGATCATGCAAAAGCTGGAAAATGCGGTTCGTACAGCTTCTCGCTCCTCTTCAACATGTTCATAGTGAAGGGTAGTAGGAATACTTAAGGATAGGTACACAACGTGAAATCCAGGTATCTGAAGTTTCGAAATATAAAGCTTTCTTTTAAGCTGCGATCCCCTCCCCGCGAGGATGTTAGTGCATGCGGCCCCAAAAGACCACAAAAATAGTAGTGCTCCGCGCCGCGTAACGCTTGTTTAAAGTAGCAGGTTGCGATGCTAAATTGCGTGAACTATGCCCAGGACTATTCGTGATCGATGCAGTTTCTAACATCGTTCTTTTCCGGCTGCATATTAGGCGGAGGAATGCCTGCAGGGAATCCGCGCGGGACTCTGCCAAATTCGGCGACTTAATGTCCTCCACCCAATTAGACACCGCCTCCGCGGCCCGCTGGTCCTTTCGTCCTACAGTTTTCGTGTTCGGACCAGCAGTCCGCGGAGGCGGTGCCTAATTGAGGTGTTCGCGTTCCTCCCCTCCGCTGGGTTGATTCGCTTGAACCGAGCACGCTGTTGAGTACAGTCGAGCAGTAGATTTTTCGCTTAATATAGTGTACTTGCACTGAAGGTAAAATGCGGTAAAATTTGCGCGTGAACATGTAGCCAAGCCAGTAATGCCAACATTTTGCGCGCGCAAACGGCCGGCGTCACAGGCGTAGCTATTTCTTTACGCATAAATTTTACCGTATTTCACCTTCACTGCGAGCACACTATATTAAGCGGAAAATCTACTCGACTGTACTTTAGCTTCCAGCAAAAATTACCTGTCAGGAGCCAGCGTAATTAGGAAAGGCATTCAATCTTTTCTGCCGCATCATTCGCCTCATGAGTTAGCACTGTGCGCCTAGAAGAAAATTGAATAGCTAACATTTACTACATGTCTCTGCAATAAATTCATAGATTGCTGTGTAACAATATATAAATTGAAGAGTGCTGGCCTCAAGCACGACTAAATTTGAAAAAAAAAACATTTTATGAAGCTCAAACACTATTGAAGGCATGTAGGTGTGATAAAGATGTTGAAGTAACAAATGGTCTTAAAATGCTGATTCCGAAGCGTTGCAAGCATCATACACTTGATAAAAGCGCATATCTCTACCGAGGTGACCATCAATAATTCGTAAACCTTTTCTAGCTTCATACGGTCCATACAATTTCGCTGTACTTTGGATATGCTCTACTATATCGGGGCAAAGTCTGGTCCTATTGTAGCCTGTAAATTTTCTTATAATTTTATGTAAGGCAACGAATAATGAAAAAATACGCATCTGGGGTGCATCTAAGTTTTTTCGCAGCTATAGAAGCTTGTTCGCTTCAGTGCTGCAGTACGGCGCCACCCTTCTACCTCCCAGCCTGAAAATTATGTACGGTCTGTTTCGTTGCGTCTCCAGTGGGTTATAAAACTCAAGCTTGAAAATCCCTTTTTGGTTTTTAAATCTCTAAATCCGCTAGAGTCGCATCTAAAATTTTTCAAGCTCACTCTCCCAATTGGCTGCAACTTTTTTATTCAATTGTCTGAGCACTCTGCTACATTATCTTTCCTAGCCTCTCAGTCTTTCCCTAACTTTAGTTACGAACCTATAAAGTAGCATGCTCGTGAGATTTTTGGCATGGTTCGAAGGCGCTTAAACGGTTGTATTCGCAGGAAAATCTGTGCAGAAATATGAAATAAGTTTTCAGTCGCAAACATTTCTCAGGCGTCAAAATTAGTATTTTTCTCTCTGCAAAAATGTCGCAGACGGGGATCGCCTGAGGCTATCACCTGCACATATATAAAATTGAGTGTAAATAAATTCAATTATGTGTGAGCTATAGAAATTTTTGTGTGTGAACCGTCAGCGCCAACCTTTGCGCAAATATGTTTTCGACACCGTTCCACCCCGTAAGCTACCGTTCGCAGCAAAATATCCACTCCTTCTATCGATTTACTTTTGAAGGAAAATGAATTCTTATCAATCAATATCAGACCGCTTCCACCTTTTGTATACAAAAGCGTTACTCGTTTTCAATTTACGATGAGGGAAGGCGGTAACTCACAAGGAAAGGAGCAGATGGGCCTTGAATCGCTGATTCCAAATTCATGTTCATTATCTACTGACGACTCTCTGAACTAAGTTATGGACTTTTTTCCATATTAATTTCATGAGATCTACGCAGTCAGAATCGTCAGTATCCAGGGTTTTTAGACTCTGATATATCGGAAAGAGTTTTCCTGAGCTTAACGTAAAGCTTGATTTTATTTGAACGCTCTTTTGTAGTGCGTAAGAACCAATCCAACGATACTGGTGAATCTTGTCATCAGAACAGTGTAAGTTCTAGTGGCAAGAAATGTCCTAACTTTTTTCGGAAGAGCCCACAGCAGATACCGAAGGCAGATTTGGAATCAGCGCTTCAAGATGCGTTCATTTATGTACGTTTCATTTCAAAAGGCCACGGTCTAAGTATTCTTCCCTTGTCAGAGCGATGTGGTACAGGAGGCATCTGCTGTGTTACAGGGGAGATAAAAGAAACCCTAAACGCAGATGAATTGAGCCTTCAAGTTAAGCACTAATTCTGCTCTTTGTTCCCACGGTTGAAAGCATGGTCCGGCCGGGCATGTCAGTTAATCTAATATATGTAGAATATATATAAGCAGACATTCAGCTCATATATTAGACAAGCTGAATGTCTGGTTGTATGTCTGTCTGTATATCTGCATGCCTGTATGTTTGTACGAGTGTTCCCAATAGAGAACTCCATTTCTGAACCGATTCGAAATCGAGAATTATTCAATGCAGAATTCTTTCGTCTTTCTTTCAACTACTCACCCGTGCAGTTTGCGGAATTATCGCCACGTTGGTAACTAAGACGTAGGATGAACCTTTTGCTATCGTTTAGTCGTTTGATTATCAGACTAAAAACTCAAAGTTTCTGGAAAATAATCTTTTGAGAAAAATCTCAGCTTTTTGAGCTCATGTAGCACTGTGAGTGACAAAATTTTCAGAGAAGTTAAGTTCTTGAAACATTAAGCTTGATTTATCTTGGATAAATGATGACTATGACGAATGAGCTATGTACTTTGCCGAAGTATGAGGCCTTATATCTTCGTTGAAGTCCATAAAAACGACCAGAATCATTTCACAAAATGTGCGTAACGTTTGCTAAGCATTGTGTTACAAATGCTTAGCAATATTGAATTTTTGAATATTTTTAACCCGAGAAATTTTGATCAAACATGGCTAGTCGCTGAGGCCCATCTACGTATGAAAGTCTTGAGCGAATAGCGATTGTACAACTTTCGCCCTATACAGCTGAAATGGAACTAGTACAACTAATGGTAGGAAAACGGCAAAATTTTCTCGTTTTTTAGAAGATGAGAAAATGGAAATTTCCAAAAAAGCAGTTTTATGCTTTTTTCGAAATGTGAAAAATTGGATTTTTATGTTTTTTGCGATATCTTCTGCAGAAACATTCCGTAAAATTCGAACTTCCTTCCTTTGCTCATTATATAGGCTATATAATGAGCAAAGTATGCGCTATCCTAGTACATTTGAGAGAAAAATTAAGCTTCTCAAACCTTCGAGGAACAAAGTCTTCGTCGGAATGGCTACGACCTGACAAAAGTAGGCGTTGTATGGCTGATTTGCTGTTTGCAATAGTTTTTACTGCGCTCAGGAAAATTGTTTAAGAATTATCTTGGAAGCCAAAATTCGAAAACATGATTATTAATGAGACAACCTAGAACAACAGGTTCTCTTAGTTAAAACATAACTTTGTTGCCGCGGTGAGCACAAAAGAACGGTCCACCATCGACAAGCTTTGCCTAGTGTAAAATTTTGCTTCACACAGCTATAGAAAATCTCAATCGCGTAGAATGGTCAAGCGTCACGTTCGCTTATATCTCATATCCTGTAGAAGCAAATAAGTAGTGTCACTTCCGAGGAATGGCTGTATTTTATGAAGTTTAGAGTTTTCAAAACGATTTGGATATTAATTCGCGCAGAAAGAGCTTGTACTTTTAGGCATTAGCCAAAGACATAGTCTTTGAAATGACTGTTTTTGAATTCAGCCTGAGCAGCACGGGGTACGCATTGTTACCATAAGCGATACTCTTATCTTAAAACAAGCATTTAGCAGCACAGAGGCTCGCTACCTTCGCACTGAACTTCTATGCTGCAGCTTATGTATATATGCATGGTCACTGAATAGTCTAGATAAATTTCCGCGAAAATGCAAGGGTATTTCAAATGTTTAAACCTAAGCCTCTGCCTGACAAAAAATGTATAGAGCTCAAGCGATGCATCATATGCAGCACAGGAGCGAAGAATATTGAATTGCACGCAGAAATGTGAATTACGACAGGTTCATTTTTTTTTGCCATTTTGGGAATAGTGATCGAAGTCGAGCACGCTAATAGGTATGCAGCAGTGTGTACTTACAAGGAAATGGTTAGAACTCGAAGTGGCCGAACCAAACAAGCTGTTTACCATTCGACGCAGTAAAAAACGCTGACTTCGAATCCGTCTTCCTTATCTGCTTATCGCTTCTGTGAACGAAGCTACAAGCAGTTTTATTGTGGAAAAATTGTACAAAAAAAGTGTGAAATTGAGCATATTGTTGCAGTTTCAGCTCACCTTTAGGCTTTGAGAATTTGAAGTAAGTTAGCTGCATGTTTTGGTCCAGCATTAAGCCGAGAACGTAGCTCTGTACAGCCAAATTTTCACTTCCACGCATAATTTCTTAGCAAAATATTGGACTTTATTGGCTTACAGCATCGTCCAGAAAAGCGATAAGCAGGTAAAGGAGACAGACTTAGAGTCAGCGCTTCGTGCTGCATCTAACGGTATGCAGCTTGTCTGGATTAGCCACTTCGATATCTGACCATCCCTTGTTAGGAAAATTCCAAGTTCTTTTCGAATGTTCGATTATCAAATAATACTCAATTAAAATTTTTGATTATTCGACTGTCGAATGATATTCGAGGATCGAAAATTTCGAATGACTCGAATAATATCCGAAAATGAAAGTTTTCGAATATTCGACTATTGAATAATATGAAATCTTAGATTTTCGAATATTCGAATTCTAAACATTTGAATTCGAATGAGGTATTCGAATAATGGAGTGATTCGATTCGGTCCAAAGTGACAGCGGGAGGGAGGGGGGCACAAAGCACAATCGACTTGTCTTCACTTTCTAACAACTGAAATGATTTTCAAGAATTTCAAAGATTAAAATTGCCGCGTGAAATTTTTTCCAAAGCGTAACTACCACCATGCCCCTCTAGGACTATGGAACCCCGCGAGATTGTCAGAGAGCAATCGAAGATTTTTCGAATGGCTCATTCTCAGAATTTTTGTTGTTTTCTTGGTATACATCATGTCACATAGATGCCGCACAAGACTACTAGTCAATCAATGATGTGAAAGCCTTTAAAGCACATGCCTTATAGCATCAGGGTTAGGCTGATCACTAAACAGCACCTATCGTCCTCTTCGACTATTATCGAGCAAATTTATACGAGTGCAACAATTTAACCGTCGCCTGGAATGAAACAGCTCAAATTCTTTTATTTGGCAATATAATCGGAAACATCAATGTGATTAGTTCAATTTGTAGTATAGGTAAAGCATTTACAACCTTTGACGTCAAGGCAATTCTTAATCCCTACACCAACTTCGCCAGTTTTACCCTAAAAACTGTATGCTGTGGCACAAGCGAGAATGAGATTGGAAAGTGATGACGCTTTTCTTGGAGAAGGTCATCCTTCACAAAAGTATGAACGTTCATGACTCACAGAGTGAATGCGAGCACGACAGTACTTTGCCTTGAGGACGTGTATCTTGAGTTTGGTCGCGTCATATCCCACCTCTGCGTATGACTTTAAATGCATAGGATAAGAGCCTAATGGATACGTCCCAACAACATGAGATAATTCTATCTGAATAAGAAGATAATGAACAGTTGTTCCAAACGAGAACTTATATCGTACAGCCGGCTGATTCTGTAGAAAGTACACGCCAAAGTCCTTCATTTTTTCGCGTCTCATTGAAAACTGCACTGCTTCCTCTGAAAGTAAATGGTAAACGAGGGAAATTTAGCGGGACCTCTTCTGGAGACTCTGCTCAGGTTTACAAGAGAAGTCATTTTATGAGAATTCTGGGAAGCATTTGAGCTGATCGAGTTCGATAAAGTAAATTATTCGAAATCGAGGTTCTACCATAATCAAACTTTCTCTATACAAAATGACCGAATTATTCCAGTTGACATGGTATTCGAATGGCTTGATAGAATTGTGGGGTGGCGGGAAATGGGTAGTAGAATTGTGAGACTGTCATGATCCAGGCTTCAACCTGGATCACCTAGAAGCTTCAACCCCCCCCCCCCCCATCTGTACACGACATTCCTTCCTCTGATGGAGTTTTGGTTCACCTTACTCAATCGTAGTAATTCCTCAATTTTTTGAACAAATTCGCTTCTGTTACGACCCCCTCTCCTTGCTCTTACCCCTAATACGAGTCCCCAGGAGGTTGGGGGCCTGACCCCATGTTCAACCCTGATGATGTCAGAGGTTTGAAGGCCTATTAAAAGCGAAGTTGTGCTTGCTGATATTTTGGCAGATTTCCGGTCGTCACCCTTGGAATCTCTACCGCTTCCGTTCTGTTTTCTGACAGAAAACGACATCCTGCCGGAGAAAGCGCCACCTCTGCTGAGCCCTGGGAGAGAGCTTTCTATAAGGTTTCCTAGGGAGTCATATGGTGAATCGGTGTTGCACACTGGTGCCAGACGAGTTCAGTGAAAAACAGTAAAAGTCTAGTAAAAAAGACAAAATAAAGTAAAGGTAAAATTTTTTTACCAACGCTTCTAGTCATGCACAAACAGCCGTAAGGCAATGAAAAGATTTTCAAATCAAGGTTGAAGAGAGTTTCGTTCTCTCTCTTTTGTTCTTCTTCATTGATGAACGCCGTGATAGAATCACTCAAACGTAAACCTCTTTGGAATTTCTCTAAGCAGATGATGTGGTCTTATCAGCAAGTTCTAAAAGGGTGCAAGAGGGGGTTCAAAACTGGCAAAACACGCCAGGAATGTATGGCTTGAAGCTCAACAACAGGAAGACGGAATATGGTAAGGAAATTCAGGTAAGCACCGATGGTGATGAGTTGAAGAAGACAGCGTCATACATGTATGAGGTGGTCGCATCTCACGGAGGAAGGCCTAAAAGAGGAGGTCGCAGGCAGGATGAAGACAGCGTGGGTGAAGTGACCTCATTGGGAGTTTTGTGCGATGAAAGAGTGCCAGTGCAACTCAAGTTCCAACTATACCGAACCGTTATTCAACTCTATGTAGAGTCCATGTACGCGGAACGAGGAGTGCAAATTTGGTGTCACGGAAAAAGGGATGCTGTGATGGATTTTAGATGACAAACTAAAAGATCACATCTGCAATGACATTATACGAACCCAAATGAAAGTAGCTCCAATTGCCCAGAAAATGCAGGAGAAGAGACTATGGCGGTATGGGCATGTGAGCAGAAGGGAGGAAAGCTACATCACGAGGTTATCCTCAATGGTGGAGGCACCAGGCAAAACACCTAAGGATAGGCTTCAAGTTGAGGTTGGACAGGATCAAAGGCAGCGTCACTGACCGACGCTCCGTCCTGCTTAAAGGCAGTGGATCGGCAAAACTTAACAACACATGATTTTAACGCAGTAGGTTCCTTATCGCCCAAGTATGAAAACAGTGCAATCCCGGTTGCACAGCATGCCTTACCTGTCGAAAAAACTGCTTTCATTACACGCGCAAGCCAATCCTACACGCGCCCGGACAAGTTGACAATTTTCATCCCACCATTGGAGGCTGCCCGCCGCAATGTTATGACCATTGGGTCTGCAACGATTCAGCGTCATCAGCCTTGCTCCACTCGTCCAACTGCAAAGGGAAGGGCATTCAAAAACGCATATTTTCGCCGTTTTCAACCTCTCCAAAGTGGATTTTTGGGATTAGCGTATTGAATAACCCCAGATAAGCAAAAATTTGGCTAGGTTGCGATTTGCCGAGCCACTCCCTTTGAAGGCAGCGTCCCACCAGGCTGGGGGTACCTGGCTCTGGTAATGATGTAATAGTAGACCCCCTAGCTAAGCGACGACAGAAGTTTGCAGAGCGAAAGGGGGTTTACGGAGTCTACAAAGCTCCCCCCAAGTGGCCAGAATCTTACGGTAGGCTCAGGCGAGTACGAATTGCATGCGAGATAGAGACGCAGAGTTGTTGCGGGACCCTGCGCTCATGAGTGTGCGCGTTATACGCACTCTGGCCTTGCAAATCGATACTGCGGTGTGGGTGGCGTCCGCGCCTACCGTAAGATTCGGGCCACTTTCAGAGCAAATTTCAGGCTTGGTAGACCCCCTCTTTCGCTCTGAACTTCCAGTCATCGCTTAGGCAGGGGGTCTACTTTACATCGCCATAAAAACCCGGCACCCATCTTTTTGCCGGGACGCCGCCTTTAAAGGCAGTGGCTCGGCAAATCTCAACCTAGTCAAATTTTGCGCTTACCTGGGGTTTTTCAACACGCTGATCCCGGAAATCCACTTTTGAAAGCTTGAAAACGGCGAAAATGAGCGTTTTTAATGCCCTTCCCTCTGATATTGGACGAGTGGAGCAAGGCCAATGACGCTAAATCGTGGCAGGACCCAATGGTTATAGCTTTGCGGCGGGCAGCCTCCAATGGTGAGAAGGAAATTGCCAACTCGTCCAGATGCGTGTAAGATTGGCCTGCGCGTGTAAGTTTGAGAGCGATTTTCTCGGCAGGGAAGGCATGCTGTGCAACCGGGATTGCACTGTTTTCATACTTGGGCGATAAGGAACCTACGGCGTTAAAATCCTGGGTTGTCAAGTTTTGCCGATCCACTGCCTTTAAGGGCCGGGGACACTTCAAGCTATTTCAGTCGCGACGTGATTTGGCAATATTTCAACAGTCCATAACTTTCTGTAAGCACATTTTAAATGTAGAAAAGATAGGGTTATCAGCACAGGTGCGATAAGTTGAGAAGGACTCCTCCAGGGTGAAGAGGGTCACAGTGGTCGCAGCCCCTCCAGGGGAAGGGTGTTTCACTTGGTAGAGAAATTATAAAATGTCGACAGGGGAGGGGGGGGGGAGCCATGATGTTTTCTCATCATTTTTCCTAGTCGAAGTTCATAATTTATTCTTTACCATCACTGGTTATCTTTTTTCTGAAATGTGAACCGATGGGCTGCTGGATTAGCACACAATTATATTTCTGACCAGCACCTTGTATTTTTTCAACATTTCCTTTTCCTTTTTTGCATCACCCTGCCTGTTTTTGGAGTTATCATAGAAGATGTGCATGCGAGAACATTTGTTTCGGAAAGAGTAAGACAATTTTTAAACATTTACGAATATTTTTAAAAGAAGAAATTCGTAATTTCTGTAGATGAGCAGCAACGTCAGCAAGGAAATGTTTTTAAAACCACCTTGTCTTCGGCTTTTAGAGAATATATAGCTTGCCTGGAGTCTGTTGAAAAAGTGCCTGGTGAAGAGTGTCGGTAGTGATTTCTGGATATTTAAGAGTTTTTAGGATAGAAATATCCGTAACTTCTGGAGATGAACATCTTGTACGCCGCGATGGTTACCGTTGAAATCGCCTCGTCCTCCGCTTTCAGAAAATATATACTTTGCTCAGAGTCCGTTATAAAAGGTGCCTGGGTGAAGGGTGTCCCAGTGATTTCTGGAGATTTTCGAGTCTTTAACATAAAAAATTCATAACTTTTGAAGATGAACATCTTGTACGCCGTGATGGTCACCTTTGGAACCGTCTCGTCCTCCGCTTTCAGAAAATATATACTTTGTCTGGGTCCCTTTAAAAAAATGCCTGGGTGAAGGGTGGGTGAAATTTTTATAAGGGGAGTGCTCAAGTGGAGGCATTTTTATCATTGTGAAAAGACGTCTACTTGAGCGCTCCCATTATAAAAGTCTCAACCACCCTTCACCCGGCACTTTTTCTAGCGGATCCCAGGCAAGGTATATATTTTCTGAAAGCGAAGGTCTAGAGTTCCAACGGTGACCTTCACGGCGTACAAAATGTTCATCTACAAAAGTTATGAATTTTTTTTATGTTAAAAACTCGAAAATCTCCAGAAATCATTAGGACACCCTTCACCCAGGCACTTTTTTTGCGGGCTCCAAACAAAGTATATATTTTCTGAAAGCGGAGGACGAGACGGTTTCAATGGTGACCATCGCGGCGTGCAAAATGTTCATCTACAAAATTTATTAATTTTTTTTACGTTAAGAACTCGAAAATTCCCAAAAATCACTAGGCACACCCTTCACCGCACTTTCTTGAAGGGATCTCAGATATGCTACAAGCTTTCTGAAAGCGGAGGACAATACGGTTCCAACGGTGACTATCTCGCCGTAAAATATGTTCATCTACAAAAGTTATGAATTTTTTTATGTTAAAAACTCCAAGATTCCAGAAATCACTACTCACACCCCTCACCAAGTACTTCTTTCAATAAACTCTTCCATTCCTGTATGTAAACAATTCACGTACAAATATCTCCTTTGCTTAACCTTACCTCACTGTTAATTTTTTTTTCGGCTTTTGGTGAAGGGGGTCACCTTGGTCCCGGCTCAGGGGTGAAGAGGGAGTGAGAAAATTCTCACACTATCGCACCTCTGGTTATCAGTCCACGTAAGTTATACACACTATGCATGTGCAGTTTTCTAATGTTGGATTTGAAGACTTCTGGCGAATTGTCAAATCGCGTCGAGACTGAGATCGCATGAAGTATGTCCGGCCCTTTACGCGTTTTGACACATTCCAGTTGGCTTTCACCTCTATGGCATTGCTGTCTTGCAAATGATGCGATTTTGAACCCGCATTGGGTTAGACAAGGTCAAAAAGACTTGCAATATGCAAAGATTCCGACAACCAAATCTTGGTGGGACAATGTCTTTAAGGCCGACGCGCGAGAGCTTGGAATATATGAATATCTGGCCTCAAACAGGAAAACATGGAGACACTTAACAAAGAATGCAGATTTTCAAATGAACTGGTCTCATGTGAAAATAGAGAAAGATTATCATTACGAAGATGGGATCATGCATCTGACTTTATGACGCAGCCAGTGTATGTACCATTTGATTCAACTGGCTTTTTCGGGAAGGGGGGGGGGCTTCGTGACCTAATTAAGGCTAGATAATGATCAGAGAGCACTCGCGCGAGAGAGACGCAGGTGCATCGCAGGCGCGAGCGGCCCTAATTAGGTCACAAAGCCCCGCCTTCCCAAAGCCAGGCCAGTTGAATCCAAGGTTACGTAGCAGAGAAAAATTCTGAAAGACACGTAGGCTGTGAATAAAAGTCCCAGAATCGATGCCACTTTATCTTACATCAGAGTGTAGGGAAGGAGAATGTTCTCCGTCAGACAGAATGGGTGGTTTTTATAAGAAGAGATACTTTGACAATTCTGCCTTACGTGAATCTGTAGGAACAAAAACTTCATGAACGAGGTATAAATCCAAGGCATTCCCTTCGTTTTCGCAAAACGTTGAGCTCTTATCAAAACAGATTCGCAACCTGAAAATATCTCTCATATGGGTATCCTTATCTTATATATAAAGCTGAATGTCTGTTTGTATGTATGTCTGTCTGTCTGTGTGTACGTATGTTCCGAATAGAAAATTTCATTTCTGAACCGATCGGGACCAAACTTGGCACACATACACTTCGGGCCCCGGCGGGTGTCATAGGCTACTTTTCGTATCGATCGATATCGATTTTATCGATTTTTTGCAAAATTTGAGCTACGGGGCTGGGAGTTGGCACAGGGGGGTAAGTGAGCATGGAGATTCCGAATACAATATTAGTTTTCAAAATCGTGCATTACTTTTATCGATTTTATCGATTTTTTTGCAAAGTTTGAGCTACGGGGCTGGGATTTGGCACAGGGGGTCGATTACACCCCCTGCCAAATTCCATCCCCCTAGCTCAAATTTTGCAAAAAAATCGATAAAATCGATAAAAGTAATGCACGGTTTCGAAAACTAATATTGTATTCGTAATCAGCATGCTCGATTACCCCCCTGTGCCAAATCCCAGCCCCCTAGCTCAAATTTTGCAAAAAATCGATAAAATCGACATCAATCGATAACGAAAAGTGGACTGTGACACCCGCCGGGGCCCGAAGTGTATGTGTGCCAAGTTTGGTTCGGATCGGTTAAGAAATGGAATTTTCTATTCGGAACATACGGCGGAGCCGGGTATGCCAGCTAGTTCATTATACTATCTAATGGTCCAAAGAATGGAGCGTAATCAATGTAAAGAACATAATCGTCCTCAGTCAGTAGAATAGTGGACAAATTCAGATTCGAGCCGGAGCAAGTCGTTTGCAAAAGAGCGCGGCACTCGACCTTCAAATCAAATTTCCTAATCAATTCCTCCGTCATTTTTTCTATGAAGTCGCCCAAAAGTTTGTTCGCAATTTTTTCAAAATCATGAACTCTGTTCTTTCCTATATGATTTGCTTGCTTTTATTTTTCCAGCAAATTTTGCTCTTCATAGTAGTATCTTAGCAGCTTTTTATTGGGCATATTGCATAGATAGAAGCGGTAGAAAAAAACTATGCAAATTTTGATTTTCTTATTCGAGAATTCACAACTTGCAGGAAAAATCAGAGGAGTAGGTACCAAAGGTTTTGTTACATGCTTTTTCTAACTGAGCAAAATATGTACTCATTAAACATCTCTATAAAACTTATGATTTTCGATAAAGTGCCAAAGAACCAATTTCTTATTATTGCTCGCTCAAAAATCATAATTCATCAAAGAACGATTGCCCATGTTCGATCGTTTTTGAATCTTGGCATCTTTGGTAGTTGTGGAATTGTGTGTGTGTGAGCGTTATTCCAAAATTGTTACAGTTCTTTATTGACGGCTAACGTTTTGGCGCTTTCGCCTTCTTCAGAGCCTGGAAGTCGAAATCATAAGCAACCCATTCCCTCAGACGACAAGAAAAGACTCAGAATACTCTTCGAGAGAAAGCATATGCGCAAGCACCGTCAGAATCACAAGGACCAGCGGAAGTCAGAAGACCACCTATATACAAGTACGCCTCAGCTCTATGTGCCGTGTTACCTGACTTCATATTCAGGTCCGCATAGGGACTGATAAGGCGCAAGTTCCTGCGTGATGGCGATACACTCTTCCTTTCTATTCAATCTTGGATTTTTGGCATTAATCCAAAACGCCTCCAACGTTTTGCGAGCGAGGACCTCGGGTTTATACGACAAGATTCTTACTGCAACTTGTACCTTAATTGTTAGGAAGTGGTTTTCTAACCGCTGTTAACTTTTCCATCTAGACACATGCTTTTTGACGCGACAACAAAGTGTGTGCCCTGTTTCGCCAATATATGTGTTTCCGCATAAAAGACATGTTATAAGATAAATGACCCCGGACTGCATACAATCGCCTTCTTTGCCAACTGGGCAGACCACACAATTGGGAGTAGGGCAAGTGCGATCATAAGCGCGGTTTCGAACAAGCTGCCGCTTGAGATTGGCTGGAGGGATATCGACCACTCTTATCATGCCTTGCAAATCCGCGTGTTGTATACATCGTCGCACTGCACTGCTCAACTCATCGGAGATGAACAGCAGGCAGAAGGGGATATCAGTGGTACTGCTCGGATCACGAGCTCCACCGCCACGTGACCCACGGGCTCCGAAACGTGTGCCCACGCACGGCCTAGCCGCCCGACGCCGCTATTTCCTGAGCCAAGGCGATGGAGTATGAGCGTTCGTCGCTGCCGGAGGATACGCGTAGAGCTGTTCTACGCATGTTTGCTACAGTGGATCTTTTCATAGCGCTAGGATGTGCAGATAGAGAGTGAATTAGAATGTTTTTACTACTGGGCTTACGATACCATTTGATTTTATATTCCCCACCCTTAAAATGAATCTGCACATTTAAAAACCCCAGCCATTCTTCAGTGGGTTTTTCGCTGGTGAATGCGATATTAGGCGCCTATTTTACAAACCGCAAGATCCCGATACAGCAGATACCAAATTTCGCGTTTTCGCCACTTCGATTTTCTCTATCATCAGCAAATTCTCTGGAAAACGCGCAAATAGTTTAACTACAGCGCAACGCCGCGCCCTCCTCGAAATCCATGATCTTTGCAACGCCGGGCAAATCAAGGTATCAGTGGGCGACAAAGGTGGGGAGTTTGTGATCATGTCATGGGAAATGGATATGGCAGTAACACGGTATCACCTGGCAGACGATTCAATATACGCAAAGTCATCAGCTGACGAGTTTAGGAAACTACCGCCGTTTGAATAGGACGTGGGTGGAAATTGCGCAATCTGCAGTGTTCAATAAAAGGTTAATTACACGACTCAAAAGCGATCTGCCTATCTGTCCAGTCCTCTACACTCTAGTCAAGAGCACCAGTCATTGCTCTAGTTGCATGGGTTAAGCTTTTACGTTATAATGACCCTTCTTTACGAATGCCTACAATGTACGGTATTCCGGTGGTCAGGGAATTATTACAAACAGGTTAGGGGCTTAGCTATGGGATAGCGACTCGCACCGACTTTAGCCATTATTTTCATGCCCAAGGTAGAACCGCAAGTGGGAACGTAGACCTCTGGCGCCAGTGCTGGAACGTAAAACTCTGCTTTGCCGGTATATCGATGACTATTGCGTCATATGTCCCGCGCAAACCGAAGTAGACATCTCCTTCAACATCCTCAATCAATAGTCGCCTAATATCGCATTCACCAGGGAAAAACCCACCGAAGAATGGCTGGCGTTTTTGAGTGTGCAGATTTATATTAAGGATGGGCAAAACAAATGGTATAGCAAGCCCAGTAGTAAAAACATTCTAATTCACTCTCTATCTGCACATCCTAGCGCTATGAAAAGATCCACTGTAGCAAACATGCGTGGAACAGCTCTACGTGTATCCTCCGGCAGCGACGAACGCTCATACTCCATCGCCTTGGCTCAAGAAATAGCGGCGGCGGGCGGCTAGGCTGTGCGTGGGCACGCGTTCGGAGCCCGTGGGTCACGTGGCGGTGGAGCTCATAATCCGAGCAGTACCGCAGTACCGAGCAGTGCACTGCGGCGATGTGTACAACACGCGGATTTGCAAGGCATGATAAGAGTGGTCGATATCTCTCCAGCCAATCTCAAGCGGCAGCTTGTTCGAAACAGCGCTTATGATCGCACTTGCCCTACTCCCAATTGTGTGGTCTGCCCAGTTGGCAAAGAAGGCGGTCCGGGGTCATTTATCTTATAACATGTCTTTCATGCGGAAACACATATATTGGCGAAACAGGGCACACACTTTGTTGTCGCGTAAAAAAGCATGTGTCTAGATGGAAAAGTTAACAGCGGCTAGGAAAGCACCTTATAGTGCGTCATAACAATTCTAAGGTACAAGTTGCAGTAAGAATCTTGTCGTATAAACCCATCCTCGCTCGCAAAACGTTGGAGGCGTTTTGGATTAATGCCAAAAATCCAAAATTGAATAGAAAGGAAGAGCGTATTGCCATGACGCAGGAACTTGCGCCTTATCAGTCCTTATGCGGACTTGAATGTGAAGTCAGGTAACACGGCACATAGAGCTGAGGCGTTGTCTTGTATATAGGTGGTAAGGTGATTATGGTCCTTGTGATTCTGACGGTGTTTGCGCATTTGCTTTCTCCCGAAGAGTATTCTAAGTCTTTTCTTGTCGCTTGTCGTCTGAGGGAATGGGTTGCTTATGATTTCGACTTCCATGCTCTGAAGAAGGCGAAAGCGCCGAAACTTTAGCCGTCAATAAAGGACTGTAACAATCTTGGAATAACTCTCACACCGTTTTCATCATCATAGAACGTTCAATTAGACAAACTTTGTTCAGTTAGAAAGAAAAATTTTGGAAGCTATGATACGAATTGCTCAGTGCAAGTTTCAGATTCTTTACGATCAAACACAGGAAAATCAAAAGTTGAGTAATTTTTTCTGCCGTATCTATACAATGTATGCTCAATGAAGAGCCGTTGAAATATTATCGTGAAGTTTACAACTTGTTCCTTAGAACATAACAAGCAAGCAAATCGGTCAAAAAACCAGAAGTTATGAATTTTTGAAAATTTCGCGAAAGAACTTTCTGAACAAAGTATGCCTCGTTTTCTACTTTCTTTCGCATTGTAGTTGTGCTTTTCATCGATTGAAGAACAAAAGTTTCGTTATCAGTACATATGATTCCATGCTGCTAACAAGGAAATGGTCAGAAGTCGAAGTGGTCAATCCAAGCAACCTGCCCACTACCCAATGGAGCATTCAATGCTGATTTCGGATCTGTAATCCATATCTGCTTATCGCCTTTGTGGAGGAAGTTAGGAGCAGTTATATCGCAGAAAAATCGTACATTGAAATTGGAAATTGAGCACATAGTTGCACTTTCAGCTCACCTTTCGGCTTCAAAAATTTGAAGTAACCTAACGGCATGTTTTGGCTTAGCATCAAGCCGCACATAGCTTTGCACTGCCAAATGAGGCGCTTCTACGCAATATATCTTAGCGAAATAACGGCCTTAAATGGCTCACAACTTCGTCTACATGGGCGCTAAGCAGATACGGAATACAGAATCGAAGTCAGAGTTATATGCTGCATCTAACGGTATGCAGCTTGTTTGGATTGGCCACTTCGATATCTCATTCCCTTGTAAGCTCGCTTGCTTTGCTATTATCATAAGCAAACCTACAACCTACAAACGGGGCAATTGGAAAATTTTCTCTTTAAAGCCGAGTAGTAATATGCGCGATAGTGTGCTCAATAAGCTTCGTGTCATATCAAAACTAAGTGGATTTTCTAGCTTTCCTTTTCCGACAGGCCTAATGCTCCCATCAAGTGTGTAAATGTTGTTCTAGACATTTTGACCAGAAAAAGATTACATTCGCGGAAGTGAAATCACGTGCTCTATGATTTCATAAAGAAATTTTTACAACTGCACCGTTCTCAGGACCTGGAATAGTTGCAAAGTAAACGAGCATTGCAGGGTGAATAACATTCATCAATAACGAAATCGGCAGTTCCGATGATGAACATGTATATACTAGCATAGGAAACAGGGAGAGAGGCTAGAATATTCAGGTGGAGGTTGTGTGTGCCGCGATCTACCGGGAACGGCGTGCTCCACTTCAGTTTTAGATTTCCAGTGGAGTCTAGTGTGTGTACGTAAAAAATTTCATGATTTTCTATTTAGCAAACAATGCATAGGGATTCGAATATAATTCGAATATTTAGGTTCGAGTGATTTATTCGAATGTTTTGGAGGCTTCGTTCCTAGAGTACATGCTATCTAACCCTTTCGCTGGTTTTTTTCCACTCTGTAGTGAAGAAAATTTTTGTTTGGGCTAAGTGGGGACTGCACAGTGAACACAGAAAGAACCACTTGAGATACGTTACTTTTTCTGTGAGGAGGCATCCGCAAGTGGTTACCCAGCTGCAGTGGCGGTCCCAGGATTTCGGACCGGGGGGGGGGGGGGAACGGCAAAAAAATTTTTCAATGAAGGTGCGTGGCGTTAGCCATGCACAACAAAAAAATTTTTGGGGTGCTTCTCAAAATTTGCGGGTCCCCAACCTTTAAAATCTGGAAAAAGGGGGCGTGGCGTCAACCACGCCCCCGAAAAATTTTTTATAAGGCTAATTCAAGTTTTTAAAAATTTTTAAAAATTATTCTAATTGTTTACAAGAATAAACAAGTCACTTGCGCATTTTTTGAACCCATATAAGCAATTTTCAAAGATTTCGCGACCCATTCTTGGGGGGGGCCTTCCCTTCCCCCCGAGTATGGGTCGCGAAATCTTTGAAGATTCGCCCCCCCCCCCCCCGCTCCCTCCCCTCGGTCCGCCACTGCCCAGCTGGTATGTACATGGGCAAAATTTCCACTTACTTCTCGCGAAAACTAATGAAGTAGAGATACAGAGCAATCAAAAGAATTTCGCGCTTAGATAAAAAGTTCCTTCCGGGTCATCAGAGAAGACGTCGGCTACATCATGCAGAAACTGGAATTTTTGGGCGAAGAAGGTGAATGTTTGTGTGTATTGGGTTGATCTTGCGTTACCAAGAAAGTAGAGGAAGTGACTTGAGACATGTGGAGCCTGGACTAGTGTGAGCTGGACAGCTTAGCAGTTGATCTTATACTCAAACATGGGTGCGAATAAAACACTTGAGTGCAAAATTCGAATAGTATTCGTTCATTCCTCTGCCCGACCAACAGTTTAAGTTTCGATTTTGACCGATTTGATTTTGAGAATTCGAACTTCGCATTTTACTCGAAGCTCTAATTTCGGATGACTTGAGTCTTCGAATGCTGTTCAAAATGAGAACTTGCGTGTCGACTTTCGAGTACGAATATATCTGAATATTCTATTTAAATGACAGGATTTTTTGTCGATTTGTGCCAAACTATGCTAGTGTCTAGTGGGCCATTCACGACTATACATACCGCTCGTAATTTGTAAAAAAAAATTACCGCAATACGCCGGAGTTCGCCGAACTTCTGGATGCATCACCATATCTTATTTCAGAGTGGCACCAGTCAACTCAGCTCGACGAGATGCATCTTTTGATTTATGAAAGGGCCTGCTTGAATAAGACAGTCGGTCAAGTTTCACGGATCCTTCCAGATTCTGGCTCACGGTAGTTTACTCAGAGTTTTTATCATTGCACAACTATCAACCTACCGTAGACAAACATTTGGAAAGATCCTTGAAATGACCGACTGTTGGGCCGAAACAGACACTTTCATAAACCAAGGGTAATTATCAATCTCCTGTACATCCCTCTCATGCCTATTCGGGAACCTGCTGTGGAAAGGTAGCACGTCAGCAGCGCGAGCGGGCGCATATCAAAAACGGCTGCTGGAGTAAATTTGCATATCGCAAACATTTGAAATTTTCCCATCGTTTTTCACTGTTTTTTTCCTATCCTTTCGATCCTCAAGTACAATTTTGTATTGATATGCACATGTGATTACCATGTCAACAATAGTAAAGTCAAATTATGGCGGAAACGGCCAATTTGTACTAATTATCAATAAATTCTAAGCACAGGGATTAGTAAAAAACTTGCAGAAATGTGTAAATCAATCGAAGTCTTATTTCTTGGCTAAGCAAAGGCAGTACATGTCAAATTGTATAAGATAGAAGGCTGGATTGGATCAAAATATTTGTCAGAATTTCCCATCACCATACTTCTGGACTCTACACTAGAACAGTGCATGGGCTCAAGGGCCCGGCCGCAAGCTTGGCCATGTCGGGCACGGCAGGCCTGATCGCGACAGATCGGGCTCTGCTGCCCGTTCGGGCCATGCTAGCCAAAGTACAGGTTGAACGCTCTCGCTTGCCCGGGCTGTGTATGACGATGCAAAACGCTCAAACAACGAGCCGGAGATTGATAAATACTGCCCCAGAAGATGCACCTCGTCGAACTGACGTGAGTTAAACGGTGTCTTGCATCCAGAACCTCTGAAACAAGATATGGCGATGCAGCGCAAAGTTCGGCGAACTCCGGCGGGGCGCAGTGACTGTTTCACATCTACGAGCGGTATCAATTGATACTCAAATGATTTATAGGCGTGTCCCGTGTCAGCTTACCATGAGTAGCGCAAAGCACACGCCCACAACGCCTTTAGTGCGCCTTTCATTCTAGCTCACAGTGAAAATTTCTGTGCTTTTCCCTCCTAACTGACTTTATTCTTTGTAATCTCCTTATTTCAGGTATAAAAGGCTCAAAAACTGCTAATGAGTATGTACGAGCCTTAACAGTTTTGAAGAAAATTTGTCTTAATGACTTCTTGTTTCTTCTCGGTGGTGGAGATCTGATTGAATCTCAGAGGAATGTCTTCGAGATTTCTCCTACGGAATCCATTCTTTTGTGGTATGTAGTTCTCCTAATTTAATACGGCAGTAGTGCTCGGCTTGTACAATTGTACTCTCGAGCTTACACTTTCTAGGTCTATTATGTGCCCAGAAAAGGAACGTCAAAAATGACCCTAGACTGCTTCAAACTGGAATGCTGCTTGGAATTTAAGCAGTGGTAGAACTTGTGAAAGTTTTCTTCTCAAATAGGGTTTTCTCGAGCTAATTAGATGGACAAAAGCAGTGCTATCAGCTAACCGAAAACTAATTTTAGGAGTCAAGCAGTCAAGCAAAAAAATGTACTTTTAGATGGCACGTTCCCGTACAGACTAACACCAGCAAAAGGGAGGATAGTATTCAAGATGACCATTGCCAACGCTTACCAGTCACAGTCTTGAACTTCGATGAAAATCATCTGCATTGGTTCCTCCTCCGCATCCTTTCCACCAGCACAGTATCTTTTAGCCTATAAAGTCATTTTAGCTCTATTTCTTTCATTGAACACTTGCAAGCATATCATGTTTGCGCGAACCTGTGTCAATAATAGTGCCTACCACCTCGTGCGGTCTGAATTCCCCACCGCCTTGGGCCCAGAAACGCGTCTATGACGTATCTTTTGGTAATCTCTCCCCCCCCCCCTGAGGCAAGAGGAGGTTGGCGATCGATGCCGAAAGATACGTCGGCACGTAACGCAGGGTCCAAGGCGACAACCTCAGAGCCATACAGGTGAGGAGTAATTAGAGGAATTTGAGCATTTTGGGCGCTTTTGAGCGGTTTTAGGCGAAGTATGGTCGGTGCTCTCCTTGCACAAGCACAAAACATCGTTTTTGGGCTCAAGGGGGTATTCGTAAAAAAATATTGGGACCAAAGGAAAATTCGCTTTGGGAAGCCCCATTTGCCCACCTCGTGCCGGACCCTGGTCGTATAGTTATGAAACAGTGGAAGAATAGACATGTCTCTACATGTAAAGCAAGTGAGCAGACATATTGATTGAGATGTCAATTTATTCAAACACATCATATGCAGATCACAAAGACACTGACTGCAATACTTGATTTCTTTTGTAAATCCGGAAATCCCAAATTTTGGGGAGTGTCATGTAGTTATGGAATGCACTGTGTATAGAAGGATTTCGTTTTCAAAAGTGGTTGAAGCCAACACGTGGCGGGTGCAAGTCACATTGATGAAAGTTGACCATGTTTGAAAGTGACGGTTTAACTCAGTATGCGCGGTCATTTGACATGCTAATAACAATGATATAGGTCGTCCGCGCAGGGCGCGGAGAGTGCGCAAGGTGTGTATTGCGCGTCACTCCTCTTTCCCCGTGCACTCTCGCCGCCTGTTTTTCTCTGCGCTTCTTCTATCTTCGACGGACGCAACAGCGTTGCTCTCCGCGCGCAGCGCGGACGGCCCATACTCATTATGCAGTAGGGCCTCTTTCTAATGCGGACGGTGATGCGTCAATCTCTCAGTGTGCATTTTGCAAACTAGGTCATCTGACGTACTGTTTTCGTTTTTATCGTCACTGACGTTACTTTTGAACAACACCCCCCTCTCTGACTCCTCAATACGAGCTCTAAATGAGGCTTACCACATCCACACTTGACCCTGTTAATGACCCTTTGGTAGCAACGCTACAGTTGCACAACATATCACCGCAGCCAAGATTCCCCTTGAAGAACCACCATCTCACACAAATTACAATGGAGATTTCCGCAAGTGCATGTATAACGCCCAATGCCACATATTCGCTCAACGTTGCGGAAAAGAAAAGTAGTTAGTAGTAATGCACACATTGAGGTCAAGTAAGACCTTCAATGATAGGCGCCTTATCTTAACCCTTTCGGACCTGGTGGTGGCAATTGCCACCATCAATTCAGAGATCTACTGTACTGACGCAAGAACATCATTTCACTACTCATTGCTCTCAAACGCTTCATATAGCCTTTGCCTTCCAAATGTAGCTTCGAGACCGGTTGTTCATTTGCTTCTCTGTCAATAGTATGTACATTTCCGTAAACAAGTGGATTTCAAACAATCAATAATTTGCGCCGGCTTGAGCACCGTTTCAGTATCTCGTTTATTAGCCAAAAAATATTCATAATATTATCATAATGTTTTAGTACGATGCTGAGCAAATGTAACTGTTAACTGTTTGCGGGTCCACATGTATCGCGGGAGTGAAAATCCAAAATAAACGCAAAACCAAAAAATTGAAAAATCAAAAAGAAATAGTTCATAAGGTTAAGCAGACTCCAAACTCCGCTATAATGTTATTCATATGGTAGTAAGTAAAAAACAATAGGAGAGAGGCTTCTCGGCTCACTCGCAAAAACTCAGGTCCGAAAGGGTTAACCTACGAACGACTCTTCGATCTAACAAGGGAACGGCCAAAAGTCGAAGTGGCCACTCCAAGCAAGCTGCATACTGTTGATGTTGGCAACAACAGTAGTTTTGCAAAGATGATGAACATTATGAGAGAATGATAAAAGACCTATTGAATAACGTTTGTTGTAGCGAAATCGCGGATGCCGACTTGATTCTCCTTCAACTTGACATCAAATAAGGTGACTACGCCGCATCCTGCTGGAGCAGCTAATGGGCTAACTCTGCGGCTATCTTCCATATTTGCTAAGCGCCTTTTTTGGCGAAGCTGTGAGTCATTATAAGACATCATACTACTAAGAAATCGCGTGTGCAAAGTGCAAATTTGACCGCAAAGAGTCATAATCGGCCCAGTGCTGGATCAACACATGCATGCAGTAGGTCAGTTTATATAGCCTATACCCGAAGATGAGCCGGGAGGCAATAATGCGCATAGTTCGCAAGCTTTGTATACGATTTTATTGCGATAGAACGCTCATAATTTCGACTACAAAGACGTTCAGCTTATACGGAAGACGGATCTGGAGTCAGCGGTTCTATGCTGCATCCAGTGGTATGCAGCTTTTGGGTTGGCCACTTCGACTTTTCACCGTTCCCTTAAAAGTAAAAGCATTACTTACTTTATACAACTCAATCTCATTCGCAATAGGCTTGACTGCGATTTCTTGCCTAAATAAAAAGAACGGTGCACCTGTGCGCATGCGTAGTTTGTGGCATACTCTCTGCTATTAATAAACAAGATATCACTTAATCATTAGGCACTGGGAGCGGAGAGCCACGGCCCTTAATTCACTAGCTTTTCGCAGACCCTGCGGACCGACTGGAGGATAAACCGCTGCAGTAAATCAAGGTTCCTCGGGTCAGTCGTCGCTTAAGTTAAAGACAGCGTTCCACACTGGGGATTACCTGGCTCTGGTAGTACTGTAGTAGTAGACCCCCTAACTACTCAGACACTGGGACCGGGTGAGCCGCGGCCTCAAAAGGCTTTTCCGGCCCGTCCGCGGCCTTAATTTGTGGGCATGGCCGGAGTGCGGCCGAGCCGCGGACCTTAATTCATGTCAATATCATTGCACCGGCCGAGCCGCGGACTGAATATGGCTTACCGGCTCAGCCGCGGCCTTAATGATGGGGGTGGAGCATTGCAGCGGCTGAGGCGCGGACCAAAATCTCTATAATGAAACTCCAGCCGAGCCGCGGCCGAAGTTTTATTATAGAGATTTTGGTCAGATAAGGTCCACGGCTCGGCTGCTCCCAGTATCTGAGCATAAAGAATACTTGCGTGATGTAAGACGCATGCTCAGGCTGCCCTCAGTGTTCACAGCCTTCGATGTCTTTCCAGTCTCCAAGGCGGGAACAAGATTAATATGTTGTACAACCTTGGATAGCATCTTGTGTTGTCCAATGTTGAAGTCGGACTTGGTTTCCGAAGCCGCTATATCGGTGGCCTCAACTTTTTTTTAAAACTGTGTATGTTCTATGTGCCAGTGAATAAAAAAAGTTCTACTGTATCCGAGCTAGAATGAACTAGACGGCCCGACAACCAGCTCCAGCTGAGCCGCGGCCCAAAAGCGGAAGAGCCGAGGCTGTTTTCCGGCTGAGCCGCGGCCCATCTCCGGCCGGGCCGCGGACGCTGCGAAATTCCAGCCGGAAAAGGTCCGCGGCTCGGCCGCTCTTAGTGTCTGAGTAAGCGATGACAGAAGGTTGCAGGCGAAAGGGGGTCTACGAAGTCTACAAATCGCCCTCGAATTAGCCCGAATCTTACGCCGGGTTTGGGCGAGTACAAGATGCATGCAAGGTAGAGACGCAGAATCGTTGCGGGACCTTGCGATCTTCACCTGTCCGCTATACGCACTCTGGCCTTGCAGTTCGTGCAGTTTGGAGGGGCGGCGTTCGGGCCTAGCGTAAGATTCGGGCCACTTTCGGAGCAAATTGCAGGCTTGGTAGACCCCTTTTTCAAGTTCTCATCGCTTAGTTATACTAAGCGTTATAGGTATACTATTATAATACAACCAGAGCCAGGTACCCTCCAGTTTGGTGAGACGCTGCCTTTGAGTACCGCGGTTTGCTTAGTACAGTTTAGTGTAATCGCACCAAGGACAGCGGATGCGTACACTACAGTGGCTTACCCGAAGTCCTTCATGTACAGCAATAGCATTTGCGGTCGGCCCGCGGGAGCTACGAATACGGTTAAGAGTAAAAGTACGTGGGAATAAGATTTACTTCGGAGTAGTGAAATTAAGAGCAGCCTCTTCACCCCGGTGTTTGAGAAGGGACCAGAATTGCGCACTCAATGTCATACTGCAGCAGTGACCCACTGACTGACTGCAAGGTTATGATAGAATGACTTTACATTTACATTCTAAAAAGGCGCGTTACACATTTTTTGTCTTTCATCTATCGCTTCTGTGAAACTTAAATCCTAAAACAAATCATGAAAAATCTAAGCGCTACAAACTGGCAGTTCCCACTATGCTCCGCGCCTCGCCGTAGCGTGTTGGTGTCCTGGGCGTCGAGCTACAGCCAAGTGTATACACTGATAAGATCTCCCCAAGCTGAGAAGTAGTTCGACTTTTCGGTTTCGGCCGGATGCCCAGCCAAGAGCGGACCGGGCCAAATTCGCCGTCTGCCTTGATCCCCAGTGATCCCCGCTCACACCCAAAGTTAACGATAGCTCCATAGAAACCAAGAGCAAGCCCATAAATCTGCTCTTGTAGGGGAAAAATCCTCACTCCACCAGTTAGAAGAAGAAAAAGAAACCCTGAACATTGGAATGATTCCAGCTGGTAGTGAGAGGATGTCAAGGTCCTCGAGGCGCCTTTTAAGTCGGATAAAAACGGCACTCTGTTCGGACGACATGCCATGGAGACTGCCTCATGCTCTGCACCTACAGCGACGCCAGGACGGTCTTCACAAACGTCGACCTCCACGCTCTTCTCGACGCTGCAGAGCACATCAAGTACCACATCGTCGCTCTGCAGGAAACGAAATCCAGGAAGAAGGATGTACGAAAGATGAGGGCTGGAGCCCTCATCTTCGTGGTGAGAAGGTCCCATCACAAAACATTGGAGGAATTGGCCTTGTCGCCCATCCATCCATCGTCCATTTTGTACTTGAATGAGATCCTATCACCCTCTAGCCATCCTACGACCACGGCCTCCCAGTCAGATGACCATTAGCATTATCAACCTACTCGCTAACATCGGCAGCATACGATTTAGAACTAGATTCTTTCAACGGAGACACAGAGGATATCGTCCGCAACAAGAAGCCTTCCACAAGCTTCTTGTGCGCGACATTAATGCGAAAATTGGGATGCCACTAGAAAGAAATACAGAGTCGGGAGCTTTTCATGAGCCGGATCGAAAACGGTAACCGCCGCGTTGAGTTTACTTTGCCGCACGAAACTTCCATGGAAATTCCATCTTCATCGAAAGAAAAGAGCAGGTAGACATGGGAATCGCCCAACAGAACGACGCGTAGATCGACCACATTCTCACCAACCGAAGGTGGAGCTTGCTCAATGCTTCAGGTAGTTCCATCCTTCTGCGGTGCTCCGATCACCTCCCCCTTCAAGGAAGATACGGTCCGTTCAAGTTGGAAAAGGTCTGTCACAGTTTTGCAAGAAAGGAGAAAGTTCTTTATGAAGTAACAAGCTGCAGAGCTTCTATCAAGTTATGACTGGCCCATCGAGGAGGACCCAACGTACGACCACGACAGGCTTCTGAAAGGATTGCGAACTTGCGGGAATGTTACTTCTGAGAGAACTTGGATCGCATTTGAAGGACCAAGAAGGAATTACTAGAGAGGGAGGATTTTTGGCAATGCAACCCATTTCGAATCTTATGTCTAAAGCTGAATGTCTGTTTGTCTGTATGTATGTATGTCTGTCTGTCTGTCTGTGTGTACGTATGTTCCGAATAGAAAAGTCCATTTCTGAACCGATCGGGACCAAACTTGGCACACATACACTTCGGGCCCCGGCGGGTGTCATAGGCTACTTTTCGTCATCGATCCATATCGATTTTATCGATTTTTTGCAAAATTTGAGCTACGGGGCATTTGGCAGGGGGATGTAATCGAGCATGCTGATCACCCCCGTAGGGGTGATCAGCATGCTCGATTACACCCCCCTGCCAAATTCCAGCCCCCTAGCTCAAATTTTGCAAGAAATCGATAAAATCGACATCGATCGATAAAGAAAAGTGGACTGTGACACCCGCCGGGGCCTGAAGCGTATGTGTGCCAAGTTTGGTCCGGATCGGTTGAGAAATAGAATTTTCTATTCGGAACATACGGCGGAGCCGGGTAAGCCAGCTAGTGACTTATAAGCAACGGGTCAGTTGCAGAACAGCTTTGCAAAAGAATCTCAGGATGTACAGGCAAGCAAAGATACTGGAGCAGCCGAATGAAGACGAGGTCTTAAGAAGCGCCGAAGGGAGTTCTGTGAATATCACGTGCCTCTGACCACACTCTTGAACGAAAACGGGACACCGACTTCTTCCCGATAGACACCAATCTCTTCCGCTAATCAACATCCGTTCCGATGCCCGTTTTCCTATTGGAGAAGTATTACCACGAATTCTACCTGCTGAAGTGCGCAATTCAGACCGTAAAGATGTCCACCGCTCCAGGACCAGACCATCCTTCTGTCGAATTTCTGCGAGCCGAAGGACAACGTCTACACGAGATTCTCGCGTCGCATCTAAACCTTCTCAGAAGAAAATGATTCCCAACCAGTGAAGAACATCAAGAAACGTCTTCTCCTCAAGAAGGGTGAACGGGATAATCTTCGGAATTACTGTCTATTATGCCTGTTGAATGGCTGTACAAGCTTCTCACAAAGATTGTCCTCGCTCGTATATCTAGGACACTGCATGAAGCCCAACCCCAAGAACAAGCTGGATTTCGCAAAGATTCAGCTAAAGGACTGCATCCAGACGGTTTCGAGGGTCATAGAAGTCTGCCGAGAGTACGTACTGCCTCTTAACCTTTGTCGCAGCATTGAAACCGACGACATCCTGTCAGCGAGAGTCGATAGAGGTGGACGCAGCTTACATGAGCTTACCGACTGCTACAACGACCTGTACAGCTATGATGCAGCTATTTCAATCTCGCCCAACCGCGTCTTACAATGGATAATGAAGTCACTGGAGTGACTTCATTACCCATTGTAAGACTGGGACTAATGAAATCATTGAACTGGGACGAGAGAGGCATACGAGTTGATGGGAGATTCCTGTCAAACCTTCGTTTTGCGGACAATATCGTTCTCTTTTCAAGTACATAGTATCACTGAAGCAGAGACGATGCTGAAGGAACTGAACGAAGTAGGAAAGAACGGATTGCGAATAAATCGGAAAAAGACTCAGTTCATGAAGAACGCTCTTTGCAAGATGCAGAAATGGAATTGGAAGGCACCCTCTTCTTACGTGTATCTCGGACGTTCGATAAACATGGAGAACGACTTGAGAAAGGAACTTAACAGGAGAAGAAAAGCAGCATGGGCCGCTTTCGGGCCTCTAAAGGAAGCCACCGACCAACTGACGGAGCTGGAGCTTCCCCTGTTCGACTCAACCGTTTTCCCGGCGCTCTGTTACGCAGCTGAGACTTGGGCTGACACCGTAGCCACTTCGAAAGCTTTAAGGGCCACCCACAGAGCGCTAGAGCGTAGTCTTCTGAAGATGACCCGACACAAACAACATCTTGTCGGACTTCGCAGTACGGATATGAAAAGAATGTCGTCTTCGGAACCCAGAGGAATACTTTGCGAAAGCAAATAACGATGGGCGGCCGGTCACACAATGTAAAGAGCAGACGACAAGTAGACACTAAGAACATCAGAGTGGATACTTCGCGAAGCAAATGTCGAAGATAATCAACGAGATTGGCAGACGTATTCGTGTAACGGATCGACCAGCTGAGGTATCGCTGGCTACGATTGCACCAGGAATCGTGGACGCAGCCGCACGACCACCAAGAAGATCGTGGATGTCTGAAGCAAGGGACAGGAATTACTGGAAATTCTCCGCTAGCACATCACGTTAAGATGGGCCATCTAGGCATCCAAGTAAGCAAGTACGGAATTGCAAAGCATGGGATCACAAAACTACAGCATTTTGCTCACGCTATCATCTTCAGAAATATAAGGAACGTGATATAAACTTAGCAGGTAACAGAGCAGACATATTCAAACAGATACACAAGAACAGCTTGAAGATAAAAACACGAGCAGTACAAGATGATCATGATAAATACAAGGCCATTTGGCTATGTCGGTAAAATCAACTATGACTTTAGCATACAATCTGCGAAATAAATCGTAGTTACGTGATTTTGATCTCCTTACGCTCAGGCTGCAGCGGCTGCTGCATCTGCTGCTGTCAGTGCGATCAATGCGGTCACTATTGCATTATGAAACTACCCTATGAAGTATCTGGGATTTTACCTAACCTGTGATATTTTGCTATTCTGAAAGCAAAACCCACCATTCGTCATCGTTCATGAACCCTTCGTATGCCGCGGTGCTTGCACAGCATACATTTGACGAAAAGTCTGCCTTCGCAATGTTGACAGTAATTTCGGAACGATAATCAGAAGCTTTGTTGGTCGATCCTGTTACAGTACCGGAAATGATGTACGGCGCTTGATGAGACATTCCACTAACTGTATAGAATTTAGACAGATCAGTAGCGGGGCTGAAAATTTTGTTTTATAAAAGCTTTCTGCATATTGATTTTATCCATTAAGTTGGATTCTCCTCTCCTCATAGCAAACGTATTTCACTGGAAATACACAAAATGTACGGAATGGAATGTACCCTCGATATCATCCCATATGTCTTCCCTCAACATGACGTGGATTACGTGGCTTGATGAGGCGCCGCCTCGCCTCGGGCTTGCGCCACGTTGCGTGCGCATTTTCGGCGTGATGTGGCAACAGAAAGAACGTGGAAAAGCCTGCGCCACGTTGTGTTGAGCGCCACGTCGCGCCAAATGATGCGCTCGCAACGTGGCGCGAGCCCGAGGCGAGGCGGCGCCTCATCAAGCCACGTAATCCACGCCATGTTGAGGGAAGACATATGGGATGATATCGAGGGTATGTACACAGCGTTTGATTGACAAAAAAGGGTACTGAGAAGTGGCCAATCGTAGTGGGACACATATTACTAGAAACGTCTTGAAACGCTGAGTCTGAATCCGGTCTCGTTATCTGCTAAGCCATCATATGAAGTGAGTTATGAACGTTTCTTCCATAAGAGTTCGCACTATTTCAGTTGAGCAAAACTTTGAGCATCGCTCAGCTTTCATGGTTCACTTCTCGGAACGACATTTGAAGAAGAGCATTACTTCAAGCCTGGATGACTTGTCTCATTGGCTCACATTCAGGCAACATCACATGTCATGAATTCTGATAAGATATAATGTGCGAAAATTTTGCGGAAAAAATCACATAACTCATTTCAGACAATCGTACGTATAGCGAAAGCAGATTTGTAAACAGCATTTCGAGGCACATTTAGTGATATGTGCTTGGATGTGTAATGACTGCTGGGGTGTCTTGCTACTGTCTGCTGTCTGCTCTTGCTGTGAAAATGCCATCGGGATGTGAATTCTAAGAAATTGATCTTTTGTTAATAACTTTCGGCACAAACAAAACCCCTCATCTCTCATTGTAGTCCTTATGACCGTAAAACTTTAAAACACAAAGCGAGTAGGACTTTGTGCTTTAAAGTTGGCTGTATAGAGCAAAAGCAAGCCTTGCTCTATAGAGCTAAGCTGGCGCTGATGTCGGAGTAGAATTCAAAAAAAAGAATTCAAGAAATGCTTTTCTTGCCAATTTGGAGCAAACAAATTTTTTTACAGAAAATTTTGTGTGAAATTCAGTAAGATGGAGTATAATCACTGCCCAAACGACCATTTACATAGTGAACAAAGGTAGTGCTGACTTACTATATTTCAGATTGCGTTATGGTTTCTCAAAGGGAGTTCTCAAAAGAAAATGTTTAGCAGGGCTGGAAGATCTTCGCCATTGTTGCTGCAGAGATTTCAGTACATATGATACTATCAAGGATTTGTAATACAATCAACTACCACAAAGATTATTTCTGGGAAGAATTATGGCAAAGTTTGAAGTTGTCCTTTAGAAACAAGAATTTTTAAAATCCAATAAAAAATCCGAGAGATGGTGCATGAGAAGAAGGTCAGACATTCGCGATTAAATCATTTATGTCCAATGCTTGAAATGCGCATACATTTTCGTTCTTCTTCTTGGTAAGCAAGAGACCCAGTCACCTGTGAAATCCCTTTAGAGAGGAAGAGTAGAAGTAGCAAAACACGATCAATTTCTAAAACCTGATTTGCATATGTGTAAGCTGCGTAATGTTAGCTCCACACGCGAGCAAACCAGGTCGCATTGTTGCACAGTGATTAGCGAAGCGGCTTCTTTTCTTTCTCCCACGATCTTTTGGGACAGCTTCACGACGATGTGGGAAAGGAGGGGGGGGGGTGTGTTACGATTCTAGCATTGAGTGGCTAGAACTGAATAGCTTCGTACTTATTCGTGAGGTTGTGCGATCGCTCGCATGGACTTCAGATACAAAGCAGACGTTGTTGTAATAGGTAAAGTAGAACTGATGGTCACTCTTTCTTTGGTTAGAGATTAAATATAAGTACATAGAAAACTCACTCTGTTTTGACAATTTTTCTGTAGTACGCTTGATCATCATTGCAGAAAACTGCGTGACAATACGGGCTGAAAACGTAGACTTTTAAGCACGTATGCACGTACATCCTCGCGGGAAGGGAGGGGATCTTAGAGGGGACGCAGCATATCTCGCTCTTCTATATATCTTTCTTCGTCTTCCTCTATTTGAGTTATGAATGCTCTCGTACCCGATACATGCACATAATGGTTGGTTCTGATAAATGGTTCGCATATGCGCATGTATTAGCGTATGAGAGCGTTAATAACATAAATAGAGGAAGACGAGGAAAGATCATTGGGAGAGCGAATATGAGCCCCCCCCCACTCTCAGATCCTCTCCCCTCCCCGCGGGGATATAGTTACGTGCATACGAACTTAGGCCCGTATGCACGTACATCCCCGCTAGGGAGGGGAAGGGATCTGAGAGGGGAAGCGCCATATCTCGCTAGTCTATATATATCTTTCTTCTTCTTCTTTCTCTGTATTGCTTTCGAAGGTTCACATACACTGATACTTGCGCATAACGGATGCCAGACTGCCATACAAGATCAGATATCCACAATTTCGTCTTATCCCCTGGGGATCCCCGGGGGATCTCACATTTTCAAAGTCATTTATCTTCCTGAAAACTAGATGAAAATGCTCTAAAGTTGTACTGAGGATATACTACAGCACTGCTGAATATGTTTATGGTAGAAATGAGCGAAATCTCAAGATATCAAAATCTTCGATGAACCCGCTGCTCGCGAGTCAGAGATTATCGAAAAAATCAAAATCATCAGGATTCCATTTTTTCTGTCAAAAACATGCTCAGTAGTATCGTAGTATATCTTCAGTACAATTTTGCAGCGTTTTAATTGATTTTTCGGGAAGATAAATGTTTTTGAAAATGTGAGGTGATCCCCAAGGGATCCCCAGGGGATCACAAATAGTGAAAATCTAGTCAATCACGCCAGTAACTTGGCATCCATTATGCGCAAGTATAAGGGTATGAGAGCCTTCATGAGCAAGATAGAAAAGGAAGAAGAAAGATACGTAGAGTAGCGAAATATGACGCATCCCCTCTCAGATCCCCTCCCCTCCCCAGCGGGGATGTACGTGCATACGGGCCTAAGAGAAACTAGCACTGGGACAAGTTTTCATTATTGAAAAGTCAGTATTCAAAAAGTTATCTTTGAAACTAGGAAACAAAGAGAACGATATTTTTGCGTGGTCTAGGAAATATGAAAGGTATTCTGCGAAACATTGTAATTACTCAATGTGAGGAAGAACAGATATGAACTTGTCATCACACGTTTTTTATCCTCGAGCTTCCTAGTCGCAAAATGGATAATAGGCGAAGATTGCAGGCTAGAAAAACTACCCTAAAATCCGGCATATAAGAACGGACTTATCTGCAGTTTTGGCAGGAAAATCGATGGAAAAACGCCGCAAAAGGTCTCACAGATAAGTCCGCCTAAATCCTCTCGCAGATACGTCCGTCTGTCCTGAGCATGAGCAAGCGCGACCTAGGAGCACAAACGCGCGCGACCGCCCGCGTAGCTTGCCGGTGTAGATTCAAACAAGGCCGCGAAATCGCCTGAAAGGAAGAGCCGAAGTATTCGACAAGCCGTGCAGACTAGTTGCTGACAGTTTCGCCGAGGATTTGTCATCATATACGCTGGATAGGTGAGTTCTTTTCTTAGATATAACATTTCTTGTGTGTTGGAATTGATGACGCGATAGTAAGGTAGGATTTTACCCATTTTCAGGAATATTAGGCAGGGGAGGTTTATGATATAGGCTAACTACAGTACATGCATCTCCTACAAAGCTTTTTTAAGACGCTGATCGTCGCGCATACTCTGTTCCAAGCAGTAAGTGACGAAGTACAAAGACACAAACGGTTCGTAGTTTTGCAAAACGCTACAGAGAAGTTGTTCTGGATATCACATGTTTCAGCGATTGGAATCAAGCCGTGAACTCCCCTAAAAGAGACCGCCAAAGGATTCGACAAGTCGTGCAGTCTGATTGCTGACAGTTTCGTCGCGGATTGGTCATCACATACGCTGGTGGGTTCTTTTCCTATATAAGACAGTGCTTGTGCGCATGGAATTTTTCTGTCCGAAAATTCATAATAGGTTTTCTCATTATATCATTGCAATCATCTCATCTTATCATTCATCTTATCGTTTTGGAAGCTACAATGTTTTCAATACATCTCTCGAACCCGTACAGGCTACAATCCTTGAACCTGACCATTATACTTTTTGCTTCCTCTATTGTTTTATGTTCTGAACGTAGTCTCTGTTGACCCATGCCATACGGCTTTTGTCAAATGCTTTCTTGAACGGAAGAGTGACAGCCTGAGAATGCTCAACCTTAGCAAAGCATTAGGCTTCCTTGTTCTTCTTCTCATCTGTTGTTTCATTAAGCCTGTACAACCAAGACAAAAGACAGTGTAGTCAAATTTGACGCCGCCTGCTTTTTCTTGTAAAAGAGTAAACCTTTCGATGATCAACACAAATTTATAGGACTCCGCGTGATTCCAGTAAGCAATGACCGCTAACTCAGCGAAGTTCGCAATCACGCAGAGCCCTATATTTTCAACATACTCTCACACGCTGTGACTCAAGCTGTTCAGGTATCTCGGATCTCAATGGCTCCCAGAAGGAAGTCCTACACCGCGCTTTTTAAGCTTAACGTGGTGGAATATGCCCTGCAACATGGAACATCGGCTGCCGCTGTTCGCTACGAAGTCTCTGATGGTCTGGTTAGAAGATAGAAGGCCGATAAAGAAAATCTGGAGGATATGCCACTGAGGAGACGCGCCAACCGTCATGGGAAGCCAAAGGTGGAGGAAATAGAGGAAGCTCTCTATGCATGGATTGTGCAGACGCGAGAAGGAAGCCGAGCAGTGCTTGTCAAAGACATTCGCGAAAAGGCATTGCAGCTAGCGCGGGAATCTGGCCACCAGGACTTCAGGGCATCGGCGATGTGGTGCAAAGGCTTTATGAAGAGAAAGAACTTATCTCTGAGGCGAAGAACCAGTGTCGGCCAAGCACTTCCGGAGGATTATGAAAGCATCTGCGCGGACTTCAGGAGATTCGTACAAAGGGAATCGCTTCACATCTCCCCCCGCAATCTTGGGAATGTCGATGAAGTCCCAGTGCCCTTCGATATGGTTTATTCAAGGACCGTGGATCAAGTGGGAGCCGATACTGTAAGGATTGACTCAACAGGACACGAAAAATCGAATTTTACCGTTGTCCTCTCTGTGACGGCCGCTGGAGAGAAATTAAGACCGATGATCATATTCAAGAAAAAGAGGATTCCCAAGGATAATTTCCCTCCTGAAGTGGTAGTTAGAGCCAATGATAAAGGCTGGATGAATCACGAACTGATGAGGACATGGCTCCATGAGGTGTGGAACAAACGGAAATGCTATGTCAACGATCCCTCGCAGTCATTACTCATATTAGATTCTGCAAGGTATCGTTTCGTATTTTATTATTTCTTGAGCTTATCTTGCTTTTTTAAGGTGCCATCTCACAGAAGACGTCCGAGAGCTTTTCAAGGAGCACTCAAAGATCGCGGTCATTCCAGGCGGAATGACCAAATATCTACAGCCTCTCGAGTCGGCATCAACAAGCCCTTCAAAGACAATCTGAGGGCGGGTGGGAGCGATGGATGGCCGATTCAGCACGAGCAAGGTACACAACAGGCGGCGCCAGGAAAAGGATGACCTACGGAGAGGTAGCTGCACTAGTCTACGAGAGTTTCAATGCAATCACTGAAGAAACCAATGCGAACAGTTTCACCAAGGCTCTCGATGACGAATCAATAATAGAAGGCATGAACGAGGATTTCGACGCTTTGATTGTTGCTGATAATAACGATAATGATGGTCGTTCTTTTGGTCAAGTTGCTGCCATGAATGTTTGTTATGATGAACATGGAATGCTACCTGAATAAAGATCTGTTGCTTCGGTTCATTCTGAGACCAAAAAAGGCAGCGCAATTGCGCATCCTTCTTGTTTTCATGTGAAAAAAATAAGGCGGACTTATCCGCGGGACTTGGCGGCGCGCGAGGCGCCCGAGGCTGTCACGAAAGCGGACTTAACTGAGAGCTCTTTTGCGGTCTTATCGGCGAGGCGGTCCTTACTGCGAGGCGATCTTATATGCCGGATTTTAGGGTAGAAAGAATAACAGACTATACCTGTTGGTTAGCACCAAAACTGATTTTTCTTTCAATGAAATCTTAATTGGAAGCTTTTGTTGATCTGCTATATTTTCATTGTCAAAATCGCTGAGAACCTGAAATCTTTTATTCTTAAGCAGAAAGTTGTGTCAGCTGAGCAAACAATGAAATTTCTTTCACTTTTGAGGAGAACGATGAGTACAAAACTCGAAATTGCTTAGTATATAACACCTACATCTGTAAGCCAAGCTTAGTAATTGACTTCTGGTCTGCGGCAATCCTCAAAGTTGCAACGTGGAAAAAGTTTTCTCTCTGGGCTTTCTCGACATTGCGAGGAACAATGCCGGGCACCATGGTGAATTGGTCGCATGTCGCGTATATTCTCGCAGCCATAGCCGCGATCAAAATCGTAAACATTGCCCGTAGCATGTGTGCTAGAGGTAACGCTTGTGTGTGAGTATCAACAACAAAGAGTGCATAAGGCAGGCAGGGCGGTTGCCAGGTAGAAAAGCGATACTGTGCGCTGCGCCTTCTCCGTGAATATGCTTGTAACTGTTAATCTTCCAAACGGCCCAATATAAGAGAGCTCAATAACTGTTGACTGATTTTCTAAGGTAGTGCAAGCCACTAATGCATACTACGTGGTACGAGTTTCAAGAAAAATGATTGAGCGCAGAATTACTGTGCGATTGTGTCGAAGAGCAATTCAGCCGTAATTGCAGGCATGAACACAGTAGGTGAGTTACTTGACTTACAAGTAGGGAAACATCTCAGCAATCCCTTCGAGACTGCGGCATAAAACGGAGCGCAAAAGTCTGAGAATGTCGCAACCGGAAAAGTGGAGAATATGATGATACCGAGCGTGCAACGTATAAGAGGCGGACGAGAGGAGTAAGAGAAAGGAACTGCGATGGAAGCTGCAAAGCGTTAGGCCTCGGACATACCTCACGCGATTTGGCAATACTCCAAATGTTCATAACTCATCGTACGAGGTTTCCGAATGTACGGAAGATGGGGCATTTTATCAACCTACGAAAGTTAAACATGCTGTACATTTGGGGTCTACCAGTATTGAATTTGAAAACATCTGGCAAATTGCCAGATCTCGTGGCGACTGAAATCGCGTGAGGTATGTCCCTTGCCTTACACTCGAGGACAGATCTCTCTGTATCGAGCTCTGCTATGCTATTCTGTTCTTATTGTTGCCCTTAACTGATATTTATTAAGTGGGTCCGAAAGTTCGTGCCTTTTACTATTTACATCCTCAAATTCAGAATAAAGATAGACAAACGTTTTAACAAGTGTTCTATGCAGAATTTCTTCCTCTTTCCAGCAGCTATATTACCGTTGTGACTGTCTCAACGAACGCTGAGATAATTACCGAAAACTAAAATCCTTAATTTAACCATGTCTAACTTTCGTTAATTTTTAGAATTTTCGTTTTAGGCTTTTGAAGGTACTCTAATCCCCTTCTAATAGAGCAAACCTTTTTTAAATCAATGCAATTTTTGCATCTCTCTGGCATGCTTTCTAGATTACGAAAATACTTTTCTGAAGTGACCAAATTTTATATTTGGCTCATTCTAACCTCGAAAAACATCGGACGTCGAACAGTTCAGGTATCATTCGATGCATCATTTTCTCCTCTTTCTGATAGCTATTTTCTTCGCGAAACATGCGACTCTTGCAAACAAAATCGCTGTACTTCCCAATCTTACGAGTGCGCCAGGGTGTAGTCGAAATTCCAAAATCTATCCATTTTCACGCCGTAATCGCTCATCTACTTCGAAATACTGGTGATAGTAATAAACAAGTTTTAGAACTTCATATTTTGAGTATTTCGCAGTGTTTGGTGCAATTATGTGTCACGCGACTTTTTTTCAATTTAATGCTCTAGTAAAACAATTTAGCAAAATTGTAAAGAAGAATCTGAAAGAATGCAAAAAATGCATCAATTTGAAAAAGGTTTGCCTTGTCAGATGGTTATTACATCTTCAAAAGTCTAAAATGAAAATTCTGGGAATTAGCGAAAGTTAGGCATGGTAAAAAGAAGGGTACTAGTTTTCGGCAATTATCTCAGCGCTCGTTGAAACAGTCGCAACATAAGCATAGCTTCTGGAAAGAGGAAATAATTCTGCATAAAACTTTTGTAAGAACGTTTGTCTATCTTTATTCTGAATGGTTTGAGGATAGATCTAAGGAACGGCACGAACTTTCGGACCCACCTAATATTACCACAGCATTTTATAGCAAATTAGTAATCATTATGCGCGATGGCTCTAAATTCTTATTCAAATTGTTTGACGGGATGATTATATGATCTATGATCATACTTGTAAGTGACACATCGCTTGGAAGATTTGTTTCCAGAAAAACTGGAGAACAGTACAAGAAATGTCTTACATCAATTTCGTACACATCTTCTTCTCCTTCCACCTGGGTGAACCCCACGCTTGATGTCGCAAACGCATAAGGCTCTGCAAATATTGTTGGCTAATATAAGTAAAAGTGCATTTATAAATTGGTGACTTTGATAATACTATTCTCTGGTCTGACAACCCCATATATAATCAAAAAGGCGACTAGAAAAATCAGTACTCGCACAAAACGTTCTAGTTGTCTTTGATTTTCCATTCAAAACCCCAATTATCTTGACATGTAAGCTCCACACTTTATAGGCATTCATCATTTTTATTCTGTGCACTTCGAACGGGTTTCAAAAAAAAATGTGCCAATAGATGCCACACAATTGCAGAGCTGTTTCAAAAAAATTGTATGTACTCGAGAAAAGGTAGAAGTTCAGTAGTCAGTCTTTGCAAGATTTTTGAAGTCTACATATCCAATATTGAATTCAAACAATCGCAAATGAAATTTCTATTTTGAAGCAATTGTATCTCGCTCTCTCCGCTCATATATTGATATGATATATACAAGGTGTCCCAAAAATATGAATACACTGTTTAACCGTTAATATCTCCTTTCCCAAGTAGCCCTTTGCCCACCTTCAGGTACCATTTTGTAGAGCTGGCTTCAATTTAGATTTACAGTATGGAGCGAAACACGGATCGCTGTTCACTACTGTAAGATTACGGTAGGAACTTTCAGCTTATATCTCATTACAGATTTACCGTGTTTCAAAAAAAAAATTCCAAAAAATCTGAAAAATGGTGTGCCAGGGTTCTCAAGCTCGCTGATTTTATTATTCAAGTCTTTAAGAGTTTGCAAAGCCTTTAAAATGGTGTAATAACGATTTTATAGTGTCTTGTAAAAACCGCTATTGCGCTACCTGCCATAACTTATGAAGGAAGCATTGTGGTAAAGTGCAAACACCCTATTTGGTTTTAACGGCTTGAGTTGACATAGTATGCAAGTTTGCTGGTTGTTCGGTCTACTTTCTGAGACGAAATAGGGCCCTTGATGGCTCACAACCCTTCTTGAACTTTCTACCACAATCCCACACTAATGAAGTGCGAACGACTTAGAAAAAGAGATGTAAATGGTCAAACAGTGTATACATACTTTTGGGACACCCTGTATAAACATCTTATACTAAGTTGTTTCAAAAGCTCTGTCCTATTTCGAACTATTTGATTCGGATTCTTACAACAAATTTCCAGTCCATTATTTTCGCATAATCTTACATTCCTTAGATTGAGCAGGTTTTGGCTACCACAAAGATAACGTGCCATATAAAAAAGAAGGAAATACCAGAATTCAAAACTTTTTACGTTATCCCCCCAAAAACGCTCACTTTAACGCCGCAGTGCTTTACACACGAAGTGATAGACATATCTACTTGTCATCTTTAAAAAGCTTGTCCGAAGAGTGATTCGTGACTAGAATCCCTGTAGTCGCTGGTGCACAAAATTTTTTGTAAGCAAATAAAAAAAACAGTCTTTTTGACTCGTTTTGCGCATGCCGAAGCATGCTTCTTTTTGTTTTTTAGAATTTCATGGTTGCAATATTGTATACTTACAGTAAACTAAGCGCAAGTAGGGCAATCTATTGATTAGCCCTTTTCGAATGAAAAGGGCTAATCAATAGATTGCCCTACTTGCGCTTAGTTTACTGTAAGTATACAATACTGAACTTATTACTATTCAATATGCGTAAATTTTTGGCGCTTGTAGAATCTAAGGAAAGCTAAGATCTTTCGACAACATAACTGGTAGTTAAGACAATTTTGATCTGGAAATAAGGATGTATTCCTCATGGTCTGCTGCCTCAACGAGGGCGGGGGTTTGCATCTGGGTGTAGCAAGAAGGTTCGGACTTACGCGTCAGCTCAGCTAAAGCAGACCATCCCGCGTCATCATGTCAAAGTCCGCTGCCACCTACCTGACAATGCCAGTCAAGTCGCGAGGAGGCAAAAACCGTCAGCGTCACTAAAGAGTGGCGAGTGCTTCGACACAGCCCCAGAATGCCCCAGCCCGGCCTAGAGTATGGCGGGAAATTTTAATAGCTTTGTCAACTTTAAACAATCGCCCAGCACCTTGCGCACCGTATTCGTCTGCCGCTTGGGAGTCGTATGGCAGTACGACCGGTGAGGAGCGAATAAATAATCCCAGGTGCAAAAGCGAGACGTCCATAGATCCTTTCGGCAACAAAACGGATACGACAAGACATGAAGGCTGTTTACAACTTTGCACTTACAATGCAAGGACGTTCTCAACGCATGAGCTTTATGCTCTGCTAAACGCCGACTCGCATCAAATAAGATGTAATTGCACAGGAGAGAAGGTTCCTACACGAAACGTTGGAGGCGTGGGTTTTGTCTCGTACACCCATCCGTTAGCCACCTTGTCGACTCTTATGAAATTCTATCACCACGACTAGTAGTCCTCCGCCTTGCCGCTCCGCGTCAGAGGAAGATGAGTATCATCAACAGTTACTCACCCACAGTGGCAGCAGATGAAGGCGAGCTCGACAAATTCTACGAGGAGTTAATAACCATTTACAAGGAGAAGTCGTTCTATAACTTTATCGTCGCGACTTCAACGCGACGAAAAACTGGGATAGAACAGATGCAAGTTTAAGAAAATGACATAATTGAGAAATTTGATCTGGGATGTCGAAACGAGAATGGAGACAGACTCGTCGGACTCGACTATTTCGTGGAAACTCTTTCTCCAAAAAAAGGAACATCGCTGTTGGACGTGGGAGTCACCGAATGGCGCGGCAGATGCGGAAATCAACCGTATAGTTGTCAAGATGAGATGGAGTTTGGTCAATGTCGGAGTGGTTCCGTCGTTTTTCGTTTGTTCAGACCACTGGTTACTTCGACCGAAGATCCGTATCAATCAGAGAATAGAAAGAAAATCCTCCCATCGCTCGAAGCTCAGAAAAGAGGCCGTGTAGACGAACGCGTCTTCGAGAACGCCATTGCTAGATACGAGTGAAAGGAACGCGATGATCCAACAGAAGATTTAGAAAAGCTGATTGAAGGACAACGCAACTATGCTGAACAGGCAGCTCTCACCGTGGAAAGAGGTAGTGAACGATCGACGAACCACACTAAGAAACTTGTACAGAAAAGGAGAAGCCTGCACGCGGATCCAAGTGCGCCATACCTGGATCGGCACGGATGTTGAAGAGCGGAAGAGGTTGGTGTAGAAGTTCTTCGCTTTCCATCTTATATCGGGAAGAAGTAGAGTCCCGTCTTCGTTCAATAGTGCAGCCAGCCGTACGTGATATCCTTAGAGGTCCCTTCGGCACTTCTTGAGACTTCGTCTTCTTGGGCTGCTTCCACTATCTTGGCTTGCCTGTACTTTCTGAGATCCTTCTGCAAAGCTGTTCTGCAACTGACTTTGCTTATCAGTCGCTTGAGATGGGTTGCATTCGGATCTTGCCTCAGAAATCTTCTTCTTTCGATCAATTCCTTGGCGGTCTTCGAAATGCGTTCCAAGTTCTTCTCAGAAGTCACTGAGGCGCATTTTCCGCAAGCTTGCAACCCTTTCAGAAGCCGGTCGTAGTCGTACGTTAGGTCCTCCTCGATGGGCCAGTCACAACTTGATATGAGCTCCTCCAGCCTGTTACCGTCATAAAGGACTTCCTTCTTTCTTGCGGCGGTGTGGCAGACCTTCTTCTCCAGCTTTCAACTGAATCGTACCTTCGCTCGAAGGAGGCGGTGATCGGAGCAGCTGCAGAAGGATGGAACTACTGAGACATCAAGAAGCTGCAAATTCGGTTGGTGATAATGTGGTCGATATCCGCGTAAGTCGTTCCGTTGAGCGATTCTCAAGTCCACCGGCGATGTTCTTTCTTCATAAAGATGGAATTTCCATGGAAAAGTCGTGCGCGGAGAGAAGCCCAACCAGACGGTTGCCATTTTCGTTCCGGAGCTCATATCCAAACTTCTCGATCGTATATTCCTCTTTTAGTGACATGCCGATCCCAAGGTGCTAACACTTGTTGCAATGATGCAACCGTTTGCGAAAGGCTTTCAAGAGGTCAGCCTGCAAGCTACGTTGCATTTGCCAATCTTTGCAGGTGTGCAATCTCAAGGCAGACTACTACTGATTTCTGAGTTCGCAAACATCGTTATGTATGCTTAAGAAACCATCTCATGCTTTGCTGTTTGAATGTGACCCCCTTGGGCATTATAGTGAGTAAAATGTTTGACGGGAAGTTTAGTGTTCTAGGGTTGTTTGTCGACAACATATACGAACAACGGAGTTGTACTCTATGGTGTTTCCCACGAGCGTCACGAGAAGGTTGTCGTCATTCACAAGCATGGTTAGCCGCACACATGTTGCCTTCAAGGTAAGAACACTATACTTACCGTTAAGGGCCGGGCATACTTCACGCGATTTCAGTCGCGACGCGATTTGGCAATTCGCCAGAACTCTTCAGATGCAACACTAGCAAACTGCACATGCATGGTGTGTATGACTTAAGTGGGTTGATAAAATACGCTATCTTATGTACATTCAAATTGTGCTTACAATGAGTTACGGACAGTTGGAATATTGCCAAATCGCGATTGAAATCGCGTGAAGTATGCCCGGCCCCTTAGCCTACCAGCCAGGCGTACACCGCTTACGAAGTGTTTCACTCACTTGCATCACCTCCTTTCACATGATAGAGCGTTTGTTCCATGGGTATAAATCGTAACGATTCAGCGCATGCCTTCTGAAAGTTTAGGCCTGATAATCCAGACGATGTCCTTTCCGCAGCAGACATAATGCAAACGTATATTCTGAATCATAACAGTTCAAAGCTAAAATTAAGCTTCAAAAAACTCACGCTAAGCAATCTTGTCCTGCAAAGATTAGATCAAAACCTGTGCCATCTTCTGGTGTTTTTATTTGATCATAATAAGAAGCGTATCCCGGGTGATACAAGGTTGTTTTCCTAGAAGTACTCCATTTTATTGCGTTGATGTTCCCGAATACGTAAAGGCTAGTGTCAAAGAAGGCGCAAAAGGTTTCAGTTGATCAGGCGCAAATGCAGTTCTGCTTGTCTTCAAGGTTATAAGCCCTGCGTTTCATGCGCTTTATCTATATATATATATATATATACCAGTGCGTCACCTCTGCTTCGCAGAGGCTCGCACTGGCCCTATGCTCTGTATGCCTTACTCATTCCCGCATAATAATGACATTGAAACTCACCGCGCTATGTAGGCTATCACGAATAATTCGTAAACAACTACTCATTCGTAGAGGTCTTCCATGTGAGATCGGTATTTTCGCGTGGATAAAATCTTTCCCAGAAGAACAGATGCAAATTCGAATGGGCTTTTGGAATTTTTATGGCTTGGTAGTCGCCGTAAGGACAATAGACATAGTGGGCTACACCTCTGTGCAAAATTCTTCTCAAATAATCAGGTAAAATCTTGAATATTTGACCGTTTACACAGCGAATGCTTTTTGGCGCTGTTTTCGTAAAGTAGTAGACTTTTCATGACTTTTTAGGCTAACGTCCATGGCTTGCACATTAGCTTGTCGAATATATCCTTAGCTCTGCAAAAAGTAGTACTACGAACCCAAATTTGCTGGCGAGAAGCCAAGTGGATCCGTTTGACGCGCAATTTTCAATGGATCCACTTAACGGATCCGCTCATGCTTTTGTATATTGAGGTTTCATGCTGGTAGCGTGCGCTGTGCAAAATTTGGGCTCAGGACGTTGGCTGGAACACGCTCTACGAATTTCGTGACAGACAGAGATTCACACACACAGACAGACAAACGTAAACAACCCTTAGCCCGTTATTATAAGTTATGATATATAAAACTCAAATTTGTGGGTTTGGAGGCTATGTGCGCTATAGAAACGCGCGCGGCTCAACCGATTCAGTTGAAAATTTGTACACTTAGGTTTTTGACCCCGGCGCAGATGATAGGCTACTTTTTGCGGCGATTCGTTGGGTCCCTCTATCGATTTATTGATTCCTAGCACTTTGCAATGAAAATGATCCTTATCATCTGCTATCAAAGCAGAGGTATGTAAACAAGACCGTTTCATTGTGGACTTCTGTTGGTGAAGCGCAGTGAGAAGTGCTCTTGATGTGAGTTCAATCGTTCAGTAGGTGAGGACTCTCTATATTTTATGCTGCAGTCTAACTTAGCTTGCGACTGACCAAGAGTGCTTTGTAGTGAGTGTGCTGTGAAAAGGCGTGCTCAGGATTATACTCAACGCTTTCTTCGTCATTTATGCTGCGATCAACCTTAATGTGCAAGTGACTAAGAGTGCTTTATAGCGAGTGTGCTGTACAAAGGCATCCTCAAGGTTATACTTAATGCTTTCTACGTCACATTTCACTCTGAACAATGAAGAGGTCAAGGTTTTTCATAAGATCGCGCTTAAATTATTTGGCATATCAAAAATTTTCGAGAAAATTTGAATGTCTATTCACATAATGTAAAATACTATTTACTTAGTCATAGTCAAGCTTGCCAAAAAGAAGATGTTAAGATCCGAAAACTGCTTCAGATAGTGTGGTGAGCAAAGCTAGTGACCGATCTGCAGCAAAGCAACACAAAAAATGAAGCTCATCATTGTGAAAGTCATTATGCTACTCATCTCTCCTTTGCATGTCAAACCGCAATGCTTAGTATGTAAAGTCTCTGGAGTTGTTTTTTCGGTTTCGAAGCGGTTGTCTCATTGTGTTATCTACGGCTGGGTTCATACTGAGCCGCACAAAGCGGCACAGTTCCAGCACAGCGCTCGAACTGTGCTTGAAGCTGGAACTGTGCCGCTTTGTGCGGCTCAGTATGAACTCAGCCTATGACATATAAGAAGGGGAAGGGCTCGCAGTGCAGGTGAACATTGGCCCGGGCTGGACCGGGAAAATCCAACTAGTGCCTAATAAAAATGCGTTCTCGTCCCTGCGTTTGTGCCATCGTTCGGCACTTGCCTTCAATGAAACTAATGTGAATTTATGTGTTATAGTCAAAAGCTCTAAAGAGGTTTGCACAAATTTTCTCTCGCTTTTTCATTTTCCGGGCATGGCAAAATATTGGCTTGAAAGTGACCTTAGTGTATCCTTACTTATTAGGGCCGTATTCATCAATGAACTCTTAAGTAGATTTCACCCAACAGACCGGTATTCAGGAAGCTAGTTGATTCCGAAACCCACTGGATTAGGCCTGCCCACTGGGTTCCACAATTCTCGGACACGCGACAGGTATTCAAAAACGAACCATAGACCCACTGCGCGAACACACTGGGTTCCGTGAATACGGCCACAGAAAATAGTCTTTCAAATCCTGCAAACACTGACGTTTGCATAATAATGCTCAGCACGATAGTGAATGCCAAGGATAATGGACATTGGAAATAAGGTATAAATCACAAAGTGCCAAAATATTGCTTTTCTGCAACATATATACTATGGAAGCGATTGTAGCATGTCATGCGAAACCGCCTGAAGGCCGTGTTCAGTATACTTCGGTCCGAATCGAACAAAATTTGCCATTCGAACAGAACTTTCGGATAAATTCGCATTCGAAATCCGAAACCCCCGAGTCTTTCACTCTCGCAAAAATTTGAAAACTCGAGCAAACAGAAAACGAGGTTTCGAATAAAATCGAAAACTGGAATGATGTCCCCGAAAGTCTTTAATGGAGGAAAATGGACTTTCAAACCCCATTTTATTCGTTCGCGGTAGAAATTGGTCGGAATCTGCTTTCGCTAGATATACAGAAATTTTTATCTCATCGTAACCAGGAGGCAAAGCGGTGTGATGAAAAAGATGCAACCCTACTTGAGGTCTCGTTTTTGAAAGAATCATGCGAAAAGTCTATTTAGAATGGGGCAAAATGTTATTTAGGTGAATGAGATCAATGAGATCTCTCCTTTTTTCACCCACCTCCATTCTAGTAATGATGCTCTTTTCACAAGAGATCCTGCAACGCCCACACGCGACTGCAAGCACTTCTGATTTGGATGATAAGGAAAGAACGATACAAAAAGTGCGGAAATGCTTTCTGAATTTTAGGAAAATTGCCAAACGACAGCAACAGGAAATGCGAGAATTGATGCAAAATATGCACCACCACCCTAAAGGCAGTGTCCGTGTAGAAACTCGATTTTGATTTTGTGCTTATACGGGCCTATTCGCCATGCTGAATCCGGAATCCTAAGATTGAATCGAAAAAAACTTATTTGGAAAGCATCAAAAAATTTAACACAATTCATCTCACACTGCTCTGTGAGTTCTCATCTTTTTTGCAAAAGTTTTCCTTTTAGATTTTAGCGTATTTGTTGCGAGTGTTAAAAAACAGTACAGCTTTACATCGACTAACGAATGCAGACGTTCTTTGAAGAATCATTTTGCAAAGAGAGTACCACCGTAATTTTCTAAGCAGTGCTCAAATTTGCTCAATTTCTTGGAAGGTACTGATTGCGGAGCACTACATCGTTGTTTCTGTCAGTTTTGTATAGCTGAAGATAAAAAATAGCGGAGATGGAACTAACTACTTCAGCTTAGCATGGCTTGATGTCATAATAAAAGTCACAAACAGAACAAGTTTTAAGTCAGCGCAAAACATCATAATATTGAATGTCATAGATTGTTCATAGCTTGATGAAGGGGGGGGGGAGGACAGCACTGGAGCAGAATGTGCATAAATAAAGAAATCTGGACATTTATACATCGGACGTCGTTGACGTCGGATGGGCAGCCCTGCTCTTTATCAAAGAGTAATTATCTATATATATATATATATGTATATATATATATATACATAAAACTCAAAAATTGTCAGTTTGGAGGGTATGTGCGTTATAGAAACGCGCACCGCTCAACCGAATCAGCTGAAACTTTGCAAACATGTTTTCGACCCCTGCGCAGATGATAGGCTACTTTTCGCAGCGATTCGTTGGGTCCTTCTATCGATTTATTGATTTGTTTAAGTTTTTCTAAAAAATTGGGGGCTTATCATGTTTAATCAAGCATTTTACCATAGTCATGTATAGAAGGGCGGTGATGCTCATTTTCACCTCAGGGTCACGAGGATGCGGTTTCGAAGCGGGTCCCAGGGTAAGTCATCCACAACATGTAAGAAGGGGGGGAGGGCTTGCAGTGCAGGTGACCAATGACCCGGGCTGGACCGGGAAAGCCAACTAGTATATATATATAAAACTCAATGTCTGTGAGGATGTTCGTTTAGTTGTTCGTTCGTTATAGAAACGCGCGCCACTGAACCGATCCGGCTGAAACTTTGCACACGTATGTTTTCGACCCCGGCGGTTGTTTAGAGCTACTTTCCGCGGCGATTCGCCGGGCCATTCTATCGATTTATTGATTTGTTTACTCAAACCTAAGAAAATGAAAGGCCATCATGGCAACCGATCATTTCTATATATATAAGCATGTAAGCAGGGGCGGTAAAGTCCATTTCAGTCTTTAAGTCGGTAGGATGCGGCAATTGGTCTGAAAGCGCTTTATGCGCATGTTAGAAGAAATCTAGAGGCGTAAGTTTACAAGTTCTGTTGGCCTAACTAACTTGAAGTCTCGGGTGAGACCGGGGCCACCAGCTAGTATATATATACAGAGTGTCCCAAAAAGATGTGCACACTGTTTGATCGTTAATAACTCTCTTGCTTTCATGTCTTTTGCCGAGCTTGAAGTATCATTTTGTAGAGCGAGGATAAACTTAGATTTACAGTATCAAGCGAAACTCCAATCTCTTTTTGCTATTGTAGGATTACGGTATGAACTTTCAGCATACAGCATCACTGTGGGATAAGCCTTTCGATGAAATAATTTCAAAAAAATCTAAAAAATTGTGTAGCAAGGTTTTCAGGCGTGCTGATTTCACTACATAACTTTCCATCAGTTTTTCGAGCTTTCTTGATGGCGTATTCACATTTCTGTTGACACTGGAAAATCAGTTGTTACCCTAAATCTGAATTAACTCATGAAAGAAACATTGTACTAACGTGCAGTTTTCATATTTAGAATCGCGACTATGATTAACCCAGTTCAAGAGTTTCTGGCTTATTTGGCTTTTTTCTGAGGCAAAGTACAGCTTTCCATTGCTGAAAATCCTCCACGAAATTCCAACCGTAATTCTACAGTAATGAAAAGCGGCTGGTAAGTCCCTCCAAACTGTAAATCTAAGTTTAACCTCGCGCTACAGAATGGTACCTCAAGCTCGGCAAAAGACATGAAAGCAAGAAAGTTATTAACAATCAAACAGTGTGCACATCTTTTTGGGACACTCTGTATAACTCAATGTCTGTGAGGATGTTGTTTAATTGTTCGTTTGTTATAGAAACGCCAGCCATTGAACCGATTGAGCTGAAACTTCGCACACATATATTTTCGACCCCGGCGGTGGTTTATAGCTACTTTTTACGGCGGTTCGCAGGGTCCTTCTATTGATTTTTTGATTTGTTTACTTAAATCTGGGAAAATGAAAAGTCTGACGTGCTCTAACCCATCATTTTCCAATAAACATGTAAGCAGGGGTGGTAAAGTTCATTCCTCTTAAGGTCGACAGGATGCAGCGGTTTCGTCTCAAAGCGCTTTTCGCGCATTGTAGAAGTTAGAAAGTGTAAGTATGATCGAATTCCAGATTCGTGTGGAGGCGCTGCCGACTTCACTGATTTCAAGGATAAGCTCAACGAGAGAGAGAGTGCGAAATACAGTGCTATAACGTGGAGCTTTAACAAGTTTACCCTGAAGATCAGGGAAGTTCGCAACTGGCCTCTGCACGAATCTGTGAGCCGATGACATATTAGTTAAACTAAGAGTCTTGGGTGAGACCGGGGCCATCAGCTAGTACTATATGAGTTCAAGTGTATAACAACTGGATTAAGAATGCGGCTTTAAAGGGAAAGAGCAGGATTCACTTTTAGGCTCCTGTACAACTATACAGAGCCCATGTAAAGCCCTCGGGAAGTTCTGTAAATAAGTCCTTGAGAAATTCCCATTCCTTGCGAATATACTAGACCTGGTTGAAAAACGCGACGAGCACATATGGAGCACCAAGCGTTAAACAAAGTGATTATGGAGGAAAGCTTAATTTATCTTATAGCCTTGGTAAAAGATAATTAGTGTGCTTGAAACTCGGAAAAGCAAGGGTTTTTGGAGCACACTTACTCCAAAAGTATTTTGAGCCATCTGACAAGGTGGCGTTTTGAAATGTGGTGTAAAATGCCTTGTAGAGCTTGGAACGCTGATTCCAAATCTACCTTTGCTATCTGCTGCGGGCTTCTGGGCGAGAAGTTATGAAGGTTTTTGGGAGCAAAAATCTGAATCTGCAAAAATAGGGTAAAATCAATCGTAACCTTTTCCCAATGTTCAAATGAGGCAGCACCGAATTGGAATGTTTGAATCAAGAATACTTGTTGCACCGAGAGTGACCCGACTACCAATTAAATCCAATAAAAAAATTTAGGACTGATTTTAGCCTACTCTTGCATTCGGATTTTTACTCACAAAAACCTTCATAACTCCTCGCCCAGAAGCCCGCAGCAGATAGCAAAGGTATTGGAGCACACCTTCGATAGTCTAGAGACAGGGCGTCAAAAGTGAAGGTTGTTTGAACATCTGACGTCATAAATAGTGAAGGTTGTTTGAAGATGCACAGAGAAGAGAAAATGACATAAAACAGATATAAAAAGCAAAGAAACTGCTGAAAACCGGATAAAAACGCTGCAATGAGGCTTGAAATCTTTCATTTGGCGGCTTTTCAGAGTGAAAGTTTTCGCTTCAGGACCAGCAATTCGCAACACGGGTTTTGATTTTTGATGCGTCCTTTGAATTTTTACCCCCGCATTGACGTTCCTGATTCCTGGGACGTTGTCTGGATTGTTGCACTTATTGTTCTGAGCAATAATCGCCCAAGCTGGAAAAAAATCGATGCGAAAGCACTGAAACTGAACAGGGTAAAGAAAAATGCACTTTTTACGATTTTTCGCAAAAAATTCCACCATAATCCAAGAGATAAGGGCTGGGTGGTTGTCTGCATTATGAGCAGAAGCAAGATCTATAGAGTGCATGAAAAAACCGCATGAAAACAGTTAAACTAGAAGAAAAACAAGAGATTTTCGAAAACAAGGTTTTTGCCGGATTTCTCGATCAGATCAAAAAATGTGATTTTGGGACGTTGTCAGCGTGAAAATAGAGATCAAGAGCTTCAAAATGATATATAACTTGCTAAAATTGGGTTTGAAACAGCGAAGAAAAGGGTACCAGAGCCAAATGCCCCGCGCCCCGCGTTTGGGGTAGCGAGGTAGCGCGCAGCGCGCGGAGACGCAGACGAGCAGCGGAGACAGACCAGAGCCGACGGGGCATTTGGCTCTGGTCGTAGATCTCCGCGGAGTCTCAACGAAACCCCGCGACATTATATATCATTCTGATCGCCATGACACGACGAGGAGAACTGACAACGACCCAAGCTTTGAAAATCACTCATTAACGAGATAGACCAGAGTTTTCGTGCGCGACTCTCTGCGCAAGATTTAAGCAGTTTCTTGTTCTTATTTAACTAAAATAGCTTTCCTAAGCTTCTGAAACTCGATTTTGTTCAAATGAGAGGTTAACTAAGAAATTTTGTTCTGAATTCTGGCGAGAATCCCACAGAAACCTTTTTTTAAGGTAAAAAAAGCTATGAAAACGCAAATTCTCGGTTTCGCTGAGATAAGCTAAAGATTTTATTCCCTATATTTGCTTCATTAACATTCGTTCCGATATAATCAGGATAATAACATCCGGTGCGAAGCCCCGCATGACTTCCGTTTTTTTCCAGGTGAAAGTTGTGTCCCCTCATAGCAGTCAAAGTGAAGGTTACCAGAGTATGTGGCTCTATGTATCGAGGGTATGTATTGGAGTCAGCGTTCCAAGCTCTACAAGGCAGTATACATCTCATTTCAAAAGACCACTTCGACTAACCTTCCTTCCCTTGTGAGAAGGATAACGCTCCCCCTTTTGAACTGCAATGGCTTCGGTGCGTAGCAGATATCTCAGAATTTGTTACCGTAACTCTATATAAGATTTTGTCGTGAAAGATTGCAGTTTTGGGTGAAAAACGTCTGAAGTGCTCGTATAATTATGAACCACTAGAAATTCGCATTCGGGGCAAAAAATTCTATTGTCACCGATTTCCATTCTTGTGCCGTGTATGTTTTCGGCTTTGCTCTTTTACGTAGTACTAACGTTTTTCGAGTTTCTTTCCTAAAAGATTCAAAACTCCCAAATGTGGGGTGTTCGTATAATTATGGACCGCACTTTATACCATTGTTATCCTTGTCTAGTATCCATTCTTAGGCTTTGGCCATACTTCGCCAGTGTTGCCGGTGTTGAAAGTGTTGAAAGTGTTACCGGTGTTGAAAGTGTTGAAAGTGTTGCCAGTGTTGAAAGTGTTGAAAGTGTTGCCGGTGTTGAGTGTTGAATGGAGATCATCAGTCTAGCAGTTTCATTCTTTCTCGAACGATCTCACCGGCTGGTGAATACGTTGGAAATGGAATTGGGGGATGAGAAATAAATTTGAAATGAGATGGGGAAGATTTTCATGCAAAAGATCCTCAAACAAACTTTTTGGAAAGTGGATGGCTTGTCTGGAATAGGCAATCTTCAATATTTGAAAACGCTGCAGACCTCGCTTGAATCCTTCACTCACTAATCGCAAGCGCGGCAGGATTCGAACTAAAACACATTACTACTCAGACTTCAGCTTTTTCAAATATTGGAGATTGCCTATTCCAGACAAGCCGTCCACTTTCCAAAAAGTTTGTTTGAGGATCTTTTGCATGCGAAAATCTTCCCCGTCTCATTTCAATTCCATTTCTCATTCCCCAATTCCATTTCCAACGTAATCACCAGCCGGTGAGATCGTTCGAGAAAGAGTGAAACTGCTAGACTGATGATCTCCATTCAACACTTTCAACACCGGCAACACTTTCAACCTTTCAACACCGGCAACACTGGCAAAGTATGGCCAAAGCCTTATTGTTTTTATCTGCGTTCAAGCTCGAAAATTGTCGGGGTTATGCTCTCATTTTCTTGTTCACGATCCTTGAGCTGGTGGCTTTCTTTTATATCAGTCTTAGTATGAACAGGCACAACCAACGGATTCGCAGAAGAATGAGGCTGCAAGGCCGATTAAGTCATGTGAACACCAGTAACAAAGCTCAAAACAGTTATAATGAACAAACGGCCATGCTGGCAGCGGTAGCTGCTATAAGAGAGTCGATGCATTGCCGGATCCTTGCTCTAGGTTTAGAATTCACAACCTCATCAGCTGTTACTCACATTGGCGGTGAGTGTCTGAGCTCTACTTCGGAAGGAAGTATGTAAGGGAATAAGTCTCCGATAGTTGTCTAAATGGATATACAAAGATTTTCAATTGAAAACTTCTGTTTCACTCACAACTTGCTTCTTCAAATTGCTTGGTTTGGCATGTTCTTTAGACGCCTGTAAAGAGAGCGTTTCAAACGACATGGCTGTGTTCAGAGTTGGCTGGCTAGTGATTGGCTAGTGCCGTGCCAGTCAAACATTTCGGTCGATACGGAGCACTTCGCGTGGGTGATGTCACGGAACTAGCACGACACCGGCACGGGCAAGCCTGGCACCCTAAGATAGGAGCGCGTCCGGTACCTTTTGGCCTTTGCCACCTTTGCTTTTTCTGGCTGCATATATGACTTGAGGTAGTGCAAAACACAGAGGCAAGTATAACCACAGCTGCATAATGGAAATGAATTTTCAGCAACAACCAAAGCTTTTATATACACTGATAAGAAACTTCACTATCAGCTTGGATTTGCATTCTCATTTTTAGGATGATATATGTATGGTCTGCATCTCAAAACCTCTCATAAACAGATACCGCCACAATTTAGCTCATTTGCTGTAGTTGATATTGATGGAGAAGCGGAAAGACTAATTGCTTGTGATAAAGACGATCTAAAAGTAGCTCAAGAACGGAAAGGACATGTGCAGCCGGGCGTCCGCTTGGCAACAATTTGCGCTCGCATATCCAGCAGATCAATGGAATGTTTCTAGCTGGTCCGGTTGAAACAAAATGTGCCTCATATGGGCATCCGCCTTCGTTCTGAACTGGTCTTATAAGTAGAGGTATTGCTGACACAGATTATAGCCTCAGCACAATGCCCGCAAATAAGCTTGATTGTCGTCGTTTTTGCGCGGCCATCAAATCACTTAGGAAAAACAATTTTTTTTTGATTTTAATCGCCATCGAAGGATAATTCATTCAGAGCTGATCAATACGCCCATGGAAACAAAATCAGGTTTTTCGGAATATAATATTGCATACAGCTATTATGCAATGTCATAGCAGGCTGTAGACAAAAACTGGGGTAAGATTCGATAGAGCAAAGCAATCTCTGTGTGACCAGCTTAGGCATTCGCATCAAGTTTGATTTACATGAATTTGAAGTCAAACTCAACAAAGCTCTAAGTGCAAAAAAAATCGTATTTCCTCCAAAAGGAAAAAATGACAGAAAAACTGGCTCATCTGACATTATGAACCAGATCAGTAGACGACCTTGTGCGTAAGCTGAATATTGACAGCCAGCACAGCGGTGTACCAGGTGAAGCCAGGTGTAAGGTGGTAGACAGAAAGAAATCTTTGTGCTATCCCCACGTCCTAGAAATTGGTTTAAGATCACAAGAACAGTAGACTTTGCATAAAGAAAAGAGAACTCAACTCACGTTTTTTGTTCTTTTTTCTCTCTAACTAACAACAAGACCCTTTATCGCACTGATGAAGTTTTAGTGCCTATACATTCTCCCATCGAGTCAGTTGAAGCTTTACTTCCAGTATCGTTCTCTTGATTTAGGAATTTTGAAAAAATTTAGAAGTCTGCAGTACTGCGATCTAGCCGTTATGACAAGCCTCTTGAGAGGTCAAAGCAGCAATAGAATCATTGTACGTTTTCCTCAACGCAGTACTTTGTTTGTTGTCCTCAGAGTCTCGGAACTCATTCGTCTTTTTGAGAACTTCTTTGCTACTGCATTCTCTTGCATTTGCAAAAAGTCTTGTAGCAAATTCGTCTTCGGCATGCCCATCATACGCACTTGAAGTGAACAAAAAGTGTACTTTTGCATGTCAGAGGTAATCAATACTTCCAAATTAGTAATCATTGCTTATAGTTTTATTCTACTAGTACTAGTTCTGCTAGTATCCCTACATCTACAGCTGTAGATGTAGGGATGGGGGTGGGGGCTGTGCCTCGCCAGTATAAAGTCTGAAATCCATGAGTGCACCACCATTGCTTGGATTTACAGAATGTCAACTGAATTCAAATTTCATGCACAAAATCTATGGAATTCCTGACTGGCTTCTTCCTTCTAGGAGAAACTAGGAACAAGTTTTGTGTGGTGCTCGTGATTTTGTAAACTTTGCAGGCTGCGCATTTTTTGTGATGTCGGGAGCTCATAGCAATCTTCCCATTTTTCTAAGAAAGAGTTTTGTGTGCATTCTAGAATGAGTGAAATAAGTTTTTCTTGCACAACGAGATGTAACTGCTTGAGGCAGAATAACAAGTGTTAGCACTATTCTCTGTTTGCCATTCAAAAAGCTTCCAATAAATTGAACTAATATGTCAGGATGGGAAGAAAGTCATACGATACTTTGTGCCGTGCAGGCGTAGATCATATCGTCCCCAAAGTCTATAGTCTTTCCTAATCAGGATCAAGCTACTAGTATAGATCTGCGCGACTATTGGAGAGAGCAAAGACTTTGAAGCGAGAGCCGACAATCAAGCCGCACAGCCGCAGGTAATTCATCAGTCGCGGGACCGCACATCATCCGAAACTAATACATACTGCCTTTGTACAAGTCGTGCTCCGTAAAGTTCTAGCCGCTCGTCGCCAAGGCCGCAAACACGGCTAATCCGTGCGGTAGATGAATCACCTGTAATCAATCATTACTATGTTAAACTAATATATTTACTCATATCATTACTTTTTTTATCATTATGCTAATGTTCTTGCACTAATTTATGTGAGCCTGATGATTCTACATACAGATACATATGTGTAGTCAATGAAACTGGTACAGAACATCATCAATACCCAGTACAGTCATTTCCGGACAAAGTCAAACTTTCACATACAGTCCGTGTCAACCACGTGCTCCCTTTCTCGTAGGCGTAATCGACACGTCAGAGTTTCGCGCCCGTTTGCGCGCGTATGGCTTGTACATTTGGCATCATTTATTGCGCGCAACGCGGTCGCGTTGCGCATGCGTAGTCTCCGTGCGAAAAGTAGTACTAATTGACATTGACTGTAGATGCACATGCGAGCGCTACGCGAGAGCGGGAGCTGATTGTGCGTCTGTGCACCATAAGCACTCCAACAATGATGGATGCTCGAAATAAACCATCTGCCTTCATCCAGGATTAGATTTAACCTCGTAGGAGACTCCGCTCACGTTCAGAAGCGCTAATTGAAATAGAATTTTGTATATTACTCATGATATATGAAAAAATTAAAATGCTGTAAGTAAATTAAAGATATCTTAGGAATGAATATTCGAAGCAAATAATGTAATGCAGTCTGCATACATTAGTGCATCTCATACGTTATTACGCGTTCGCTTTATTTTTATCTCCGCACCAATGAAAAATTGTTCTGCTAAGTGAAGCCCATAAAATCGTCAATGTTTCTCCATTTACGTTTTCTCAATTGAATATCAAAGCTATTTCGTGGTTAGAGCTCAAACTACCAAATCTAACACAATAAAATCCATTAAGAATGTGGAAAGATTTGATCTGCGTGTTGTACAAGCGCTCACTGTGGATTCACGAAATATGCGATCTTTACATTTTGGGCAAAGAAAACCGAATTTTTCGAAAACCTCTATAAGCGAAGTTTCCTTACAATTCAACAGCATCAACACTTTGACTCAAATCCAGCTTCCAGAGCATAAAACGAGAAAAAATGAAATAACTCGAACATCTCGGAAAACTTGCTCATAGAGGTTATCCGACCTGCTGATTTCGAAACTCACATCTGCTTAGCAAGATAGCTTCGTATGCTAAAGCTATGGCGAGTAGAATTTTGGACGACAAGATCTTTCCACAATTCACCAGTCCTTCTAATTTCTTTGAAAAGAGACCTGCGCCTACTATTTAGCGCACCATAATCTACAGAAAAAGTACTATCGAAAGGTCTTTGCTGGAATTTACTCAGGACAATGCTCGCTGCTCTACACCTTCGCGAAAAGATATCCGTAGAAAGATTCAAGAATAATGGAATCGAAATATCAAGAACATACTGTACATCAAAAGATTCGCCTCAACGGGCTGAGCAAAGCATTTTTTGGATTCAAAATGTACTTATTCCGAAGAAAGTTATGGCGAGTAGAATTTGAAAACGCGTGATTTTTCCAGTTACCAACGCTTCTATCTCCTTTGGAAAAGAAGTCTAAGCCTACTTTTTAGCGCACAATAATCTACAAGAACATATTATCGAATAGTACTTAGTGGAATCTTCTATGTTGGGTTGGCTCTGCTTCACATATTCGCGAATGCACCTCCGCAGAAGAATTTGAGAAAAGTGGAAACGGAATATCGAAGACATCGCCCCCACTTCCAATAAATTAGAAGATGCTCCGCGCCGAGCTGAATCGAATGGTAGCTCTGGATTCAGAATTCGTCCACTCTGAAGCGAGATATGGCCACATGACGGTGATATCCATACATTAGGCGACCGTCAAATAACTCATGTGATCGTCGAGTGACTTACGTGACCGTCGCGTAAGTTCGCCTACATTCGCGTCTATGTTTCAAAAAATGTGAGTGGTATTGTAGGTTTGGTGAAATTCGATGGTGTTGTTGAGAATTCCGTCGAAAAATTATGGAGTTATTGGGAGGAGAACAAAACTGCTTTGCTTTTGTAGAGTTTTCTCTACTTATCCCTTCTTGGACCTCTTCGGGACTCAGTACAAAAATTCAGAAATTAGCGAAATCTGACCTCTTTGATAAAAACCGTTGGCCGTAGTTTTTGGTTATTTTCTGAGAATTTCTTCGTTGAGCTTCAGTTCAATGCTATACACTCGAAAGACCATGAAAAATTGCATCCAACGCTTCGAAAATCCTACATAAACCTTTGTTCCGCGAAATGTAGTGTTTGTTCAAAAAAGCGAAATTACTTTCGGGACGACCTAATACGTTGAAAAATTGGTCAACTCTTCAAAACGAATTTCTCATATTTTTTTGGTTCAAGACTCATGTATCAGTTTGATATTTCTCGACTGTTTACCAGAATAGTCAGGCCAGTGCATGATCTGAATAGGATTAATCACTATGACTAAGAAGCGATAATCGCTCTAAGATTGCGCAACGTTCTAGCACTTCTCGGAATTACTATTACAATCATGATATTTTTCTAGAAGATCGAAAGCTCATCTGTGTTCCCATGCATATCGGTGTTTCGATCAGTTGTGTGTGTGACAGAAAAGCAATACAACCGCGATGATTTGTATATGAAACGAGGCATGACTGCACTTTTGAATTCCATTGCTTCCGCTCAGAGTGTGACATGCCATGCACGTGCACAGCGCTTAGAGATTTGTTTTCGAAGTCACCAACATCCTCATTCCATCAGATACACGAATATGATGTGACTGTTTGAACATGCGTTGGCATTAGGTGAATGTTATTTCAGGAGAAATTCACTCAATTCAAAAAATTATAGATACAACTCGAATATTCGACGAGTTACTAGAAATGGAC